ACTTTTAGTTCAAGTAAAATTGTCGTAAACATAACCTATAATTCATTTGCTTCTAAGGTCCCTTTCTTCAGATCGCGACGTCGCATGTATGTAAATAGTAATAACCCATTTTAATTCTAAATAAAATTACAATTAAAATAAACCTTCCAAATTTTTAAAAACATTAATCCATTTAAAGAAAAACCGTGAAAATTAATATAAATTAGTTTCTATAATAATTATTATTTTGTAAAAAGGAATTATACAATACATACATCTGATGGAATAGAAATCCGACATTATGAATTTCTTATACACATTATTAGTTTATTGTGAAAATAATTTTTCATTAATTAGAATTTTCATTTTCCAAACTAAAATTTGCTAGATTTTCTTTATATACGAATTTTTACATAACAAAATTTTAAGCTATCAAATTTTTGTTTTGCATAATTTTAATTTTATAGTCATTTTCTTTGCATAAGTATTTATTTAAGAGAATTTTAATTTAACAGAATTCTCATTCAATCGAATTTTTAAATGACAAAAATTCAAATTTGTTCGAATTTTTAATTTGTACGAATTTTTAATTGTTAGAATTTTAAAGACGCCGAATTTTCATTTGTCCGAAATTACAAATGACCGAACAAACAATTGACACAAAGATTTCGGCGTAATTTTTAAAATTGACCAATCACGATTTTCTTGATCATTTCTAATTGGTTAATTTAAAAAATTGCGCCGAAATCTTTCTGTCGATTGTTTGTTCGGTCATTTGTAATTTCGGACAAATGAAAATTCGACGTCTTTAAAATTTTACCAATTAAAAATTCGTCCGAAAAAAATTGGGACAAATTTGGAATTCAGTGAATTGGAATTTCTGTTATTTAAAAATTCAAATCAAATAAAATTCGTTTAAATGAGAATTGTGTTAAATTAAAATCCGTTTAAATTAAAATTCCTTGGAATAAAAAGTTATGTAAAGAAAATGATTACAAAATAAAAATTCTGCCAAATAAATATTCGATAGTTAAAAATTTTATTATGTAAAAATTTGGATAAAAAAATCCTGTGAAAAGCTAATTCAAGAAATTAAAAATTTTGAAATTATTCATTTTTTAATAAATTGCTTCTAAACTTATTGTAACTGGGTATTTAATGCTCAAAAAAATTAAAAAATCAATGTTTTAAGTTCTCAAAAAATTGAATGCTTAATAATTGTAATCGAATACTGAAAAAAAATTTATTTGATTTAAATACTCGATTACTTGAGTATTATCAAATAAATATTTCTTTGAGCCAAATAATTTTTCTTTGAATTAAATAAATTGTATTTGAATCAATAATTTCTGTATTTGAAATAAATACTATTTAATTGATTCAAATAATAATTATTTGATACAAATAAATATTCATTTCATAATAGTCAAGTAATTGAGTATTTAAATCAAATAAATTTTATTTTCAGTATAATATTAACTTTATTTCTTATGATTTATTCCCCCATTAAGAAGGCAATGGTAAATTCCATGAATATCTGAATTAAAATTTTAAGACCGCTTCTTTGATTTTAAAAAGAAAAAAATCTATTTTTATGATTTTAGAACAATTTTTGGAGGATCAAAGTAGAACTATAAAACAAATATTATTTCATGTATAATTTTGATGAAGCTGAAGTACGCAACGTTTATAATAAACGATTTTTAAAAAAATAATTTTTTAAAATTAAAAATTCTATAATTTTTTGCCTAAAAGATATTTTATGTAGTTTTCATTAATCAACAAATTATAAAAAATATTTTTTAGGCAAAAAATTATAGAATTTTTCATTTTAAAAAATTATTTCTTTAAAAATCGTTTATCATAAACGTTAGGTATACTTTAACTTCGTTATTTTTAACTATAACCTAATATACATTAAATAATCAAAAAATTTAGGAATTTCAAAAAAAAATTCAGAAAATAAAGAAAAAATAGAAAAATAAAGGAAATAATAACAATTTTGAGAGAAAAAAAATCAAGAATTCCAAAAATTTACAAAATATAAATGAGATAATTTATCAGAATTTTTTTTTAAATGTTAACAGGCCTCGGATCGACTTAAAGGCACAAAAAAGTCGTTTTAGTCGATTTATATTTAAAAAAAAGTCGAAAAAGTCGATTTTTTTTATTTTAACTAAAATATTTTACAGATTTTTAAATAAATCTTTTTTTAAATAATAATACTTTTGGAAGGGTTAAAGTTGAAATTTTTAGAAATAATTGAATTTCAAAAGATTTTGTTAATTTTCAGACAATTATTAAACTTTACAGAACTAAAAATAATTTATCAAATAATTTTAGATAACATTTTTTAAATGTAATTAAATATTCAAAGATTTACAATTGAGATTTTTTAAATTAATTGAACTTCAAGTGATTTTAAATAAAAAATTTTGGATGATTTCAATAAAAAATTTATTAGAAATTGCGGACAAAAATACAATAATTTAAAAACCATTTTTAATTGAAAAATGGTTTCAGATAATTGAATTTCCTTAGAGTTATAATTGAAATTATAAAATTTCAAAAAATTAAAAAAAAATTAAATTTTAGAAGCTTTTAAATTCAAATTTTTGAAAATAATTGAAATTGTGGATAATAATTTAATTTTAGTTGGTTTTTGATTTAAAATTTTGATAATAATTAATTTTGAATTGAAATTTTTAAAAATAATTGATTTTCGTTGATTTTGAATTAAAATTTTGAAAATAATTGAATTTTAATTGAAATTTTGGATAATAATTCAATTTTAGTTGGTTTTTGATTGAAAATTTTGATAATTATTAATTTTGAATTGAAATTTTTAAAAATAATTGAATTATTTTTGATTTTAAATTAAAAATTTTAAAACTAATTGAATTTTAGTTGATTTTGAATTTAAAATTTTGAAAATAATTGAATTTTTCCAATTATTTTAAGAAATAATTGAATTTTAATTGAAATTTTGGATAATAATTTAATTTTAATTGATTTTTTATTGACAATTTTGATAATAATTAATTTTGAATTGAAAATTTGGAAAATAATTGAATTTCAATTGAAATTTTGGATAATAATTCAATTTTGGTTTGTTTTTGATTGAAAATTTTGATGATAATTAATTATTAATTGAAATTTTTAAAAATAATTGAATTTTTTTGATTTTAAATTGGAATTTTGAAAAAGTAATTGAATTCTAGTTGATTTTGAATTTAAAATTTTGAAAATAATTAATTTTTCCAATTATTTTGGGAAATAATTGAATTTTAATTGAAATTTTAGATAATAATTTAATTTTAATTGATTTTTTATTGAAAATTTTGATAATAATTAATTTTAAATTGAAATTTTGGAAAATAATTGAATTTTATTTGATATTGAATTGATTTGATTTTGAATTAAAAATTTTTGGTAATTTTATCTGATATTTTTTTAAAATTATAAACAATTGTTAAATTTCATAAAAATTTTAATTGAAAAATAATTTTAAATAATTGAATTTCATTTCATTAAAATTATTAAAAATAATTAATTTAGTGAAAAATTTGTTAAATCATTGAAATAAAGAAAATCTGAAGATCTGCATTTTATACTAAAAAAAATATATTTTATTTACAAATTTTTTTTTAAAAAATGTAAAAAAAGTCGAAATAGTCGCATTTTATTAAAATAAGTCGAAAAAAGTCGTATTTTTGAAAAAAAGTCGGAAATAGTCGAAAAAGTCGTATAATCCGAGGCCTGTGTTAACAATTTTAGGAATTCCCAAAGAATTCAAACAAATTTAAAAATAGTTTTCAATAAGAACATTGTGCGCTTGTAAAAGTAAATAATTTAAAAAATTTTCAAAAAAGTAATTTTAATTAACTAGAAATTCTCGAAAATTGTTCTCTATAATTATACTTCGCGAATTATTTGACGTAAAAACATTAGAATTCATAAAATCTAATATAACAATAATAGATCATGCTCTATACTTAAAAATAAAAAATTATTTCGCGCATCAATTAATTTTGAGATATTTAAAATTGCCATACAATATTTATATTTAATAACACTAATTTATAAATAAATAAATCGTACTTACTTTTACTTAAAGAAACACGAAGCTCAAGATAATTCAATCTTATCTTGCATTTTGCGTTACCATAAGACAGAATTTTATCGATTAATAAATCATTTAAAATTGTACAATTTTGAATTTGATCATAAATTTCGTTAACAATAATACAAGACAAATATTTATTTTCTATGTCCATAATTGCTTGACATCAACTACGAATTCTAGTGATTTCTAAAATATGCAGTGATGGGTCACTACCACTAGCGATGGAGTTACTGTTACGTATTTTACGTACGTAATTTACCTTGTGAAGGCTGTGTTTACAACTTGAGAATTCGAATTTAATCAAATCAAAGCAACGATTGTGAATTTAGCCTAACTATCAGTTATATTAATTAAAATTTGGTGGAATTGGAAAACGTTTTAATTTGAATTTTTTCTAATTGTTTATTTCTTGTACAAGTTTAAAACTTTTGTAAAAATTTTCCAGCCCTATCGGTTGTTATGGTAACGTACAAGAGTAAAAGAGAAAGACAAATTCACTGTCCCTTTTACGTTACTATGATAACTTACCTTATAGAGCTGGGAAACTTGTACAAAAAATAAACAATTAGAAAAAAATCCAAATTTAGGACGTTTTCTAATTCCGGCAAATTTAAATTTGGAAAACTGAAAGTTAGGCTAAATTTACAATCGTTCCTTTGAAAATTCGATCAAATTCGAATTGGCGACTATAAAATTTTGTTCAACATAAAATTCAAATAAATTCAAATTTATACAAGGTTAAATTATATTCATTCAGTTATTTTAAAATTATGGAAAAAATATTCATTCGCAAAAAATTTGAATTATATATACTTAACTGCACAATTCTGCTTCCTCCCAAAAGTGTCACATTTCGGATGTTCCTTCTTACTCTATTACCTGTTTATTACCGACTTTGGTCAAAGTCTATAACCTCTATTTTGCAAATGAAGAATATCAAGAATGAACCTGGTATTATTTATTGTTTGTAAACAAAAAGCGGCATTCACTGTAACTTCCTTAAAGTTATTGATTTAATTAATTTTATTTTTTTTATAATTAAACATTATTTAAGTTGCCAGGATATGCCCGATAACGAGAAACACTTGTTTACTTGCAAAGTAAGTGTTTATTTTATATATCTAAAAAAGCTTGGAGAATAACCTTCTTACATACATAAATATTTAATAAAACGCACTTTCAGTAAATAAAAAACAAATTTTGTTGCATTTATTTATTTATAAAATAATTTTAAAGCAAAAAAATTTCTAAAATTGTTTTACAATATTTCATTTTCGTAAAACTTTTCTTCTTTGTTTAAATTTAGTTATAATAAAATTTGCCTTTTTTGGATGTTAGTTATGGTTGAAATATAAATTTTACAGGGTATTGAAAGTGAAATTAAATATGGAAATGACTCGCAAAACAATATTTTTCCATGTGACACAATCAAGTACTTAGAAACCTCTGAAAGTAAGTTTTTATCAAATTTTATTTTATTTGTTAATTTCTATTGCTACCTATATTGATTATTTGGAGATAATTTCCAATATTTCTTTTCTAATTTTTAGATAATTTCAATTATTTGATTAAATATTTGAAAATAATTTTATTTATTTTATTCATTATTTGTAAATAATTTCAATTATTTGTTTAAATAGTTAGAGATTATTTTAAATATTTTGTAATTATTTCAATATTATTTGATTCAATATTTGAAGTTAATTTCAAGTATTTGCTAGAATAATTCAATATTTATATTTTTTATTATTATCCTATTTACATTATTTATTAATAAAGATTTTTTAAAATTTATTTTGTATTATAAGTATTTTTAAAAAATTTTATATGCTCAAATCCCTCAAAAAGTTTATTTATAAAATTTAACTTTTTTAAAATTTAATTCAATTGAATTTTATTTATTGAAAATTGTAATTGGAATCCAAAAGTAGAATAATTTTCATTAAACAAAACATTTATTATTTAACAAAATTAATATTTAAAAAAAAGCAATTAAAACATTTATTAATTGAAATTTTAATCGTTCCTATATTGTATTTTTTCAAAATTTTACACGATATAAAGTACAATTTATTTTTATTTTAATCAACTACAAATTGAAACAACCTCTAATTATAAAAATTTTAATCTATTTAAAAATTTTAATCCATTTAAATTTCAATGAATTTAAATTTTTTATTGATAGAGATTTTGATAGTTTCTTAATTGAATTCAAAGAAATTTCAATTAATTCGATTAAAGATTCAATTAAGACTAATTTTAATAAATTGATATTGATTAGATTTCGAAACATTTGAGTAAATATATTTTTATTTTTTGTCCGAATGTTTTCGTTTTTATTCATCTAATTTTATAAAAGATCTCGGTCGTTAAAGATTAATTTTACACTTATAAATTAGTTATTTTGAATGTCAATTGCAGATTTTGCAAAATTTAATTATTAACAAATTTTTAACTAAAATTCTTCCCTAAATTAATTTTTTTTCAATAATTTAAATAAAATTCTTCAAAAATCTCAATTTCAAATCTTTTAAAATTCATTTATTTTTAAAAATTTTAATTTAAAACCTAAAATTTAATTATTACTTCTAAAATTTTCGGTAAAAACTTTCTGAAATTCAATTATTTATAAAAATTTTAATTACAACTCTTCCAAAATTCAATTATTTTAAAAAAATGTTATTTTTAATTTTATTAATTGTTAAATTACTCTTAACTAATAATTTTCATAAAATTCTTCGAAAATCGATTTATTTAAAATATTTTTAATAAAAAATTCTGTATAATTTAATTATTGTCCGATATTTAAAAAAAATCTTAAAAAATTAAAATTTTCGAAAACTTGAAATCTGTTGAAATTCAATTATTTCTCAAAATTTCAACTGTATCTCTAACAAAATTAAATAATTTTTATTTATTATTTTTTTTTAAATTTAATTATCTAAAAAAAAGTTTCAAATAAAGAAATTTTTTTAGACATCTGTCCTACTGAATTAAAATCTTGAAAGTTTGTCTTAGTTCTATTCTGAAATATTTGAAATAAATTTTTTTGATAATATTCCTATAGAATTATTGTTATTAAGAGAATTAATAAAATTAATTTAATATCTAGTTACTTAAAAAAAATAATTATTAACTAATTAATTTTATTAGAAATAAAAAATTGATTTTCTCGACTTTTCATGGATTAAAACGCCTTTTTTTGAACTTTAAAGTCGATCCGAGGCCTGCTTTTTTAATTTATTTTAAGTAAATAATTAATATTCAATAATAAAATATTTATTAACTTATAAAATTTACTGAAAATTAAAAATATCGACTTTTTGGGACGCATGAATTTCTAAGAAAAAATCAGTAATTAAAATTTTAACTTTAAAGAATTTTATTAGATAAAATTATTCATTGGACAAAAAATTGTCAAATTAACGTTTGACAGAATTTTTTTTTAAACAAATTTTTACTTGACAAAATTTTTATTTACCCAATTTTTATTTGTCAGAATTTTCATATTAGAGAATTTCTCATTACCGAACTTTTTATTTAAAAAATTCTAATTTAACCAAATATTAATTTAGCAGAATTCTCTCATTCAACAGAATTTTTAAATGACTTGAATTTTCAATTCATCAAAAACTTAATTTGTCCGAATTTTTATTTGCACGAATTGTTATTTGATAGAATTCTTAAATCGCCAAATTTCCATTTGTTCGAAATTGTAAATGGACGAACAAGCAACGAACAAAATGATTTCGGATCAAATTTTAAAATTAACTGATCACAATTTTCTTTATAATTACTGGTTGGTTAATTTTAAAATTTGATCCGAAATCTTTTTGTCCATTGTTTGTTCGTCCATTTACAATTTCGGACAAATAAAAATTTAGTGGTTTAAGAATTCTATCAAATAACAATTCATGCAAATAAAGATTCGGACAAATAAAAATTCAGTGATTTAAAAATTCCTATCAATAAAAATTCTGTTGAATGAAAATTCTGCTAAATTAATAATCGGTTAAATTAGAATTTTTTAAATAAAAAGTTAGGTAAAGAAAAATTCGGTACTTAAAAATGGTGGTGTTTAGTAAAAATTAGTTTAAAAGAATTTTTTTTAAATGCTATTACGAAAAATGAAAATTCGTCTAAAAAATATAATTATATCTATAGTTAAATTGTTTAAAATGAAAATTTTAGTTAATGATTTTTATGGAAAATTCATGCGTCCCTACTATTATCTACTTTTACTTATAATGTAATGCAATTAAATTTTTAAATAATATTACAATAAAAATTTAATATTTATTATTCAGATACTACTGACCAAGATATTGAAGGTATTCTGGAAGCAATGAGTAAATTAGCCGATTCAGTGAGTGTTAGTTCAATGTCAGAACCTATTAATTTAGAATCTACACAAAAATCTTCTATTCAAAAGGAAAAATCATTAGAAGAATTATTAGAAGAAGCTACTGAATTAGTAAGAATAAATGCCTATTGTCTATCCGAAAGAATGTTAAAATCAGATTCAGAATCTGAATCAACTGAATATTTTAATGCAAAAAAATATGATGCAAGTATTTTTGAAAAAATTGAAGAGGAAATTCATAGAGGTTTACAAAATCATAATGATAGTGTATTTAATGAAAATAAAAAACAACAAAGCCAAAGAGAACAATCACCAAATATTAGTAATTTATCAATGAGAAATTTATTTGAAAATATTGAAATTTTAGATATTCCAAATAATAATTTACAAAAGGAACTCATCGATGTTGATGAAAACTTTTTTGATCATGCGCTGAATAATTATGTAGCCGATATTGAAAATGTAAAATTAGATGCTTTTCATTTTGATGAAGATAAAACTATTGTGTCTTCCAAGCCGCTTCAATTAACATTAGAAGATAATGAAAATATTTCATGTAAATTAATGTCTACTTTAAACGAAAGTCCAAAAATGCTTGATGATAATTTTCATAAATTGTCCATATTAAAAGATGATTACAGTGAAAATTTAATGCAAAATGTTCCAAGTACTTCCTATGAAAATACAAAATCAGTTAATTTAGATGTCGCACCTTCAGAGTCGATTATATTTTCCCAAAATGATTCCGAGCCAATAAGAGCAAGTTCCAGTGAATTTGATAGATTAGAAAAAGAAACTATAAATAATGAAAATATTTCATCAATTTCAGAAAATGGAATTAATAATAATGTAATTTTATCAACGAATTCTGTAAATAATGAAAATTGTTCCAGCACAAATGAAATCTTCCCAAATTGGATTTCTTCCGAAAATTGTAAAACAAATTTTACATTTCAAAAATCACCAAAAGAAATAATTGAGCACAAAAAATCTTCCACAAAAACAAAAGGAAATATTATTAATAAAGTGAAAATACCATTAAAGCCAAGAAAAGAATTATTTTCCCTAAAGAAACATAATATTGTTTTAAAAGAGAAAAAAGATGAATTATTCCTTAAGAAAAAGTCTGATTTAATAAAAAATAAATCACCAAATAAAACAATTGATATTAAAAAATTAACTGATTCCTATGAAGAAGAGAAAAGGGAATTTATAAAAAACGCCGATATTTTAAATCAAGAAATTAAAAATTTACAAGAAAAAATTCTACCAGAAAAAATTGAACAATTACAACGACAAACAAAAGAAATAAAAGAATTACATAAAGAAATTAATGAACTAAATATTGAAATGTCAGAATTAAAACAACAAAATTTGGATTATTTACTAAATTACGATGATATGAAACAACAAAATTGTCTATTAAACGACGAATTAAAAATATTTAAAGAACAATTGACGGAGAAAAATAATTTTATCACCGAACGTCTTCAAATATTAACAACAAGTGAATTGAATCTTCGAAAAGAAATGGAAACTATACAAAAAGAATTGAACATAAAAACTGAATCATTAAAAATAACAAAATTAAATTACGAAAAACTTGAAGAAACAATTTTACCACTTGAAAAAGAACTTTTGGAATTACGAATTAAAGAGGGAAATTTTCAAGAGCAATTAAAAATTTCCAAAAGTCATATAGAAAGAGAAAAACAACTTTCACATAAATTAAAAAATCAAGTAATATTAGACAGTAAAAAAATAATGGATTTAATGCGACAATTACGTGAAATGGAAAGAATAATGATGAAAAAAAATCCCGATTCTGTTTCTGCATTACTATTATCGGCAAATAAAGAAACAGATAATATAAATTTGGAAAAAATTAAATTACTTGAACTAAGAAATGCATCATTGGAAAATGAAATTAAACTAAAAGAAGAAAATGCACAACAAAGACTTTCAATATTTCGTAAAGATTTCGATGAAATGATTAAGAAATATGCGACACAAATTCTTGATTTAGAAGATAAATTATCAACTAAAACAATAAAAGAAAATGAAAATTACATCGACAATAGTACACAAACAACTTTTACTAATACAGAAGAAAAAACATCAATTGAAACAACAATTCCAAACGATGATCACACAAAACAATTAAAAAACAAATCACAAAGCAAAAAAAATGACGTTCATTTAATAGCAACTATTTGTAAATTAAAATTTGAATTATCAAATAAAACAAAATCATTGTCAAAATTATCGAAAGAATATATGGAATTACAAAAAACAAATAGAAGACTACAAACGGAACGTGAAAAACAATTAAATGAAGCGCGTTGTTCTGTAACGAAGAATATTGGTCTTAAAAAAAGTAACAGTAGTTCAAGTATTTTAAAATCTAAATCATCTGATATTAATTATAATAATTGTGCAACACAATGTGATTGTAAGGATAATATTCAAAATCGACAATCAAAAACATATAATCCACTTCAATATCATGAGAATACGGGAAATAGTAGTACGGTGAAAAATTTAACAACCGAAAATAATATTCTCCGTGAGGAACTTTTTAAAATGAAAAAAGATTTTATGGCATTGAAAAATAAAAGATTACACGATTTAAATTTATTACAAGAGGAACATGAAAGAGAATTAAAGGAATTTGTGTATAAATGCAATGCGAAAGAAGAACAAATAAATATGCTGAAATTAGAGGTGAGTTTAAATTTTCTTTTTTTCTGGTTTAATAATTATTTATTTATTTAGACAAATAATAATAATTAATGTTGTCTCAGTGCTAGACTAAATTGTTTCTACGGTGTTTAAAGATCCACCTTATTATATACTCTCTCGCTCGACAAAATAATTAATAATTAATATTCCAACAAAAACATCATTGATGCAAAAAGTTTCGCCAAATAAAAGTTATCTCAAATGACAAAAAAATTTGTGAAATGAAAATTTGCCTAGTAAAAATAACTAAGTTGAATGAGGAGCATGAATTTCCCATAAAAAACAATTACAAATTTTTTTAAAAAGTATTTTATTAGAAAAAATTCATTTTTTCGACGAATTTTAAATTTTTAAATTAAAATTTAACAGAATTTCTTTTCATACGAATTTTTACATAAAATTCTTAGCTACTGAATTTTTGTTTGGCATCAGTTTTATTTTACAGTCATTTTCTTTACATGACTTTTTGTAAAAAAAAGAATTTTAATTTAAGCGAATTTTAATTTTAACACAATTCTCATTCAGTTATTTTTAATAATTTAAATATTTCATTATTAAAAATTCAATTATTTAAAAAAGTTTCAAATAAAAACTCTAAAATTTAATTGTTGTCAAAAATTTAGGAAAACAATACAGCAGCATTTTAATAAATTAGTTATTTAAAGTAAAATATTCATTAACTAATGAAATTGGGGCGCATGAATTTACCATAAAAATCATTCATTATAATTTTAAAGTATTTTTTAGAAATGATAATTTTTTAGACGAATTTTAATTAAGCAGAATTCTCAATTTTTCAAATTTTATGTGATTCGAATTTTTAAATGACATAAATCCCAATTTATCGAATTTTAATTTGTCCGAATTTGTATTTGAACGAATTTTTGAGATGCTGAATTTTCATTTGTCCGAAATTACAAATGACCAAAAAAACAATCGACAAAAAGATTTTAGCACAATTTTTAAAATTGACCAGTCACGATTTTCTTGACAATTTCTAATTGGTTAATTTTAAAATACCCGTCGAAATCTTTCTGTCCATTATTTGTTAGGTCATTTGTAATTTCGGATAAATGAAAATTCGGTGAATTGGCATTTCGGTCATTTAAAAATTCGAATCACATAAAATTCGATTGAATCAGAATTTTGTTAAATTAAAATTCGATTGAATTTAAATTTTCTTAAATAAAAAGTCATGTAAATTAAATGACTATAAAATAAAAATTCTGCCAAATAAATATTCGATAGCTAAAAATTTAGATAAAGAATTCTGTGAAATAAATAAAAAGAATTTCTGTTAAATTCTAATTCGAAAAATGAAAATTCTTCAAAAAAATAATTAGTTCTATTAAAATTCTTTAAAATGAAAATTCTAATGAATGATTTTTATGGAATAATCGTGCGCCCTGGTTGAATTTTTAATAATTTCTCCAATATAACAATTTTATTGGTAAAAATGAGTTTAACTAAATAAGTTTAATGAAAAATAAGTATTTTATTAGAGATAATTATTTTTGTATCAATTTTTAATTTTTCAATTAAAATTTGACAATTCTTTTTTATAAGAATTTTTACATAAAATTTTTAGATATCAAATTTTTGTTTGACAGAATTTTTAAATAACAAAAATTACAATTCATCAAGTTTTAATTTATAGAATTTTTGAGATGCTGAAATTTCATTTGTCCGAAATTACAAATGACCAAAAAAAAAAATCAACAAAGATTTGGGCGCGATTTTTAAAATTGACTAATCACGATTTTCTTGATAATTTATAATTGGTTAATTTTAAAAATCGCGCCGAAATCTTTCTGCCGATTATCTTTTTGGTCATTTGTAATTTCGGACAAATGAAAATTTGGCGTCTTAAAAATTCAAACAAATTAAAATTCGGTGAATTGGAATTTCTCTTATTTAAAAATTCGAATCACATAAAATTCGATTGAATGAGAATTCTGTTAAATTAAAATTAAGCAAAATTCGATAGCTAAAAATTTTTTTGTTTTAAAATTCGTAAAAAAAAATTTGTCAAATGCTAATTCGGAAAATGAAAATTCGTCTGAAAAATAGTTATTTCAAATAAATTTATTGTAGGTATAAAAAAACAGAAATAAAAAATTTTTAATTGTCTAATTGATAAGTGGGTAGACCCCTTAACAAATTATCAAAACATAAGTAATCCATTTTCGAATTTTTCTTTTTGTTACTAATAAGAGAAAAACATTTATCAAATTTATATGGTTTTTAATAATTAATATTGTTCATACTGCAAAAGAAATAATTTTATTTTATTTAGGTAAAAAAAGTCATCGCAGTTCATTCTAATTCACATCCAGGATCTAATGTTGAATTGTCTAGTTCAAGACAAAGACTCCAAAAGTTATAACGATTATTTACCTGAAATTCCTATACTAAAAGAAAAAGAAGATTAGAATTTTAATCTCTTATCAATCGAATCGAATTGTACAAAATAGATTTATGACTAAAAAATTATTTATTTGCACAATTAAACTAATTGATTTAAGATGATATTAAACGTTTTTTACAGAGCATTTTAACGAACAAGACACATTTAAAAAAAATAAGATATTTTATTGTCTATTTCAATTTCTCTGTTTCCTTTTAATTCTATATTTTCTAAAAAGATGAAAATAAATTTTAACCTTTATTCCTTTAATATTCTTTTCTTAGTTCTTAGATCTTTTTATTTTTCCGTTGAAAAGCCCTGTAAAACAACGTTAAATAAGATAAAACGGATGTAAAAAATATCATCATTAATCTACTTTTTATTCACTTGAAATCATCATTTTATATCTCACTTTTTATATTTATTATTATTATTATTACGATTTTTGTTAGTTATTATTTTTTATACATATTTTTAATTTTACCCAATAAAGCACTTATACATATACATATTATTTATTTAAGAATAAAAATTATTCAAATATGTTTTTTTTTATATTTAAAAAAATGATAATTTAACAGTAATACTGTTTTTTAAAGAAACTTCGTTATAAAAAATTATTTATTTGAATGTGAAATTTTAAGTTGCTGAGTGTATTTCTTAAAATGGGACGCATGAATATTCGCCACATTAAATTTGTTGTAATTTTAACATTTAAAAATTGTTATTTAACTGTATTCATCTTTAGAATTGAGAGAAAAATTATAGATAAACATTAATATGTCATTAGAAAATGTTGATTTTTTAAATAAGAATTACTGCACAATTTTTTTGTTTTAATTGCATAATTATCGCATAATTATATGCGATTTTAGCGCATAATCAAGATGTTTAGATCCGTGAAATACAAAAATTAATTAACCATAATATAAAATAATATAAAGAAAAACTAATAACAAGGAAAACATTGTATTGTGTTAAATTTCTCGATCTATCTGGTCGATACGACGTATTTTATTAGTGCGTCCTTATAGGAAGATAAGGACATATGAAAAAAAATCCAAATCAACGTTACGATGTGAAAATTATGTGAAAATTAATTATGAAAATTTTGCAAAATAGAAATAATATTAATTAAAAATTCGATCAACTAGAGAATCTTTTGCATAAAAGTTCGACTAAATAAAAATGCCTTTAAATATGAATTCAGTTAAATAATAAAAATTCTTAAATATCAAAATTCAATTAAATATTAATTCTAACTTTATAAAATTTGGTAACGTAGAAATTCGAACTTATTAATTTCGAAACCGTAGAAATTCCAACAAATTCAAGTGTGGGGAATATTCATGCGTTTCCTTAAAATAATATAATGTTACTGGAATTATTAATAAAATACATGTATGTTTGTTTGTAAAAATCAGGAATTTATTTTAATAGCTTAAAAAATCTGTCATTTGTGCACTAATTTAATTGTACATTTTCTTCATGTCATTCTAGCGCTCATTATGGAAAAAAAACAATTATCTTTTAACATTGTACATAAACAACAATACATATATAATATGCGAAGCAAGGAATAATTTTTTTTAAGCATCAAGCATTTTTAAAATAAAATATATTTAATCTCATATTTTATAAAACTAAAAATACTTTTAAAAAGTCTTTTTTTTAAAAAAAAACTTATCCTAATTTATACAGATAAAAATCTGAGCAATAAATTGTTGTTTTTTTTTAAATTCTATTTTTCTAATTTAAAGTCATATTTGCGTTTGACTGCCCCAGATTCTCGATTTTTCAGTTCTCATTACTTTTTTGCCAATAGTCTGTACAATAAATCCAATTTTTTGTAATTCATCATGATTTAAAATCTTTCGTCCATCAAAAATATGTGCTGGTTTCATCATATTTGAGTATATTCGTTTATAATCTAATTCCTGGAAATAAATAAAAAAAAAAATGAAGGGAAAATTAATTTTCTTTCAATTTAATTTTGAGTTGATAAAATTTTTAAAAATCGTTTCTCTAAAAACAAAAAATTTTTTTTACAAAATTATTAATGCATTTTTCACAACAATAAAAGTTTTAGAAATTATATTTGTTAATTGTTAATTAGTTTGAATTAAAAAAATAAAAATTACCAAAAATTCATCCCATTCTGTGCATACAACTATTGCGTGTACATTTTTCGTTGCTTCATAAGCATTATTGTAAATACTGATTTTTTGTTTCACCAATTCTGGTTCAACTGTTATATATGGATGAGTTAAGTCTTCTATTATTTGCGCCTCTTCAACCTAAAATGCAAACAAAAAGTTTACATACAAATTTGTTAAAACTATTGGTCAATCGACGATTCTAGAAATATCAAGGTTGACACAAAAATATTATTTTTTTTTCCTTGACTTTTCCCTGACCCTAATGAAAATATTTCAAGAGGTTTTCAATAACAAGCCTCTGATTGCACGAATTTTTCAAATTTTTTTGTTATTTTTTAAAATTGAATTATTAAAAAAATATATTAACATGAATTGTTTGCAAAATCAATTATTTTCAATAATTTCAAACAATTTCTTCGAAAATTACATAATTTAAAACAGTTTTCAATTGAAAATTCTCTGAAATTCAATTATTGTCTAAAGTTTTTAAAAAAATTTCACCAATTCAAAATGAAAGTTTCAATTAATAATCTCCTGATATTCAATTATTATTTCTTAAAATTGTTGAATAATTTAATTTTAATAATTTTAATCAACATATTCGAAAATTCAATTATTTTAAACATTTTTCAATTCAAAATTCTCCAAAGTTTAATTATTGTTTAAAGCTTATAAAATATCTACAGAAATTCCAATTTACGAAAATTTTAATTAAAAATCTACTGAAATTAAATTAGTTTCAAAAACTTGAACTATTGCTCTTCCAAAACTCAATTATTTACCAAATTTTTAACTTCAATTTCCTTTTCAATTAATTATTTCTAATAACATTAATCAAGTTTTTCAAAAATTCAAACACATAAAACGTTTTTTAATTATTAATTCTTTAAAATGAAATTTTTGTTTATATAATTTTTAAAAAATTTCAATAATTCAAGTTTTTAAAAATTTTAATTGAAAATTTCAAAAATCGAATAATTAATTGAATGTTAATTCCATTGAAAATTTTTTTCTTTTTTTTTTTGCTTTTAGTAGCATTTTTAGAAATTTAATATTTTTCCAGTACTTTTCATAAAATTCCCTGATATCCCTGACCCGTGGCAACCTTAAATATTATATATTAACTAGCAAAATTAAACGCGCGCAAGCTCGCCAAATTGAGTATTTAATTGTTTGTTATAAAGAAATTAAAGATTAATATTATCAATAATAATTTAATTTATTAGAATATTATTACATATTAAATGATAATAATGAAAATTATATGTTTACAGGCCTTGGATTATACGACTTTTTCAGACTTTTTTCAAAAATACCACTTTTATCGACTTATTTTAATAAAATGCGACATTTTTTTTACATTTGAAAAAAAAATGTAAATAAAATACATTTTTTAGTATAAAATGTAGATTTTCTTCAGATCTTCTTCAATTCAATTATTTAATAAATTTTGAACTAAAATGATTCTTCACTAAATTAATTTTTTTTAATAAATTTAATGAAATACATCACAAATTCAATTATATCAAAATTATTTTTCAATTAAAATTTTTATGAAATTTAACAATTGTTTATAATTTTAAAAAAAATATCACAATAAAATTGAATTATTTTTTAAAAATTTCAATTCAAAATAAACTAAAATTCAATTATTACAAGAAATTTTAATTCAAAATCAATTAAAAATCCAATAATTATCCAAAATTTTCAATTTAAAATTTAATTATTTACCAAGTTTTCAATTTAAAATGAAATAAAATTCAATTATTTTCTAAAATTTCTATTCAAAATTAATTATCCAAATTTTCAATCAAAAATGAACTTAAACTAAATTATTATCCAAAATTTCTATTAAAATTTAATTATTTCCCAAAATTTTCAATTCAAAATGAACGGAAATTCAATTATTTTCCAAATTTAAAATCAAATAAAATTTCATTATTCTCAAAAATTTGAATTCAAAATTAATTGAATTTTCAATAATTTGAATTTAATTATTTCTAAAATTTTCCATCGAAAATTTTTTTTTTGAATTTTAATAATTTCAATTATAACTCTAAGGAAATTCAATTATTTTGAACTATTTTTATAATATTCTTTGAAATTTCAACTATCTGAAACCATTTTTTAATTAAAAATGATTTTCAAATTATTGTATTTTGTCCGCATTTTCTAATAAATTTTTAGTGAAATCATCTAAAATTTTAATTAAAAATCACTTAAAGTTTCAATTAATTTTAAAAAATCTCAATTTTAAATCTTTGAAAATTCAATTAAATTTAAAAAATTTTTTCCAAAAATTGTTTGATAAATTATTTTCAGTTCTGTAAAATTTAATAATTGTTTTTTTTTGCTTTTAGTTGCATTTTTAGAAATTTGATATTTTTCCAGTACTTTTCATAAAATTCCCTGATTTCCCTGACCCGTGGCAACCCTGAAGATTATATATTAATATTAATATTAGATATATGGGTGAATCTCTCGAAAAGGACAAATGCTGAATTAAGAAAAAAAAAAAAAAAAAGTTCAAAACCACTGTTATGACTATTGCTATGTGAAGAGAAGGACCTAAATAAGTCTCTAAAATACGTTGTTACGATCTTTATGAACATTATTGTTTAAAAAATAATTGTTTAATATAAAATAATTGTTTAATATTTTGTCACCGATACAATGATCGAATCCGTTTAAATCTTGTTACTCGAGGGTTTTTGGGGTCGCTAAACACGAATCCGGTGTTAGTTTTTCAAAATTCAAAATGACAGATCCAATATGGCGGACGACAATTTCAAAAATCAGTCCAATTTACTTGAAAATGGTTATTCGGGGGTTTTCGGGGTCGCTGATTACGAATTTAAGATCCGTTTTTAAAAATTCAAAATGGCGGACGACAGATTTAAACATCCATCCAATTTACTTGAAAATAGTTACTCAGGGGTTTTTGGGGTCGCTGATTACGAATCTGGAATCAGTTTTAAAAAATTCAAAATGTCGGACAATTATCTTTTAAATCTATTTAATTGGCTTCAATATCGTTAATTAGGGGGTTTCAATAACGGTGAACACAAATCTGAAGGTAACCCAAGTAACCATTTTCAAGTAAATTGGATTGATTTTTGAAATTGTAGTCCGCCATATTGGATCCGCCATTTTGAATTTTGAAAAACGGACCTCAGATTCGTAATCAGCGACCCCAAAAACCTCCGAGTAACCATTTTCAGGTCAATCGGATCGATTTTTTAAATTGTTGTCCACCATATAGGTTCCGCCATTTTGAATTTTTGAAAACGGACTTCAAATTCGTAATCAGCAGACGAAAATCTTGAAGGAACGATTTCGTTTGATTTTTTTAACATTATTATTCGATAATATTACATGTTCTTTTTTTTTTGACATGGACCCCTTTGACCCCCTGTAATTCCGAAAGGGGGCATATGCTCATCTTGAAATTTTGCAGGGATTATTGGGTCATCATATGTTACCATTTGGCATAAAGAAAGTTTCAAAATTCGAGGTACGAAAAAGGTGTATTTTTTTGCATGAGGCTTTATAATCGATGGATGTGACTAGCGATCACGAACATTGCGAAACTGAAAATCTTTCTGACACTTATTGTTTTCATTTCTTTCATGATGTTGTGTACTGACCAAAACAACATCGTCACTGTAAACACTTTTGAATTCTTCATTTCTCAATTATCATTTTTTTTTTCATTTACTCATTATATTTGTAATTGGTCACGGAGGGGAGTTTACTTTGCGAACAAAACTTATTTAATTCTAGGAAAAAATATTTTACAAATATTCTGTTTTACACTTTATAAATCAATTATAAATAATGTAATTAGTAGATGTTACTAGACAAAAGATGTTTTCCTATTGCAGTATGAATGCAATAATTCTTCTTTAAATAAAACTTACTTCGCGAACGGTAACGGAGGGGAGTTTTTACACTATATAAACATGATTATATTCAATTATTTAAAATTGTCAATTTTTTTTTATAAAATCTTATTAAATTCTGTTGACTTCTATAATAAGGCCCGCAACATTTTCAATTATTATAATTATTTATTAAAAATAATGTCATGAACGTGTCATTTGTCCTTTTTGTGAGAATGACCCATATATATTAATATAGCAACCCCTAAAATAGTCGAATAATTCTATTTAAGAAAATAAAAATGAAATACCTTTGGATCGTATATGTGCAATTTTGCACCTTCATCCAATAGTGCCTTTGCCACATGAATTGCCGCAGATTCACGAGTATCACCAGTATTTTTTTTAAATGCGAAACCTAAGAGTGCAATTTCCTTATCCGTAACTGTATTAAATAGAGATTCAATGATTTTAGCGGAAAATCTCAATTTTTGATATTCATTCATGTCAATAACTTGCTGCCAATAGGCCGCAACTTCAGGTAAATTTAAACATTCACAAATATAAACTAAATTGAGAATATCTTTTTGGAAGCATGAACCACCAAAGCCAACTGAGGCTTGTAAAAATTTTGAACCTATTCGTGAATCAAGACCAACAGCACGTGCCACTTCTGAAACATCAGCGCCAGTAGCTTCACATACTGCTGATAATGAATTAATACTGGAAATTCGTTGTGCTAAAAATGCATTTGCAGCCTGAAAATAAATTTATTAATTAAGAAAAAGGGATGCATGATTATCCTTTAAAAATCATTTGTTATAATTTTGATTTTAAAGAATTTTATTATTATTTTTTAGCCGAATTTTCATTCTTCGAATTAAAATTTGATAGAATATTTTTTTAAACAAATTTTTACTTAACAGGATTTTTATGAATTGAATTTTAAATTGTCCGAAATTGTAAATGACCGATTTCGGCGCCATTTTTAAAAATAACCAATCACAATTCGGACAATGAAAAATTCGGCATTTTAAGAATTCTGATGAATAAAAATTACCTAAAAATTCGTTTAAAAAGAGATTCTGTCAAATTTTAATTCGAAAAATAAAAATTCAACGAAAAAATAATTATATCTAATAAAATTCTTTAAAATGTAAGAAAAATAAAAAAAAATTTTGCTTTCTGTAACTAACCAATTTTGAAAGTTCAGAACTCCAAGTGTTCATCGTTATAATATTTTTTCGCGGTAGCCAATGCTCGTAAACTTTGCTTAATTTCTCAATTGCTGCTTTACCCTCAACAGAATCTTCACCTCCAATTAATACTCGATCGGCATTAATTAAATCATTAATAGCAGTTCCTTCAGCTAAAAATTCTGGATTAGAAAGTATCTGTAAATATTTTAAATTATCACTTATCCTGATGCGATTAAATTTTTTTAAAAAAATTTTTTGTTTAAAAATACTAAAAATATTTAATTTTTTTTTCTTTTTCACCTGATATGAAACGCCTGGTTTATGATTGGCACGTAATATTTTCATAATACTTTCAGCAGCACGTACAGGAACAGTACTTTTTTCCACAACAATTTTATGATCTGTTGCAATTTCAGCAATCATTCTTGCAGCACTTTCAACATATTTTAAATCGGCTGCTCTTCCTTTACCAATGCCAAATGTTTTTGTTGGTGTATTAACGGAAATAAAAATAATATCAGCTTCTTTAATTGCAGTTTCAATGTCAGTTGAAAAAAATAAATTTCGACCACGACAATTTTTTACCACTTCATCTAAACCGGGTTCATAAATTGGTAATTTATCCGAATTCCATTGTGCTATTCTATCTTTACTTTTATCAACGACAGTAACTTGAATTTCGGGACATTTTAATGCAATAACACTACACGTTGGTCCACCTACATAACCAGCCCCGATACCACAAATTTTTTTTGTTGTCATATTGTCTATTTTTCTGAAAATGTAAATTACAGTTTACTTGTTTTTTTAAACAAAAAGTATTATAATTTTTGTTCTACTAAATCTAAATTAATGCAGGCATCGGATTATACAACTTTCGACATTTTTAACAAAATTAAAATATACAATGTAAATCTTCTTCAGATCTTCTTTATTTCAATTATTTAACAAATTTTTAATTAAAATTCTTTTCTAAATTGAATATTTTTAATTTTCATGAAATTCTTCACAAATTCAATTATCGTTAACTATTTTTCAATTCAAAATTTAATAAAATTCAGTAACTGTTTAAAATTTAAAAAAAAATCAGCAAATAAAATTTCCAAATATTCTTCAAAAATTTAATTATCTGAAAGCATTTTTCAATTTAAAACATTTGAAATGCAATTTTTGTCCTTAATTTATAATAGGGTCAGCCGGGGTAAATCCGAACGCTTTTAGTAAGTTTCAACAATAACATAAGTTTTCTCTTTTAAAAGACAATACAATACGAACGCCACTGTATTTCAGAAAAATCTTAGGGAAAATAAATTTAAAGTATTGCAATTGTTAAACTTATATAAAAACTCAAAAAAAATACGATAATAAACCTATTATGTAATAATGCATCATATATAAATACAAAAATCAAACAGGTTAAAAATTAAAATGCATTACACAATTAAAACCTTCAATAACTTTATCAAATCATAACGGATTTTTGCAAAACTTGGTACAGAAAGTATTTTGGAGTGATTGAATGTAAATACAAAAATAAAAGTGAAATTTTTTAAATTCAAAATGGCGGACTTTCCTAAAACTTATTTTTAAAAATGATCAAATTTGCTAACCCTGAAACCCCCCGAGTAACAATTTTCGAGCGAATCCAATGAATTTTTTAATTCTCGTCCGCCATTTTGAATTTTGAAAAACTGACTTCAAATTGGTAATTAGCGACCCCAAAAACCGTAGAATACCAAATTTTATTAAGATCCTGAAAAACTTTTTTCAACAAACCATTTGGCAAAAAAATTGAAACACTCCTTCGAGAGAACAGAGATTAAGTTTCTGCTTATTAATTACTAACGAGGATACGTATAGAAAGAAAAACTTTTTTCTATGTACTTTTATAATGTTAAAATAATAGTGTAATCAAATAAAAACAGTTTTGTGTGGCTCTGATATAAGAAAAAATTATTGAAAATACCGTTCGGATTTACCCCGGTTTTCCAATTTTCCGGGGTGAATACGAACGGTCTGATATTATTAATAAAATTTTACAGAAGGCAAAAATCAAAAATAGTTTCTGTTCTAATATTCATAACAAACAATTATAAATAATAAAATGAATTTTTAGCTTCTTTTTCTTCAAATACGAGACAAAATACTGAAAGAGTGTCATCTTTGATTTTCAATCTTTTTTGCAATACTTGTTATCTTTGTTTATGCTGTTGCTAATTAACAAACAAAAAATGGGATAATACTTAGAATCTCTTGAAGAGGATCTGAGGTAAAAATTCTCATGTCTAACTTATTTTTTTAAATTTTAATTAAGCTGAAATAATTAGCGTTCGGATTTACCCCGACTGACCCTACATTCTTCAGCCACTGAAATAAGCAAAAATTTTAATTAAAAATCACTTAAAGTTCAATTATTTTCAAACATCTGAATTATAAACCTTTGAAAAGTCAATTACTTAAAAAAAATGTTATCTACAATTATTTGATAAATAATAAATTACTTTTAATTCTGTAAAATTTAATTTTTATCTGAAATTTAACAAAATCTATTGACATTGAATTATATTTCTAAAAATTTCAACTATTTCCAAAATTCAATTATTTTTAATAATTTAAATATTTATTTAAAAATTCAATTATTTGAAAAAGTTTCAAATAAAAACTCTAAAATTAAATTGTTATCAGAAATTAAAAAAAAACTACAGCATTTTTTTGGAGAAAATTTATTTAAAATTTAAAATCTTCTGTAATTCAATTATTTTAAAAAAATTTAATTTAAAATTCTGTAAAACTTACCGTAAAATGAGGTAAAGTCGGCCGGCGCTTTAAACACTTAAATATTGTATTTCATTTATTAATTTACATTAATTCTAACTACATTTTTAATAAAACTCGGATTTCTTCTGGAAAAAAGTAATAGTTAAACTTTAAAATGATTTAAAGCGCCGGCCGACTTTACCTCATTTTACGGTAATTATTATTCAAAATTTTTTTGACTATAACTAAAAACTATGACAAAATTTTTAATTTGAATAAATTGCTTAAATCAGACTTTAAAAAATGTTTTAATTTGAACTTTATGAATTTTTTTTTAGTAATAATTTATCTTAATTAAAATTTGAAAAATTTGACTTGGATTCTGAAATATTTGAATTAAATTTTCTTAATAATATTCTTATATAGAATTATTCTTATTAAGGAATTAATTAAATGAATTTATTATCTAATAACATTAGTTATATTTAAAGTAAAATATTCAGTAACTAATTAAATGGGGGCACATAAATTTACCATAAAAATCATTAATTAGATTTTTTATTTTAAATTATTTTTTTAGAAATAATTATGTTTTAGACGAATTTTAAATTTTCGAATTAAAATTTGACAGATTTTCTTTTTATACGAATTTTAACATAATAAAATTTTTAGCTACCGAATTTTTGTTTGGCAGAATTTTTATTTTACAGTCAATTTGCATTTACATGACTTTTTATTTAAAATAATTTTAATTTAACAGAATTCTCAATCTATAAAATTTTATGTGATTCGAATGTTTAAATGGCAGAAATTTCAATTCACTGAATAATAATTTTTCCGAATTTTTATTTGTACGAATTTTTAATTGATAGAATATTTAAGACGCCAAATTTTCAAATAGCCGAACAAACAATCGACAGAAAAATTTCAGCGCAATTTTTAAAATTAACCAATCACGATTTTCTTGATAATTTATAATTTGTTAATTTTAAAAATCATGCCGAAATCTTTCTCTCGATTGTCTTTTCGGTCATTTGTAATTTCAGAAAAATGAAAATTCAGTGTCTTAAAAATTCAAACAAATTGAAATTCGGTGAATTGGAATTTCTCTTATTTAAAAATTCGATTGGATCAGAATTTTGTTAAATTAAAATTAAATTAAATTAAAATTTTTTTAAATAAAAAGTCATGTAAACTAAATGACTAGAAAATTACAAGTTCTGACAAACAAAACTTCGGTAGCTAAAAATTTTGTTAAATAAAAATTCGAACAAAAAAAAAGTATATCAAATGCTAATTCGAAAAATGAAAATTTGTATAGAAAATAATTATTTCTAATGAAATCCTTTAAATTGAAAATTTTAATTAACGATTTTTATAGGATAATCATGCGTCCTTTTAAATATATTTAAAATAAAAAAATCAACTAAAACAACTTTTTGCGCCTTAAAGTCGATCCAAGTCCTGTTAGTAAAAATAGTGTGACACTAATTCACATTAGTAAGAATTTTAACTACTTTTTCGGCACTTTTTCATAACAACTTTAATAAATAAAAAAATTTTTACTAACAAAAAAATAGCGTAATTTTTTATTAGTCTGACTTAGTGGTTCACTTTTAACTAAATTCAATTTAGAGAATGTAATTCTTTCGTTAACAGAATCGATTTGCGTTTTTCGATAGCTTTGAATTTATCAAAAGAACAGATTAGCATGAAATTGCACGTGATTGCAAAGTAAACAATAAAGCTAAGAGTAAATTATATTTTTCTTTGGTACATAAATATTGGTTTCAATAATTTTCTGTTTATCTGAACTTCTTTATTAATAAATATTTTTTAAAAAAAGAAATTTTTTTTTTTTTTTTTTAATAATTTAATTTAAATTAATGATTTTGAGAAAAATGAATTAAAAACAAAAATTAAAGGGAGCGACCAGTGAAATTTTAACACTTTAAAATTTACGTTTTTTAATAAAAATAGTTTAAATAATTCTTGATATATTAAAATTATGAAATAATAAATAAATCTAAAAAAAGTAATGGTCAAATCTGAATCATTTAAAATCTTTAAATAAGAGTCTTTATCACTCTCACAATAATCAATCTAAAAAGAATTAAGATCATATCATGTTGTTAATCACCAAAATAAATTAAAGCCTATTTTTACATTGTTTTTTAATTGCTTCACGTTTCTGATAAGGTCATATCATATCAAAACTTGTAAACTTAGTGTATTATTCAAATTAAATTTTATAAACATTTACTTTGAAAAAAGAAATTAAACAATGTTTTAAAATTTCAATTTAAATATTATAAAATAAATATCATTTGATGAAGAATTTATTAGAAATTACATTCAAAAATTGAATTTTAAAAGTTTTTAATTGAAAATATTAATAAAAATATATTATCTTCTTACATGAGGTTTTTCGAAGAATATTATAAAAATCATTAAAAATAATTGGAATTTTTGCAAATAATTAAATTTCAAGTGATTTTGAATTAAAATTTTTTGGTAATTTTATTTGCTAATATTTTTAAAATTATTAATAATTATTGAATTTCATAAATTCTGTAATTCAACAAATAGTTAAGGATAATTGAGTTTGTGAAGAATTTCATTAAATTTATTAAAAATAATTGATTTAGTAAAGAATTTTAGTTAAAAATTTATTAAATAACTAGCAAAATTAAACGCGCGCAAGTGCGCCAAATTGAGTATTTAATTGTTTGTTATAAATAAATTAAAGATTAATATTATCAATAATAATTTAATTTATTAGAATATTATTACATATTAAATGATAATAATGAAAATTATATGTTTACAGAATTATTTTTTAAAACATTCAATTGAAAATAAACTAAAATTCAATTATTAGCCGACTTTTTAATTCAAAATCAATTAAAAATCCAATAATTATCCAAAATTTTCAATTTAAAATTTAATTATTTACCAAGTTTTCAATTTAAAATGAAATAAAATTAAATTATTTTCTAAAATTTCTATTCAAAATTGATTATCCAAATTTTCAATGAAAAATGAACTTAAACTAAATTATTATCCAAAATTTCTATTAAAATTCAATTATTTCCCAAAATTTTCAATTCAAAATCAAATAAAATTCAATTATTTTCAAAAATCTCAATTCAAAATCAACTCAAATTCAATTATTACCAAAAATTTAAATTCAAAATCAATTAAAATTCAATTATTATCCAAAATTAATTATTATCAAAATTTTCAATCAAAAATCAACTAAAATTAAATTATTATCCAAAATTTCAATTCAAAATCAAAGAAAATTCAATTATTTTTAAAAGTTTCAATTTAAAATCAATTAAAATTCAATCATTTTCCAAATTTGCAATTTCAAATCAAATAAAATTCAAATTATTTTCCAAATTTTTAATTCAAAATCTTTTAAAATTTAATTATTTTCCAAATTTTCAATTCAAAATCTTATAAAATTTAATTATTTTCTAAATTTTCAATTTAAAAGCATCCAAAATTTAATTATTTCTTAAATTTTCCATCGTAATTTTTTTTTTTTGAATTTTAATAATTTCAATTATAACTCTAAGGAAATTCAATTATTTTTAACTATTTTAAAAATATTCTTTGAAAATTCAACTATCTGAAACGATTTTTCAATTAAAAATGATTTTCAAATTATTGTATTTTGTCCGCATTTTCTAATAAATTTTTAGTGAAATCATCTGAAATTTTAATTACAAAACACTTAAAGTTTCAATTAATTTCAAAAATCTTAATTTTAAATCTTTGAAAATTCAATTAAATTTAAAAAATGTTTTCCAAAAATTGTTTGATAAATTATTTTTAGTTCTGTAAAATTTGATAATTGTTTGAAAATTAACAATATCTTTTGAAATTTAATTATTTCTAAAAATTTAAACTTTAACCCTTCGAAAAGGATTATTATTAAAAAAAATAATTTTTATTTAAAAATCTGTAAAATATTTTTGTTAAAATAAAAAACAAATCGACTTTTTTTTGGAATATAAATCGACTAAAACGACTTTTTGTGTCTTTAAGTTGATTCGAGGCCTGTGTTTTTATAATTAATATTTGTTGGCCCCTGATACCTTAAAAATTAATTTTAAAAAATAAAGTTTTTTCAAATTACTATCTTGTACGAAATTTCCTGGCGCATCTTTTTTCTCATCATAAATTTTTTGTATTTGTATACAATTTTTGAATGAATATACAACTTTAAAAAAAATTTCGTTGGTAAACGAATTTTGGAATTTGGAATTTTAAAAAAACTTATTCCGAAATTTGGAAACACAATTATACAACTTTGGCAAAAATGAGAAAAAGAATTGTCAAAATTTGACACGTCATAAGATTACTATTCAAAAAAACACGTGAAATCAGAAAAGGCCAACTTCAAGTTAGGACAGAAGGACAGACCAAGCATTTTATTATTATTATTATTATAATGTAACATAGATATATATTATCTTTTTACATGAGGTTTTTCGAAGAATATTATAAAAATCATTAAAAATAATCATTGAAATTTTTGCAAATAAGTAAATTTCAAGTGATTTTAAATTAAAAAATTTTTGGTAATTTTATTTGCTATTTTTTTTTAATTATAAACAACTATTAAATTTCATAAAAATTTTAATTGAAAAATAGTTCCAGATAATTGAATTTGTGAAGAATTTCATTAAATTTATTAAAAATAATTAATTTAGTGAAGAATTTTAGTTAAAAATTTATTAAATAATTGAAATAAAGAAGATCTGAAGAAGATCTGCATTGTATACTAAAATAACATATTTGGTTTAAATATTTTTTTAAAAATGTAAAAAAAAGTCGAAAAAGTCGCATATTATTAAAATAAGTCGAAAAAAGTAGTATTTTTGAAAAAAAGTCATATAATCTGAGGCCTGAAAATTTTTGCAAAAAAAAAATACTTGTGACTGTAATAGATTTTATTTAAAAAATAAAATAAATGAAGTTTTAAAAATATGTATGTAATAAATTTAATCTTTTTACTTGAAAAAGACGTAAATAAAATTTTTAAAAATTACATAGTATTCATTAATTTTTAAGGCACAGTTTGTAAAATTTCTATAATTTTTTCGTTTATGAAAAACAAGCCAGAAGCCTTTTTTTTTCTAGAAACAAAATCATTTTATGGGATTAAAAGCATATGATGCTTAAATTAAAATGAAAAGAAAGAAAAAAGAAAAGAAATAAATGAATTATGAATAAAAAAAATTTAGTGAAATTAAAATTTGAAAACAATCCACGTAGACAATTTACTTGCGGTTAACTAAGATGTTAGTAAATTTAAGAAAAAAAATGTAATACTTTTTTGATCGTGTGCTTCAATTGATTTTTATTTTTTTTAAATTACTTATTTTAAAAATGATTTTAATTGAGTTACTTACGTTATAAATCACTGCTTGCATTTATAAAAACATGAATGATTTTTCTAAGGGTGGATGTAAAAGTCTTTATATTCCTTCGAGTAACTTATACAATATTTAAAATAAGAAAAATTGAAACGTGGTATGTATTACAAAAATGAAACGTGGTATATTTATATTTACAATATAATATAATAGATTAATATCAAGACTATTTACTAAAAAATTATCATTTTAACCGGAACTTCGTTGGTTGATTGACAGCGAGGTATATCCACAATGAATTAATCAGTTTTAAATAGTGTTTTGACGTACATCGAAAAAACCTCCCACATGTGACACTTCTGATAAGGGCTCTGTAAAGGTGGTTCCACAACTACTTGCTCAAAGTTTTGCTTCGCATTTGACTTGCTTTATTATGTCAAAATGGTGCTCGTGCTCATTTTCCAGTTGTCGAAAATAAATTAAAAACGAGTTAATTAGTAATTAATTAAGTAGTCTTTAATTAATTATAAATTAAAATTAATTAATGTCAAGTGCAAAGCAAAAGCTTAAGCAACTAGTGACAAAACGCAACGCAAAACGCTGCCATGGGACTGAAGCCTAAGGCTGCAGTCCCATGGCAGCGTTTTGCGTTGCGTTTTGTCACTAGACCCTGAGTGTAAACATAGCAAACATATATCTGCATCTCTTTTACACTCATGGTCTAGTGACAAAACGCAACGCAAAACGCTGCCATGGGACTGCAGCCTAAGGTTATTTTATAATTATGGAAAAAGTATGTAGGGGAAGTGTCACATATGGGGGGTTTCTACTTATGTTTTCTTATCATTCCCAACACTGAATTCAGTTGACTATTCCTTCTATACTCAATGTCTATGGATTAGTCACATGTGTATGTAGTTTTTTTTTATTATAAAGAAAAGAAAAATTTTTCTCATGGATTGTTGTTTTGTACTTATTTATTTTTTTTTATTTAAAAATTCACTAAAATTTTAAAAAAATTTCTGTAACAATAAAAATTAAGACATTTAAAATTGTAAACTTTTTTAAAAAAATTTTTACACAATATATATATATATTAAACATTGGAGTATGGAGCAAGTGCCATGATTATTCTTAAATAGAGAAGATTTTAAAGAAATTTAATAAAAAAGTGTTTATAAAATTGAATTATTCCAGTATTTTTTTATTTAAAAAGAAAAATTACTCGCTAATTATTTGCGAAGATGACTTCTTCTAGTTGGGCGAGTAGTATCAGTAACCCAATTCCGAAATGGCAACTTGCTTTAGTTGTTGGTGCACCGGTTGCACTTGGACTTGGTTATGTGTATTACAAGAATAATTCAAAATCATCATTAAAATCACCGAGAGATAAATCAAAAGATGGTCTTAATGAACATTTAACAAAATCAGATAAGCAAATATCCATTGATGGTGATGTCACTTCTAATTTAGCGGAACATCCAAGTGAGGTTAAGTTTTTATTTTCGCAAATATTTTATATTATAATACTTTTAATTTTAATTTTGTTTATTGCTTTAAATTACTATTTTTTATTCACTATTTTTATCTTTATTCATTTTTTTAAGTTTGCGGGGAAAAAATTGTAAAATTTTTTAATAACTAAATGGAGAAAATATAAATTCTAATCTAATCTAATATTTTAAAATATTCTTCTTCTTCTTCTTTTAAAATGACGTTATTTATTTTTTTCTTTACAAAATTTGTTCGAAGTTTTACTTTTTCTATATTTATTACAGTATTAATAATTTAATTACAATATTAATATAAAAATCTGATGTAATATAAATTTCGTCTGGATAAACAGAAATGATGCGCAATTTATTCAAATTGAAATTGCAGGTAGCGGCTTTATAACATTTTTTCCCAGATCTTTTGATTTATTTTGTATTTTAATCAGATCAATTTTTATTTATTTATTTGTAAAAACACAAGTATAATTTTCTATAATATAAAAATTATTATTATATAATAATAAAATGCTTGGTTGCTTGGTCGGAATAAGTTTCTTTAAAATTCCAAATTCGAAAATTCAATTCACGAAGCTGAAGTACACAACGTTTACCAACGAAATTTTTTTTAAAGTTGTATATTCATTCAAAAATTGTATACAAATACAAAAAATTTATGATGAGAAAAAAGATGCGCCAGGAAATTTCGTACAAGATAGTAATTTGAAAAAACTTTATTTTTTAAAATTAATTTTTAAGGTACCAGGGGCCAACGAATACCTATTAAATATTAATTATAAAAACACAGGCCTCGAATCAACTTAAAGACACAAAAAGTCCGTTTAGTCGATTTATATTCCAAAAAAAGTGGATTTGTTTTTTATTTTAACAAAAATATTTTACAGATTTTTAAATAAAAAATTTTTTTTTTTTAATAATCCTTTTCGAAGGGTTAAAGTTTAAATTTTTAGAAATAATTAAATTTCAAAAGATATTGTTAATTTTCAAACAATCATTAAATTTTACAGAACTAAAAATAATTTATTAAATTTATTTTAATTTATTTATTAAAAAATGCGGACAAAATACAATAATTTGAAAATCATTTTTAATTGAAAAATGGTTTCAGATAGTTGAATTTTAAAAGAATATTATTAAAATAGTTAAAAATAATTGAATTTCCTTAGAGTTATAATTGAAATTATTAAATTTCAAAAAAAAATTTTCGATGGAAAATTTTAGAAATAATTAAATTTTAGATGCTTTTAAATTCAAATTATTGAAAATTCAATTAATTTTGAATTCAAATTTTTGAGAATAATTAAATTTTATTTGATTTTAAATTTGGAAAATAATTAAATTTCAGTTCATTTTGAATTGAAAATTTTGGGAAATAATTGAATTATAATTGAAATTTTGGATAATAATTTAATTTAAGTTCATTTTTAATTAAAAATTTGGATAATTAATTTTGAATAGAAATTTTAGAAAATAATTTAATTTTATTTGATTTGAAATTGAAAACTTGGTAAATAATTAAATTTTAAATTGAAAATTTTGGATAATTATTGGATTTTCTTTGATTTTGAATTGAAATTTTGGATAATAATTTAATTTTAGTTGATTTTTGATTGAAAATTTTGATAATAATTAATTTTGAATCGAAATTTTGGATAATAATTGAATTTTAATTGATTTTAAATTAAAATTTTTGGTAATAAGTGAATTTGAGTTGATTTTGAATTGAAATTTTGGATAATAATTTAATTTAATTTCATTTATGATTGAAAATTTGGATAATTAATTTTGAATAGAAATTTTAGAAAATAATTGAATTTTATTTGATTTTAAATTCAAAACTTGGTAAATAATTAAATTTAAATTGAAAATTTTGGATAATTATTGGATTTTTAATTGATTTTGAATTAAAATTTCGGGTAATAATTATTATAATTATAAACAATTGTTAAATTTCATAAAAATTTTAATTGAAAAATAATTTTGATATAATTGAGGTTTTGATGTTTTTAATTAAAATTATTAAAAATAATTAATTTAGTGAAGAATCATTTTAGTTAAAAATTTGTTAAATAATTGAATTGAAGAAGATCTGAAGAAGGTCTACATTTTATACTAAAAAAATGTATTTTATTTACATTTTTTTTCAAATGTAAAAAAAAATGTCGCATTTTATTAAAATAAGTCCATAAAAGTCGGAAAAGGTCATATAATCCAAGGCCTGTAAACATATAATTTTCATTATTATTATTTAATATGTAATAATATTCTAATAAATTAAATTATTATTGATAATATTAATCTTTAATTTCTTTATAACAAACAATTAAATACTCCACTTGGCGTGCTTGCGCGCGTTTAATTTTGCTAGTGATAATTAATCTTTGTGTTTAAAATAAAAAGAATTTTTTTAGAGGAATTTTTATTTTTCGAATTATCAATTAACATAATTTTTTTTTAATTGAACAGTGTGTCTAACGGTCACGGAAGTCAGGGAATTTCTTTAATTTTCTGGAATTTTTTATAAATAAATTAAAGTAATTATTAGTTTCAAAATTTTTTTTACTTTTTTCCCAAAGCAAATGCAAATTAAAAAGTTGGCCTTCACACTCAATTATTAAGCATATGATATTGTTTATATTCATTAAGTAATTAATTAGTCACTAATTAATTAATTATTTCAGTGAAATATTTGGTTATTTAATATAAATAAAAATTATTTGATACAATTTTATTTTATCGGTTCAACTTCAAATAAAGTAAATTATTCATTAATACGAATAATTTATTATTTACTGCTAATACCCACATTTAACTTATAAAAATTTATACGGCGTCGAATATTAAATTATCGAATTTATATTTAGCAAAATGGTATAAAGTGGATTTTATATTATGCCATATTTTCATATCGAAGAATTTACATTCAATTAAAATTCGATTTAAAAGAATTTCTATTTAGCAAAACTCTTATAAAGCATTTTTTCTAATACTTTTTTAAAATTTTAAATTACTATAATTTCAATTTAATGAAATTTATATCTATAAAAATTGACAAAAAAAGAACTAAGTTGAATTTTTCTTAAATGATAATTCTGTTAAATAAGATTTAGTTCGAATTAAATTTTCTTTAATAAAAACTTTGTTAAATAGAAATTCTGTTAAATTTATTCAATGACAATTCTGTTAAGTAAATATGTTGATAAATCAAAATTTACTAAAATAACAATCCTGTTAAAAAAAATTTTCTTTATTTTTTACGAAACATTATTTATTTGGCACAAATACATATTAAATTAGTGAATAATAGACAGGTAAATGATTTTATTGTATCAAAATAAATTTTATTTGATCAAAATAAAAATTTTTTAGTGTAATTTAGGTCAGGGAAAAGTCAGGGAATTTTTTTCCTAGCAGTTGTTAGACACCCTGTTGAATTTTTAAACATAATTTTTATATACAGAATTTTTAAATGCAGAATTTTTATTTCACTGAATTTCTCTTTATCTAACTTTTTGTATAAAAGAATTCTAATTTTACCGAATTTTAATTTAACATGATTCTCATTTAACAGAATTTTAATACTGAGTCGAATTTTTAAATATCAGAAATTCCAATTCATCGGAATCTTCATTTATCCGAAATTGCAAAAGAATAAAAAATCTATAGATTTGAAAATTAGCGCCTAAATTATTCTACCAGATATTTATTCTGTAAAAATTCTAAAAATTCTGTAAAAATGTATTACAATAAAATTTCTGTCAAATAATTAGAAAAATGAAATTTCTAATTCATGATTTTTATGGAATAATCATGTTTTATTTGAAAATAAAATTTTAAAAAAGGCCAAATTGATCAAACTGAAAAATAAAAGTTAATTTCGTTAAAAAGGAGTGAATTTCGTCAAAATTTTATTACTACAATTTTTTTTAAAATAAGTTAATATTTTGGATATTAACCGTAAAAGATAATTTAAATTATTATTATTTTTTATTTCAGGATCCTATGGAAAAGGCTCAAAGGTTTAAACAAATGGGAAACAAGTACTTCAGTGATGGAAAATATGACGAAGCGATTTTACATTATACCAAAGCAATTGAAATCTGCTTAGAGGAAAATCCATCAGTGCTTTCAATTTTTTATCAAAACAGAGCAGCAGCATATGATAAATTGGTAAATAATTTTAATATATTCATTAATTAATTTCTTTATAGCATTAAAAATTTACTATATATTTAAAACGAAAGTTACAATGAATAAGCGAATATATAAAACAAATAATAAATAACATAATAAAGATTATATTGTAGAAATTTTTTTCAACTGTTACAAAAAATTATTATTTTAAAGAATAAATATAGTGCAGTAAAGGCGGATTGTAGTAAAGCTTTAGAGCTAAATCCCAGATATGTAAAAGCCTTAATACGTAGAGCACGTGCTCTTGAAAAATGTAAAGACTTGGAAACAGCATTAGAAGACATCACTGCTGCTTGTATACTCGAGCAGTTTACAAATGAATCTTCATTAATATTGGCTGATAAATTATTAAAAGAACTTGGTAAACATTCAAATTTATTCCTATTTAATTAGTGGAGAGGATCCCAAGATGGACATAGTTTTGATTTTGTGCTCTAGAATTTAATTAAAAGAAATTCCTTTTAATCAAATTTTTATAATTTAGAATTCTAAAAATTAATTTTTGGAGCTTATTCATACGTCTTAGAAAAAACAGTAAATTTTTCATTGTACATGTTACAATTTTACAGGTAGACAACATGCTCAAGAATTTATGGCCACAAAAGAATCGGTCATGCCTAGTAAACATTTTATTAAAACATATTTTGAAGCTTTACGTGATGATCCAATTCTAAAAGAATATGATCTCATATCTCAGAATCTTACATCGTAAGCATTTTTCAATAATATTTTAAAAATCATTCAAATTGTAAATTTAAATTGACTTTTATATATGAGAAATTAATTTTATACTTTTTAGTGAGTACGCAAAGGCTGTTCAATGTGTTAAAAATCAAAATTATGAAAATGTTATTCCACATTGCAATAAGGAATTAGAAAGTTCACAAGCAGATGATGATCTTCAAATGAAAGTTCATCTTCTTCGTGGTACATTTCATCTATTACTTGGAGAACACGATAAAGCAATTTCCGATCTTGATAAGGTTATAACGAGTGATTGTGCGAATAATGATTTAAAAGTAAATGCATTAATTAAAAGAGCTAGTATGCATGTTCAACTTGAGAATCCAGAAAAAAGTTTTTGCGACTTTACCATGGCAGTTGAACTTAATCCCAATTGTGGTGACATATATCATAATCGAGCACAAGTATGTGAATTTCTTTTTTTTTTAATTTTTAAACTATTTAAGGTACTATGTACTTAATATAAATGTAATATTATAAATTAATTACACTCTGTTACAAAAAAGAAGTTGAAAAAAAACTTTTTATCGGACCTACTGGAGTTTGTAGGGAACAAAAAACTAAGAAGAATGGTATATTAAAAATTTCCCTAACACCCTCTAATTTTGAATTTAGAACCAAAAAACCGTTTTCACGTATGTTTATGAAAAACCCTTGTAATTAAAAATTTTTTTTTTTATTTTGAAACTGAAAAGCAGGGCTTTTCAATCCATATTTGTTATGTTTTTTGTTAAAAGTAATATTTACAAAAGAAAAGTCCAAAGAAAGTTCGGAAATTGTCATTTTTTCCTTATTTTCCTTTATGGCTCTGAAATCAAAATTGGGGGGTGTTTTTTTGTAACACTGTGTCATTATAATATTATAAATATATAAAATAATATAATATTAATAGGCCTCGGATCGACTTTAAGGTGCAAAAAAGTCGAATTTTTAATTTAAATTAAAAATTAGTTAAAAGTATTTTACTTTAAATAACTAATGTTATTAGACATCAAATCAATTTTATTAATTCCTTAATAAGAATAATTCTATAGGAATATTATCAAGAAAATTTATTTCGATTATTTCAGAATCGAACTAAGACGCAAATTTTTAAAATTTTAATGAAGTAGGAAAAATTTCTAAAAACAAATTCTGAAAACAATTCAATTTTAGAGTTTTTATTTGAATCTTTTTTAAATAATTGGATTTTTAAAGAAATATTAAAATTATGAAAAATAATTGAACTTTGGAAGAGTTATATAGTTAAATTTTTTAGAAATAATTAAATTTCAAAAGATTTTGTTAAATTTCAGACAATTTTAATTAAATTTTACAGAATTAAAAATAATTTATCAAACAATTGAACCGCCGGCGACAAAAAGGGCTTACGCGAGGTTTTCATTGGCCCCCAGAATAGCTGGAGACTCGCTGAACGCGGGGCCAACGAAAGTCACGCTTAAGCAATTTTGGTCGCCGGCGGTTCAATTTTAGATTACATTTTTTAAAAAAAAATTAAATTTTTTAAAGATTTACAATTCATATTTTTGAAATTAATTCAACTTCTAGTGATTTTTAATTCAAATTTTTGGTGATTTCTGTTGATGAAAAATTTATTAGAAAGTACAGACAAAAATGGTTCTTTAAAATTTTTTAATTTAAAAAATGCTTTCAAAGAATTGAATTTTTGAAGAATATTATAAAAATCATAAAAAATAATTGAATTTCGGAAGAGTTGTGGTTAAAATTATTAAATTTCGGAAAGTTTTAGATGGAAACTTTTAAAAATAATTAAATTTTTTTTGGTAAAGAATTTGATTAAAATTATTAAAAATAATTAATTTAGAGAAAAATTTTACTTAAAAATTTGTTAAATAATTGAAATAAGAAAGATTTATACTAAAAAAAGACATATTTTGTTTAAAATTTTTGTAAAAAAAAATTAGAAAAAGTCTCATTTTATGAAAATAAGTCGAAAAAAGTCGTATTTTCAAAAAAAAAAAAAAAAAGTCGAAAAAGTAATATAATCCGAGGCCTGTATTAATAATTAATAAATATAATATAATGTTCTTCTCAAACGCAGGTTAATCTTCTATTGGAGAGAATAGATGAGGCTAAAGCTGATTTTGAAAAAGCTTCACAACTCCATCCAAACTCTGGTCTTATTTATGTACAAAAATGTTATGCAGATTATCGTTACGCAGCTACAAAAAAAGATCAATATTTATTGGCATCAGCAATGTCAGATTTTCAAAAGGCATTTGAAAAATTCCCGGATTGCTCAGAATGTTACACATTATATGCACAGGTATTTATCATTCTTTTATTTTCTTATATTTTAATTTTACTCCCTTCCCTTCTTTAATTCTGTATCATTCTTATTTTAGATTTTATGCGATTCCCAAGAATATGAAAAAGCAGATGAATACTTTACTAAAGCTATGGAAAAAGATCCACAAAATGCAACAATTTATGTTCACAAAGGTTTATTACAACTTCATTGGAATACAAATATAGATAAAGCTGTGGAATATATAAAAAAGGCCTTAGAATTAGATGATAAGTGTGAATTTGGATATGAAACTTTAGGAAGTATTGAAGTACAAAGGTACAAGAAATCTAAATTACTAATTATAGCATATTTTTTTCTAAATATATTTCTTTGTTTAATATATAAAAATTCTTTTTTATTAATAGGGGTAATCTTAAAGAAGCTATTAATCTTTTTGATAAGGCTCTCATGTTAGGACGAACAACAATGGAAGTGACACATATTTTTAGTCTAAAAGATGCTGCAAAAACTCAATTAACTGTTTTTGAAAGACCAGGAATGAATCTTGTTTCAAACATCCATTGAATGTCTCCAAAAGAAGAAATTTTTTATTTATATTGTTGATATTTGTTGTTTTAAACATTAAATACAAAAAAAAAAAACTTCATATAATGCACTCAATAGATGAAAATATAATTTTTATGCATTTATTTAGACTGACATGCAAGTTTCGCATCGGAAGATTCACAATAATAATTGTACTTGTAAATTGTAATTATAATTTTTCAATAGACTATAATCAAATCTAATTAATGAAATTTATTCTAGGTGCCGTTTGCATTTAAATAAGATCACGATATCTTTGCATTGTTATGTATATACGATGATATTGTTTATTTTTTAAATTGTAAGCTAAAACCAAAAAAAAAAAAAGAAAAAAAAATATACACCAGTTTCTCTAAATTTATAGTTATTACATTTCTAAATTTATTTATTATTTGTAAGTTAAAAAGAATTATTAAAAAATTTATCAAAATTTTTATTATAGTTATTTTAAATCTGAACATATTCTAAATCTAAAATTCATCAAATTATCGTTGCAACTACTACAAAAAAACAAAATTATGAAATGGTATTTCAATAGTAAAAAATTTATATTTAAAAAATTATAAATTTATAAAAATTATAATAAGAATTGAGATTTGACTAATTTTAAACGGAATATAATTTCAAAAATAATAGAAAAAGAAGGAAGATTCAGGATTGCCACGGGTCAGGAAAATCAGGGAATTTTATGGAAAGTACTGGAAAAATATCAAATTGACTAAAAAAAAATAAAGAAGCCTCGAAAAAGTGAGTGGAAGGTATAAAAAATATTTAACAAAATTGTAGATTAGTAACAAACTCATTTTATTTGAAATTTTCAAATTACAATATTCTTTGAAGCAAATCTTTCTTTTTTCTTTATTTATATATAAACAGTGTATTAAAAATTTTCCGACTGCATTGTGATATATATATATATTTTATAAAAAGAATTGAATCTGAAAATAAGTATACATACTTCGGATGTAGTTTCAATGCATTATGATTAAAATTATGATGAACGTGCATTATTATGCATGTGGTCCTATAAAATTAAATCCAAATAAACTTATTCGAATCAGGCAGTGTCATGAATACTTAGTCGAAAAATATCGTGTTGACAAAAGAATGTAGTGTCTAATGGTTTCAATACAAAAAGTTGAATAAAAGCATGTGGTCGATCTTCATCAGTCTGTAAAATAAATAAATTTTAAAACTTTATTTTCAGTAAATTTAACAATATATTTTTCAATTAATAATTTATTTAATGTTCTAATTCAATCATACTTTTTCTTAAATAACTAATTAAATTAAAATAATAAAGGCCAATATTTTTTTTTAATTTATCACAGTTATTCATAAAACATATAATGAGTAATTTTTCAAAAATTAATGACCTTTTTTTGTTTTTTTTTCAAAAATTAGTTTAGAAATTAGTTTCTTTTTAATTTAATGCTTCAGTAAAGTAAAAAAATAAGGAATAAAAAAATTGTAAATTTACAGGAAGTTTCTGAAATATTAAAGAATTTTATTTAAAACTGAATAGAATAAATAAAAATTAAAAATATTTGCAAAACAATAATTGCAATTATTTTCAATATTTTAATTTAATATTAATATTTAATAAACGGTTTAAACTTTTTAAAATATTAATATATATGGAATATTTTTGTGTCAAACATTTAAAAAATAAATTTTTTTAATGGGCTTTGCCCGTATATTTTCAATAAATAAATAAATTTTATAATTCTTTAACCTAAATATTTAGAGATAATTTGTATTATTTGATTGAATTTTTCAAAATAATTTAAATTTTATTAAATGTTTTTTATTTTTGCATTTAATGAGATTATTATTTAAGAAAATTTGCATTTCACCGTCTTTCATACGATTAAATTTTCCTTTAACGGATTTTTTATTTTGACAAACCTACTTTATTATATAAAATTCTATGTTCTATGTTTGTTAATTACAAATATTTGTTATATTAAAATATTAAAATTGTTATATTAAATATATTTATTCACAGTGTTATGTAAATAATTAGAATAATTACAGGCCTCGAACCGACTTTAAGGCTCAAAAATATCGTTTTAGCTTCTAAATAATTGTGTTATCTCCTTAAATTAAAAATCAAAGTCGGAGGATACTAAATACGTTTAGGATATGAAATACCCGATTTTCGTCATTATTGAAAATGAAAAATGAAATGAAATAAAAGTATGATTCACTGTTAATGAAACTAATATTATTTTTAATAATTTTTCATTGTTAATGTTAAATTCAAAGTCATAGTTATCTTTATTTGGAATCCTTGTTGTTTGAAATTACGATCTCCAAATAATTTGACATTAATGCAATTAGCATTGTGTTTTATTATTTCTTTAAATAATTGAAATTCTTGTCATTCCTGTTAAGTTCATTTTAACTATATAGCCAAATAGTTACTTTTTTTTAGTGTAATGTTTACAAAACCTAAGTGAATAAAATCAGGTTTCAAAAATTATGCGTATTGCCGGGAAATCGATTAATTTCACTTTTAAATAATTATAAAAATGAAAACGATACAATATCGATCATTCTATCACTATACTTTAACTCACAATTATCAATATAGTATCATTTTTATTAATGAAAATATTACCGAGTGATAAATTCAAAGTATTATGATAAATAGAATAATTTTCATATTTTTTGATTCAGTTGTTACAAAAATAAAATAATAATAATAATATTAATTGAAAATACTCACTTGCAACCTTCCTAAAACATTAATTAGTATCCCACCATCCAACATTGGTTGAGAATCAACGGTCGTGATCATTCGATTGATTTTTTGAAACCTCAAATTCTGAAATAAATCGCAATTTATTTTTCATTTTTTGCATTCTTAAAAGCTTCTGTATATTTGAAAAGAGAAAAATTATATTCAGAGAAAGTAAATAACAGGGATTACAGTAGATTTTGATTTTGATTTTAGATTTTTTGTTCAATTTTAGATTAAAAATAAGAATATTTAGCCAATTCAAAAAAAGAGATTTTAAAAAAAAGAAATAGTCTATTACATGTCAAGTTTAATTTAAAGAAATTATATTTTTTTATCAGCTGCACCTTTTTTACATAGTTCAGATTTGAACCCAATTTTTCTTTTTCTTTTTTACTTTTGGAATTTTCTATGTTTTTACTTGTTTGTTGAAATAAAAATTTTGTATTGAGCAAATTTTTGGGACCCATGAATAAGTTCTAAAACAAATCTGTTAGAAGTTACATTTGATAGAATTTTAATCAGCAGAATATTAATTTGACAGAAAGTCAATTTGATTGAATTTTAATTGTGCAGAAAATCATTTTGATTGAAATTAAATTTGGTCGAATTTTAATTTGCCAGAAATTAAATTTCACCGAATTTAAATTTTCCCGAAACTTTGTTTTATAGAATATTAATAGTACAGAAAAACAATTTGACAGAAATCTACTTTACCAGAATGTATATTTGTTCAAATATTAATTTCCCACAAGGTTAATTTGACCGAACATTAATTTGGTAGAATTCCAATTTGATAGAATTTTAATTTGCCAGAAAGTCAATTTGATCGAATTTTAATTTGCAGAAAAACAATTTGATCGAAATTTAATTTGTGCGAAACGTTTTTTCATAGAATTTTAATTTAGCAGAAAGGTAATTTAATAGAATCCTAATATAGCAGAATCAAAATTTGATAGAAATTTAGTTTACAAGAAAGTACATTTGTTCGAATATTAATTTGCCAGAAACTCAATTTCACCGAAAATCAATTTGACCGAAATATTTCGGCGCGAATTTTAAAATTAACCAATCACAATTTTCTTGATTATTTCCTATTGGTCAATTTTAAATTGATTTTCGATGAAATTGAGTTTCTGACAAATTAATGTTCGAACAAATATACTTTCTGGTAAGGTAAATTCATGTCAAATTTTGATTCTACTACATTAGGATTCTATTAAATTACCTTTCTGCTAAATTAAAATTCTATGAAAAAACGTTTCGCACAAATTAAATTTCGATCAAATTGTTTTTTTGCAAATTAAAATTCGATGAAATTGACTTTCTGGCAAATTAAAATTCTATCAAATTGACTTTCTGGCAAATTAATATTCTGTTGATTAAAATTCTATCAAATGTAACTTCTAACAGATTTGTTTTAGAGCTTATTCATGCGTCCCAAATTTTTATTATTATCCATTTATATTCTAAAAAAGTCGAAAAAGTCGATTTTTTTATTTTAACAAACTTTATTGGTTAATAAATATTTTACTTTAATTAACGAATGTTATTAGATATTAAATTAATTTTATTAATTCTGTAATGAGAATAATTCTATAAAAATATTATGAAGAAAATTTATTTCGAATATTTCAGAATCGAACTAAGACAAATTCTCAAAATTTTAATTAAGTAGGACAAATTCTAAAAAAATATTCTTAAAGTTCCATTTTTATAATTTTTTGAAGTCTGATGTAAGCAATTTATTCGAATTTAAAATTTTTTCAGTTTTTAGTTTTGATGGTCAAAAAAATTTGACGCAATACTTAATCAAGTGTTACAGATTTTTAAATAAAATTTTTTTTTAAAAATAATAATTTTGGAAGAGTTAAAGTTGAAATTTTTTAGCAATAATTGAATTTCAAAAGATTTTGTTAATTTTAAAACAATAATTAAATTTTACAGAACTAAAAATAATTTATCAAATAATTTTAGACAACATTTTTTAAAAGTAATTGAATTTTCATTGATTTACAATTTAGAGTTTTGAAATTAATTGAACTTTAAATGATTTTTAATTGATATTTTTTGATGATTTTACTAAAAATTTAATTAGAAAGTAGCAAAATTAAACGCGCGCAAGCGTGCCAAATTGAGTATTTAATTGTTTGTTATAAAGAAATTAAAGATTAATATTATCAATAATAATTTAATTTATTAGAATATTATTACATACTAAATGATAATAATGAAAATTATATGTTTACAGGCCTCGGATTATACGACTTTTTCCGACTTTTTTCAAAAATACGACTTTTATGGACTTATTTTAATAAAATGCGACATTTTTTTTAAATTTGAAAAAAAATTTAAATAAAATACATTTTTTTAGTATAAAATCTAGATCTTCTTCATATCTTCTTCAATTCAATTATTTAATAAATTTTGAACTAAAATGATTCTTCACTAAATTAATTTTTTTTAATAAATTTAATGAAATACATCACAAATTCAATTATATCAAAATTATTTTTCAATTAAAATTTTTATGAAATTTAACAATTGTTTATAATTTTAAAAAAAATATCACAATAAAATTGAATTATTTTTTAAAAATTTCAATTCAAAATAAACTAAAATTCAATTATTACCCGAAATTTTAATTCAAAATCAATTAAAAATCCAATAATTATCAAAAATTTTCAATTTAAAATGAAATAAAAGTCGTTTATTTTCTAAAATTTCTATTCAAAATTAATTATTTAAATTTTCAATCAAAAATGAACTTAAATTAAATTATTATTCAAAATTTCAATTCAAAATCAACTCAAATTCAATTATAACCAAAAATTTTAATTCCAAATCAATTAAAATTCAATTATTATCCAAAATTTCGATTCAAAATTAATTATTATCGAAATTTTCAATTAAAAATCAACTAAAATTAAATTATTATCCAAAATTTCAATTGAAATTCAATTATTTTAAAAAATTTCAATACAAAATCTTTTAAAATTCAATTATTTTCCATATTTTCAATTTAAAATCAAATAAAATTCAATTACTTTCAAAAATCTCAATTAAAAATCAACTAAAATTAAATTATTATCCAAAACTTCAATTCAAATTCAATTATTTCCCAAAATTTTCAATTCAAAATGAACTAAAATTCAATTATTTTCCAAATTTAAAATCAAATAAAGTTTAATTATTCTCAAAAATTTGAATTCAAAATTAATTGAATTTTCAATAACTTGAATTTAAAAGCATCTAAAATTTTCCATCGAAATTTCTTTTTTTGAAATTTAATAATTTCAATTATAACTGTAAGGAAATTAAATTATTTTTAACTATTATAATAATATTCTTTGAAATTTCAACTATCTGAAACCATTTTTCAATTAAAAATGATTTTCAAATTATTGTATTTTGTCCGCATTTTCTAATAAATTTTTAGTGAAATCATCTGAAATTTTAATTACAAAACATTTAAAGTTTCAATTAATTTCAAAAATCTCAATTTTAAATCTTTGAAAATTCAATTAAATTTAAAAAATGTTTTCCAAAAATTGTTTGATAAATTATTTTTAGTTCTGTAAAATTTTATAATTCTTTGAAAATTAACAATATCTTTTGAAATTTAATTATTTCTAAAAATTTCAACTTTAACCCTTCGAAAAGGATTATTATTAAAAAAAAAAAAATTATTTAAAAATCTGTAAAATATTTTTGTTAAAATAAAAAACAAATCCACTTTTTTTTGGAATAAATATCGACTAAAACGACTTTTTGTGTCTTTAAGTTGATTCGAGGCCTGTGTTTTTATAATTAATATTTAATAGGTATTCGTTGGCCCCTGGTACCTAAAAAATAAATTTTTTTCAAATTACTATCTTGTACTATTAAAAAAAAACACGTGAAATCAGAAAAGGCCAACTTCAAGTTAGGACAGAAGGACAGATCAGGCATTTTATTATTATACTAGCAAAATTACACGCGCGCAAGCGCGCGTCCAACTTTAATTGCAATGGTTATTTTAAAATAATAATATTAATAATAATAATAATAATTCTGCATCAGTGGAGTATTAAATTAATAATAGGTATATTTCTAATTTTCACGTTATCATTTATTTATACACAGAAAAAAATGAGTTTGATGTTATATAAATAAATAAATTTAAGTAAAAATTTTAAAATATAAATATTAAAATTTTAGAAATAAATATTTTTGATAAAGTCAATGTTCGATGAATTTTTTATAATCTTTTAAATTACAAAAAATTAATTATGCTAAATATTTTTTTGTATTTTCTATAAATATTTCGTTGCAAATGAAAATTTTAAATTTATGTTTTTTTTCAAAAAATTTAATTAACTGATAATTAATAAATATTAAAAAATTATGTAATCAAAAAGAAGTTTAAATTAACTGAAAATTATTAATTATATTTTAAAAAGTATTAAGCAATTAAAAAATATTTAAAAATTTTGAAAAAATAAAACCTAAAAAAAATTTGTAATGTTTTAAACTTTAAACTTAAATTAAAAATTAAAATCAAATAGAAATTTTTTTAAAAAAGCAAACTATTTTTATATTGTTTATAGATAAAAAAATATAACAATTTAATAATTAATAATAATAAATTTATGAATAATAATATATAATAAATAATAATGAATAATGAAAAAATAATGAAAGATAAATAATAATTATAAGTTAAAATGTTCTAATTATCTGTAATAATCATTATATTTAAAAAAATGTATATATAATATAATAAATTTATAAATAATAATAAAAATTATATTATAATTGAAACTTTTTTTTCTATAAATACCAAGTAGGAAATATACTGGTGCTGCACGCAATGAACAATATTTTTTTTTACTTTAAACTGTCACTTAGTATATGACTTAATTAATGACGATGAATAAAAATATCCGTCGTGTTAACCATAAAATATTACGAAATCAAGAATTGTCAAAATTTTAGAAAAACAAAAGGAACAAAATACGACTAACTTCAAGTGTGGACAGACGGAATGAATGAATGAATACGGAAATTATTATAGTTAATAATTAATAATATTATTATAGTTAATAATAATTGCAGACAAAAATAAAATAATTTGAAAATTTTTTAAGCGAAAAAATGTCGGTGAAGTTCACATCGATTACGATCATCGAAATTTTAAAAACCAAGATACTGCATAAACTTATACTAGGGGAGTTTTTCTAATGAATTTAGGGTTGAACTTAATTTTTTTTGTTAAGTATAATGTTTTTTTTGAATTTTTTTGTAATTTTTTGTTGTGTTTATGCAGTATCTTGGTTTTTAAAATTTCGATGATCGTAATCAATGTGAACTTCACCGACCTGCGAAAAATAGTTTCAGATAATTGAATTTTTGAAAAAGATTAAAAAAAATCATTAAAAGTAATTGAATTTTAGGAGAGTTATAATTAAAATGATTAAATTTAAAAAAATTTTAGAAGTAATTAAATTTTAGAAGCTTTAAAATTGGAAAGTTTGAATATAATTGAGTTTTTCAAAAGTAATGTTAAATTTCAGATAATAATTATGATAAGAGAAATTTCTAGTAATTTCTTTTAATGAAGAATTTATTAGAAATAACATACAAAAATTGAATTCTAAAAGTTTTTTATTGAAAAATGCTTTCAGATAATTGAATTGTCAAAGAATATTATAAACAAGTTGTAAATTCAGATGTTCATTACATGAACATTTTGCTTCCTCGTGGAGAAAGCAAAAATTCATTGCCAAAATGTGAATTTTTAATTTTTTAACTTTCATTAATTCTTTAAATTTAACTCAAATGTATACTTTATATATATTGATCGATTCGTCTTGACGTAAGGAATACAATTATTTCATATATAAACTTCAATTTAAAAAATCACAAAATTTTTTAGCCAAAATGTGAATTTTTGATTTTTTAACTTTCATTAATTCTTTAAATTTACCTCAAATGTATACTTTATATATCGATCGATTCGTCTTGAAGTAAGAAATACGATTTTATTATATATATAACCTTAAATTTTTCTATTTAAAAATTTTTTCGATTAAAAAAAAATTTTTGGAAATAAGACGATAAAATTTTTTTTTTTGGGTATTTTTTAAAATCTTTTGGTCAGATTTGAGATATTAATTTGATAAATAAGCATACCAAATTTTGTCTAAATCCATTAAAACCTGTTAAAGTTATCTTCTAAACAAAAAAGGGATCCACACACACATACATACATCCGGACAATTGATCAGGATCTCATATAACATGTTTCTATAAAGAAAAAAATTTGTTTCCGACACTTTGAAAAGTTTTATAAACGAAAGGACTACAAAGCTTCCTCCACGAGGAAGCAAAATCTTTAAAAATGATTGAAATTTTTGCAAATAATTAAATTTCAAGTGATTTTGTATTAAAATTTTTTGGTAATTATAATTTTAGTAGCATTTTTAGAAATTTGTTATTTTTTCAGTACTTTTATAAAATTCCCTTACCCGTGGTAAGACTGATATAAAATCTTTTATATTTTCTGAAAGCGTTTTTAAAAAAATGAACCGAAAAAAATTTAATATATTGTACGCTGGCTCTATACCTATGCTAACGTAAACTGATTTCCAAAACTATAGTTACGCGAAGTGTAAATACACTTCATCATTACACTAGCGTAGTAAAAAACATGTGAATGCAAAATAGTAAACACGTAAGGTACTGCTCGATTTTCTTTTTAAAAAAACCTTGGCGAGAGGGGGTGGATGTGGCCGAAAGTATTTTGCGAAATTCCTTGGATCCTGAATAATGGTGAATTTTTCTTTTTTTTACGATAAGTGAAAAGTGAAACTTACCCCACGGGTGTCACTTTTCGAAACTTTTTTCATTTCGCGTAGGTTTAGTTTTGGGAGATCGGTTTACGTTAATTTTTCATTTCCCTGTCACTTCGCGTAGGTTTAGTTTTGAAATATCAGCTTACGTTAGCGTAGAAATAGGCACTTCGTATATTGTATAGAAAGTAAATATTTAAAAAAAAATACTGAAAAAAATTTAATATATTAAATAGAAAGAAAAAATTTGAAAAAAATGTTAGTAGACAGTAATTAACAATAAAAAGAGGAAAATTTTAAAAATGAAAAATATCTTTTACAATGCTGTTCACAGAACATAACCTAACTTTTTTTTGTAACGAGTTTAATGACAGTTGTGTAAAACTTTTTTCACTGATATACAGACAATTTAGATTTCTATACTTACACTCAATTCTTCCATAATTTTTGTAACACCTTGGATTTGTTTGCCTTCAAATGTCATGAATGATTCATTCTAAAAATATTTTAAATATATATATATATATTTTTTTTTTCACCAATTTAATATATTTATAAGAATAAAATTTAAATAACATTGAGCTTACTCACGTTGTACATAATTCGTAAATTTCCTCTCTGGTTAGGATCATCAAACAATGCATAGTATTGTTGTACAAAACCTTTTCCAATTGCTTCATACTGCGGATTTAATGTCATTTTGCTAATTTATTTATTTTAACCTATATTATAAAGTATTTGTACAAATAATAATGACAAAATTCTTAAACTTATACAATCACTTCGGTTGCGTAGGTTGTGTCATTGTCACATAATATTATATATTTCCTTTTAATTCACGTGGTTTGACGCTTTAGGGTGCGTACACATGAATACGTATAATGGATCATTCACACGTCTGGATGCGGAAATTTTTTTTTTCTCAAACAAAATAGACAAAATTGATTGCATTTATTAATAGAAGATTTTTTTTATTCTCTTGAGCCTGAATGTGGAAAATAAATAAGATTTGTAGATTTTATTTGAAATTTTTTTGTGCCAACTGAGGTGTGAATGCTCCTTAAAGTAAGTAGGGTCGTCATGGTAACGTATAAGAGTAAGGGGAATAAAGAATGTTTTTTATTTCTCTCACTCTTATGTGTTACTATGGCGACCCTACTTAAGTAGCTAAGCAGTGGTCGTACCTTAAAGGTGCTTTTATACCTTCAGTATTTTGGTCAAACAATCGGCTGGATTCAATTTTCATGGAAAATATAATATTTGTCAGAGCCAATCAAATTCAGTGATTTGACCGGGAAAATTAATCGCTTTCCAAAAATCAATCATCTCTGGACTCCTTTCAGCATAGTGTCACATTTCGAACATTCCACCACTTTGGTTATGACGACGCGCTAATGCCCATCTCTGCCTAAATAAAGTTTCCAGTCTTGTTTTTAAATGGTTTTTAATATATATATAACCTTACCGGTGTTAGTAAATGAAATATTTGGAATTTGGTTGTTGTTTTAATGTATTATTATTTTTTGTTTTTAAAAAATGGAGTGTGTAGTTGCTAATGTTGATCACATGCGATTTGATATTGAAATAGCATTAGACGAACAATATGGGGCTCTTCCTTTACCATTCACAGGAATGGATAGTAAGTATTTTGATTAAATTTAAAAATTTATAGGTTATGATCATTTCATATTGTTCTACTCATTAGTTTTTATAACTTAGAAAGAATTTTTATATTAAAACCTAACTATTTTATGGAAAATTAATAAATTATTATCTGGAGAAATTTTAATTCATACTAACATGCACAGGGTATTTTTTTAATTATACAATAATTACTTGTACACTACAAAGTTAACATTGACAACCGAAATTGATGTTTATTATTACTTAATTTAATTTGAATGATTGTTTGACTCTTAGATGTAAATAGTTTTTTTAATTAATTTATACTATGAAAACTTATTACCGAATATTAGAATTTTTACGGAGAAAATTTTTTTATTCATAATATCAATATTTTTTGTAGATTGTAGATTTGATACGTCTAAAAACATAAATATTTTAATTAAAATACAGAATTTATCATATAATCATAAGAACGATTTTTAGGTTTCTTCATAAAGATTAATAATTTAAAATCTTTATAATTCAATAAATTCGTTGTAAATCGATTCTAAAGTTTGCAAAAACTTTTTTTTTTACATAAAACTAAAAAAAAAAAGATTCAAATAAAAACTCTAAAATTGAATTGTCAGAAATTTAATAAAACTACAGCAGTTTAAATTTTGCAGAAAATTTATTTCAAATTTAAAATCTTCTGGAATTCAATTATTTTAAAAAAATTTAATTTAAAAATCTGTAACTATTAATCATTGTCCGAAATTTTTTTCACCATTTAAACTAAAAACTATGCCAAAATTTTTAATTCGAATAAATTGCTTGAATTACTAATTGAATTTGGAAGAGTTCGAGTTACATTGTTTTTGGAAGTAATTAAATTTTAGAAGATTTTAAATTTAAACTTTCATAAATTTTAATTGATAAAATTTTTTCTACAAACTTTAAAGAATAATAGAATTTTGGAGTATTTTTAATTAAAAAACTTTTTATTTTCCTGAATTGTTGAAAAACTGTATTAAAGTAATTAAAAAATTAATTTAGCAAAGAATTTTAAATAAAATATTATATAATAATAAAATGCTTGGTCTGTCCTTCTGTCCTAATTTGAAGTTGGTCTTTTCTGATTTCAAGTGTTTTTTTTGAATAGTAATCTTATGACGTGTCAAATTTTGACAATTCTTTTTCTCATTTTTGCCAAAGTTGTGTAATTGTGTTTCCAAATTTCGGAATAAGTTTCTTTAAAATTCCAAATTCGAAAATTCAATTCACGAAGCTGAATTTTTTTTAAAGTTGTATATTGATTCAAAAATTGTATACAAATACAAAAAATTTATGATCCGCCAGGAAATTTCGTATAAGATAGTAATTTGAAAAAAATTTATTTTTAAAAATTTATTTTTAAGGTACCAGGGGCCAACAAATACCTATTAAATATTAATTATAAAACCACAGGCCTCGAATCAAAAACTTAAAATTGAGATTTTTGAAATTAATTGAAACTTTAAGTGATTTTTAATTAAAATTTTAGATGATTTCACTAAAAATTTATTAGAAAATGTGGACAAAATACAATAATTTGAAAATCATTTTTAATTGAAAAATGGTTTCAGATAGTTGATTTTGAAAATAATTGAATTTTAGTTGATTTTGAATTCAAAATTTTGAAAATAATTGAATTTTATTTGATTTTAAATTGAAAATTTGGAAAATAATTGAATTTCAATTAAAATTTTGTATAATAATTGAATTTTAATTAATTTTGAATTAAAATTTTGGGAAATAATTGAATTTTAATTGATTTTAAATTGAAATTTTTAAAATAATTGAATTTTATTTGATTTTAAATTGAAAATTTGGAAAATAATTGAATTTCAATTGAAATTTTGTATAATAATTGAATTTTAATTGATTTTGAATTGAAATTTTTGAAAATAATTTAATTTTATTTGATTTGAAATTGAAAATTTGGAAAAATATTGAATTTTAAAAGATTTTTAATTAAAAATTTTGAAAATAATAAAATTTTGTTTAATTTTGTATTGAAAATTTTAAAAATAATTGAATTTTCTTTGATTTTGAATTGAAATTTTGGATAATAATTTAATTTTAGTTGATTTTTGATTGAAAATTTTAATAATAATTAATTTTGGATAATAATTGAATTTTAATTGATTTTGAATTAAAATTTTTGGTAATAATTGAATTTCAATTGAAATTTTAGATAATAATTTAATTTTAGTTGATTTTTGATTGGAAATTTTGATAATAATTAATTTTGAATCGAAATTTTGGATAATCATTGAATTTTAATTGATTTTGAATTAAAATTTTTGGTAATAATTGAATTTTAATTGAAATTTTGGATAATAATTTGATTTTAGTTGATTTTCAATTGAAAATTGTGAAAAATAATTGGCTTTTAGTAAATTTTAAATAGAAATTTTGAAAAATTAATTGAATTTCAAATTGAAATTTTGGAAAATTATTGAATTCCACTTAAAATTGAAGAAAATAATTGTATTTTAAATTATTTTGAATGGAATGCTTTGAAAATAATTGAATTTTAGTTGATTTTGAATTGAAATTTCAATACACTGTCAATTGAAATTCAATTATATACAAAAGTTTCAATTCTAAATCACTAGAATTCAATTATTTTTCAAAATTTCAATTCACAATAAACTACAATTCAATTATTTACCAAATTTCAATTGAAATTCAAATATTTAAAAAATTTTCTATTCAAAATCAACTGAAATTCAATTATTTTCAAAATTTTCAATCCTAAATCAACTAAAATTCAATTCTTTTAAAAATTTTCAATTCAAAATAAACTTAAAATCAACTATTTTCAAAAATTTAAATTTGAAATTCAATTATTTTTCAAAATTTAAATTGAAATTCAATTATATTTAAAAATTTAAGTACAATTCAGTGAAAATTACATTTTTCAAAAATTTTAATACGAATTTGTAAAAAACGGACAAACATTTTAATTATTTTCAAAGATTTTGGTTCAAATTTTTCATAAATTTTATTATTTCTAAAATATATTTTGTTTTCTTTTAAAAATACCATTATTTTTTGAAAAATTTAATAAAAGCTCAAAGATTCAATTTTTTTTAATTGCTCCAATAATCAAAAATTGTTGTGATCACATCCCATGGAATTGCTCATGAACAAAAATATTTTGAAATTCAAAGTTCAAAATATTATAATAAATGAAACCATCCAGGAGCAAATTGTCGTCTCAAAATTTTCGAAGAAGAATCCATGTTGAATCTTTAATTTTCTACTTTAATTTGGTATATTTAAAATTTTGAATAAAACGACGTTAGAGAAATTTTTTTAAATAGTTAAAATTTTTTTTACATACCTGGGAAAAATATTTATTAGAAATATACAATTAGAAAAAACGTTGGTGACTAATACTGTATTTTATAATATTGTAAATTTTTGTATTTTAGAATCCATTGCGGCAGTTTGTCAGTTTTATCCACGTGGAACTTGTAATAAAGGTGCTTCTTGTCCCTTTAGACATGTTCGAGGAGATAGAACAATTGTGTGTAAACATTGGCTACGAGGACTTTGTAAAAAAGGAGATCAATGCGAATTTTTGCACGAATACGATATGACAAAAATGCCCGAATGTTATTTTTACTCACGTTTTAGTAAGTATTTTAAAACTTATATATATAATAATGATGATATTTATTACAAAGAGCTCGTTTTCATCGTGTGGATAAATTTAATCCAGAAGTTCAAGGCAGTAGATATATTCTGCGTCTGCGCAGAATATTTTGTTCTACGAAATCTATTCATATTCGATTTTCTAAAAATATCATTAATTTCTGAGATGAGAGTAAAATAATTCAGAATTTCTTTATTTGTACCAGAACATTTTTTTTTACAAAAAAAATTACTTTACGAGTTCTTGGGATAAATTAGTTTTTTTTTATTTTTTCGATTCGCTTGTGCATCTTTTTAGTTTGGATGGCAGAATCAGTGACCTTTAATTTTGTGTTCACGATATAAAATTTAATTGGGTATCTTTATTTTCAGATGCATGTCACAATAAGGAATGTCCCTTTTTACATATTGATCCAGAAACAAAAGTTCGAGATTGCCCCTGGTACGATAGAGGATTTTGTAGGCATGGACCTCTTTGTAGGCATCGTCATGTTAGAAGAGTTCTTTGTATGGCTTATTTAGCCGGCTTCTGTTCAGATGGAGGGACTTGCAAATTTATGCAGTAAGTACTAAATTATAGATGTTGCAGAAATTTAATACATCTAAAATTTTACATTATCTAAATTCTGGATTAACTTTTACTTTCTAGAATATTGAAAATAATTCGAAAATATAATAAATATAATAATTTTTTAGTCCACGCTTTGAATTACCAGCCATTCAAGATATGCAACCTAAAGAAGGCAAAAAGGTGATGATCACATGTCACTTTTGCGGTGAAACTGGACATAAAGCGATATATTGTAATAAAATGCCACCAGATATGCGAGAATCACAAGTCAGACAACAAGATATGGATAGTGGACTTTATCCTCAGCATCATGGACCAATGCATGGTAATATGCCACCATCTAGAGGTCCACAAAAACCACTTGAAGAAGTCACTTGTTACAAATGTGGTACAAAGGGACATTATGCCAATAAATGTCCAAAGGGACATTTAGCATTTTTAAGTCACGCTGGAACTGCAAATTCTGGAATGAATAGTGGATCAGGAGATAGGAGATAGAATTGTAAATAGTTGTATGAAATTGTAATTTACCAATTTATTTATAAATGTTGTCATACGATAATCATAAAAAAAAATCAATTTCCAATTATATCAAGTCTAGGTTTTACTAGAAAAATAATGATTTGTAAAATAAACATACAAATTTCTTTTTTCATTAGTTTTTTTTTCTCTATTAATTTTTTCAATAAATGTTTTACTTTATTATTATAAGTTGCTTCTCTATACCTTTACTTAACACTTTAAAACATTTCATCCATTCGTCTAATTTTACCTTCCTCCAAACCTCTTTTCTTCTCATACTTTCCCTGTTTATTGCCTTCTATTCTTTCCTTTCCTTGATCTTTTCCACCTCTTACGCTCTTACACAAACCTAGTCCTCCTTTCCTTACCATTTTTCCTGTGTCTCTTATTATACTTCTTCCTTCCTCTTCGATTCTTTTTTCACTCCTTTATACATTCTCTTAATAGTCTAAAAGGTGGCGACAGTTTTGGTGAAGCGTTTTTTATAAGGCATTTTTCCTCAATTGTACGTATCTCCGTTTCACGCTTACCCTAACCGCCCATTGAGAGACTACATCGACCACATCTATTCCTCCTGGTGAACCGGACTTTCTATGGGCGCTTCCGTGGAAGACTGGTGAACCAGGTTACCCACTCACTTCCACCAGGACCGTCCTTGTCGAGTAGAGTCGCTCCTCTCTTGACAAAGATGATGCACTAGGTCGATTCCCCATCTCGAGGCGCTTCTCAGGTGGAGGAGACACCTAGTGAATATTACTTTGCACTAGCTTCGCGTCGGGCATGAATATTGGAACCGAATCCAATATCTAGCTTCTTCCCGATTCTAGAAAGTACCCCACGCGAAAGTAATATACGTCGTCCTAATCAACATCTTCGCGAACGTGGTAAATATGTTTAAATCCATTTTATTCTGCATTAATGACGAGCGCGATCGGAGCTCAACGAATTCTCCTCTAGAATAGCTAATTCTTTCTTCCTTACGTTTTCTAGAGATTAGTATTTTATTTGCATTGTATAGATTCTTTCGTTCTTATATTATTTTATGTAATAATCCATTTTTGTATATTTTATTATTCTTTTATTTAAAAAATATATTCTCTTTCGAAGGTTTAAATAAAGACTCGTCAATGACTACGCCTCTCCTCTACATCATAATAAGAAATAGTTCCGAAATTAATCAAAACATAGATGGCGCTTTAAAGTAACTAGAGATTTAAGGGATCGTTCACATATTACGTCACACGCTTAGGGGGGGGAGGGGTCTGTTGAATGTGTGACGACCTGTAGAAAAAATGGCGCTAATGTATAGAATAGTGTGTGACGTGGGGGAGGGGGGGGGGGTTAAAAAATAATGAAAAATAGCGTGACGTAATATGTGAACGATCCCTAAAGTAACTAGTCAAAATAGGTATCCGGACTCCATCCGGCGAGCAAATCCTTTGGCAATAAAAGTCAGATCATTGCAGTAGATTTTAAGGCGGCTTTCCCGTCAGTAAATAGGGGAGTGTTATGGAGAGTGTTAATATGGACAAAGGGAAAGAATTACACAAGATGGTGTAGATGAGGGAGATGAGACCGAAGTAGTTGGAAAATTTTAGAAGAAAATTTAATTTTACCTCAATATTTTCTTACAAGTGAAATTCTATTTGTCACATACATATAAAGGAACGTTTAAAAAAATATTTTGATGTGCATTACAACATGAATTCGAACAATTTTTGTAGTCACAATGGTGTTTACGAAACATAATTCTGGTGGTTTACTTTAAATGTTCATAGTGCCATTTGTCAACTGAAAAAAGAGGATAGTACATATTAAAAAATTCAGAAATAAGTATATAATATTAATAAAAATCATTTCTAAATTTATAATTAAAAATTAATTAGATTTATAATTTCTACACAGAAAAAACTTGGTCTCAAAATAAGTATTAATAATATAATATAAGTATTAATAATATAATGAGTAGCGTTCGCTACTCATTTTGAAGTGCAACAAAAATAAGCTAGGTTGGTGGCACCACTGTCTATGTCGATTAGCATTGGCTCATTTTGAGATGCAACAAAAATGAGACTAGGTTTTTTCTGTGTAGATAATCGGAAAAACAGACAATTTTATAAGCGTAACTTACTTATAGCATCAAGTGGTTGAGGAGATTCATTCAATTCTGGTACTTTTTGCAAAATTTCCTTTGCTGATTCTGGACTGATTTTGAATGGACTTTCTTCTACTGTTACGTTAGAACTGTTAACAAGAAAGAAAATATTTAGTTATGATTTTTATGATATATTTAACTTTAAAAATCAAAATTTTAGAATATAAAACTATTGAAAATAATAAATTTGTAAGAAATTGTTAAAGAAAACAGATTTGGATGCTACATAAACCTTAAATCTAAACTACAAATTATCTGACCTATAAAACATTAGAATATTTATAATTTTAAAAATCCAAAAACTTATTTTTGAATAAATTCTTTATCACTAGAGAAATATTTCTCCAAATATTGTAAACTTTACTAACCACTCAATGCCTCCAGATGGTGTTTTGTTATTGACAAGATTTTGCCAATGTTGATTTACTTCTTCAATTATATTCAAAGCAAAATCTCTTGGTTTAGCTTCGCCATTAAAAGCAAATTGGTTTTCGGGTTTTCCGTCAGGGATTTTATAAATTTTAAACCATTCAACAGTAGCTTTCATCAAGCCTGGAAAATGCTTTTCAATATCGCTCACATCTAGACAAAAAAAAATGTTTTTCAACGTGCAATGAAGAATAGTTTTTTTAGGATCTTCAAAATATACAAATTTATAATCATAAAACAGAAACTTTCTGTGGCCATAAAAAATTTAATTTAGCCTTCTGCTTTTTATAATCATGTGCATAAATATTTCATTTAATTTTCCTGAAATTTTCTGTATTATCAAAAATTTTGAAGCATACCATGTCTAAAAGATTAAATAAATACGAAAAAAAATACTGTACCATTTAATTGGTCGGCTATTGGATCTTTTACATCAATAACAATAATTTTCCAATCAGTTTCACCTGAAATGTTAATAATATAATATTGGATATTTGTTGTGAAAAATAAAGATTAACTAATGAAATATATTTAATGGAAGCAATTAAAAGAATTTTTTTTTCATATTTAAATGTTACCTTCATCTATAAGAGCCAGGCAACCTAGAACTTTAACTTGCAGAACTTCGCCTTTCTTAGCAACCTGAAAAGAGAGCAATGTCACAAAATATAATTTTGCAAACTAATAAACAGTTTTTTTTATTAAAAATCAAAACGAAATAACAACCATTTAAATCATTTAGAACTACCGAAACGCTTGTCAATAAATAACTTATCTCATATAAATAAAATGCTACATAGTTCTAGATTAAAAATAAATATCTGTGAAATATAAGAATATCTTACCCTGTAACCGATCTCCAAAACATCAATTGGATCATTATCGCCTTTACATCCTGTAGCTTTATCAAGAACTTCTGGATTCTCCCACGTCTAATTTAAAAAAAATGATTTTAAGAAATCTTTATGAATATTTTATAAATATTTTTTTGTCCTACCTGCACGGAAAGTGTGTTATTTCGTGCACTTGAGGCGGTCACAAAGTAAGTGATTCCCGCCCAGAGATGGGGTGAGCGGGCGCAAAGTACATTCGCGCCGCACCATTAAAAAATGTATTGTTTTCATTTTTTGTGACATAATAAACATACGTAATATACGTAAACAACTACATGTAATTTACCTTAAGTATTATTATCTTCCCAACCCTGATGGAACATTGAAACAAGCGGACTTGCTTGCACTCAATAATACACTTTGGAGTTCTAACTTGGCAGCGGTATAGTGACCGGACAGAATATGTTCCGGCACTCCATGCATTTACCATCGATTTTGTTCTACCTTTGATTTGTTCAAACAAGTTTTAATTCATTTTTAGCCAAGTTCTGTGTTGTGAATACATATGATTTGTTCTACTTTTGAAAGCAACTATATAACCTTTTTTTATTAAACCATTCGTTCTAACACGTGCTCTCTGAAGTGTTCTTCGAAGTTTGTTCTAATCCCGATCCGTTCTGAGTTTTGTTCTATAAGCGAGTGTGACTTCTACCCTCGCCCATCGTAACCATTTTGTGAAATATCCAAATTTTTGTGTCACCCTGAGAATCCATTTTATTATTTTATTCTGTTCCGTCTGATTTTTCATAAATTTTACTGGTTTTATCTGAGTTTGAGATGACTCACTGTTATTGTGCTGTAACCTCTGCTGTTTATAATGATTTGTAGAACTATGTAAACATCTTTTGTATATCTGCGGTGTCACCTTGCAGTGTTGTGGTCTTCGACAGTTTAATATCTTAACTGTATACCCCTTGTTCAAGGTTTAAGTATATTTAAAGTGTTTGAAACCCGGTGTTGACATTTTCCCTCGTTACAAATACAATTGATGTTTCTCACTCAATTTGAGTTTGTTTCTCATTGTTTTGCCCAGAGGGAGCTTGACTACAGTAGTCTTACTTTAACCTTCCATTGTGTTATTTTTCTGATTGAAAGTTAGAAATTGTTATTGAGATCAATTATATATATCAATGTATGGCCTATACGCTTTGAATTCAATTCTCACATGTATTCTTCTCATGGGAGTTTATTATGATTCATGAACAGATTCAACGTATGGCAAATTCATTTTCCTTGTACTCGACTTGTCCGTTTCCAAAGTTTCTATAACTTTTTCGTCTTCTAAGTTTATTGTTCTGACAGTTGGCTGTGCCTCAAGTAATTTAAGAAGAAGAAGAAGAATAATACACTTTCCATGCAGACAGGACAAAAAATGTTGTTCGCAGCACGGGCGCAAAAGGTGATAGTGTCTCAGGCGAGATTATGAAGAAACCTCGGTGACCCTAGGCACCCTCGGCTTCGCCACAATCACCTATTTTGCGCCCTTTATACGAAAATAACTATTTTATCTGGATCTATTTTTGTCCTAGCAAGTAATAAATATTTTTTTTTTACTATAAAAAAAATCTTTGAAAAAAACCTCAAAATCACCGTAATCTCCCCTTAAAGTATATATTTAAAAAAAATTTGTGGACCTGTGTAATAATTGAAAAAAACATTGTTTCTTACTTGCGGTAGAGCACCATAATTCCAAATATATCCATGATGAGGAAAGCAATTCGCCACGAATCTTAATTTGCCCTTTTTTACATCTTGCTTTATTGGATTTAAAGTTTCCTTAACATTAATTTCCATTTTGGCATTTGTCCAACGTGGTATTTCAACAATCATATTGACAGTTTTATTCGCATTATCGACATAAAGTGGAATGTCATGAAAAGGTGAAATTGGAGATTCATCTTTTACTAAAAAAAAATATAAATTATCTAAATTTTATTTATTTAACAAACATATACGGGCAACAGCCCTTGAGATACATGAGTATAGTAACAAATAATAAGCGTGCTATGATAACATTATTCATTATTATTTAGTAACAAGCAACGTAATCTCGAGCAAAATATATTTTTGCTTGGTTCAAAAAAATCAATATCATTGGAAATATCATTCGCTTCAATACATATTCTACTAAAGACTGAATTTTTACCATAGTTTGTTTTGTGTATAGGTACACGAAATAATTGATAATGACGAAGCGCAACAGATGGAACATAAAGATTAATTTTAGACACAAGTTCAGAACTGTTTAGTAGGCCATGTAATAATTTGTAAAAGAATGCTAAATCAGAATACAGAAAGCGAGCAGAAATTTTCGGTATATTTAACTCATTTCTGATATTGGTATAATCATGACTGTGTCTGTCATAAGTATCAGTCATACCCAAGCAAAAAGATGCGAATCTAAGAAAGCGGTTTTTTACCCGTTCAAATGTAACCGTTGCAAATTCCAGAATTGGTCTCACCAATGAAAAAAACAATACTTTTAACACTAAAGAATTTTTAAATAAATTAGCGTTTCTGGTGATAAAGCCAAGAACTTTTAGAGCTTTAAATTCTTAAAAATATATAAAAAATTACTATACAAAGCATTTATTAATTGTTAGAAAATTATTTTGTATTATTTGTTTTATTATTATTTTGTTACGAGAGTTGACATATTTTAGACATTGTAAAAATTTTTGTCGGCGAAAAATTGATCTCAGTTTAATTCGGTTATTTAAAAAAAAAATTGTTGAAAATATTTTTGTGAAACATTCTTATTAAGAAATTAATAAATTTGATTTTATTTATAATAACAAATTGTTAATAATAATAAAATGTTTATGAACTAATTTAATTTATTGAAAATAAAAAAATGGACTTTTTAGACTTTTTTTGTACCTCCATAAATTTGGCGTTGTCGCTCGGCGTCGAAATTTATTTTTCACGGGACCAAAAATATCAAATCATTTTTAAAAAGGTTTTGAGTCCACATACCTTGAAAAGTATTTCCCAAGGCATTATTTGGATTGAAAATTTAAAAAAAAAAATGACACTTTTGGTCCTGTGAAAAACAATTACTTTTTTTCTTTTAAAAATCGATCCGAGGCCCACAATTATAAAAATGTAAGACAATAATTTTTAGAAGCAAAAGTTTGAATTAAAAATTTTTTAAATTATAATTTTAGTAGCATTTTTAGAAATTTAGAATTTTGATTCAAATTCCATCTTCCCACAGAAAGCAAAGTTTTCATTTGTAGCCATTAAGAAATAAGTGTTAGATCTTATCACTATTTTTTTTTTTAAGTTTGAATCTTTTTTCCATTTTGAAGGCTTCAAAATAAAACTTTACTTTTTGTGAAAAAGAGGAGTATAAATCTTGTTTTCATTTGTTTATTTTGTTGGTTTTATGAAATCCAAGGTAATGATTAATTGGTACAGATGGAGTATAAATTCGTATTGTGAAGTTAGAGATGAAATTCTTAGGCCATCGCAAGATGGACAGAAAAGAAAGCATTTGGCAACAATGTTTTCTTTAATCAAGAACGAAAGTTAGAAGACATTCTTAATTGGTGGGGCAATTTCTCTGGTTGTTTGTTAAATGAAAAAAAACATTACATAATATAATCCAAAGGTCGCGAAAATTGAACATTTATTAACATTAAGTGACAGACCACTAAAGTGCACTATCATAAGCTGATATAAATTTTAAAAATAGTTTTAAGTCTTTAGCAAATAGTAGAAAAGAACAATAATTCCTTTTTTTTATATATTTTTCTAATAAAATTCTTTTATATTTCTTTCAGATTATTTTAATGATTTTTCAATAAAATATTTTTTTATTAAATAAATAAACCTGAAGGTGATTCAAAAGGATCAAAACATGTTATTTATAAACATACTTAAAAAGTGGCACTTATTTTCACAACTTTATCAATAAAATGAACTTTAATCTTTACTTTTTGCGGTATGTATATTTTTATAACTTCTACATACATGGTTGTGAAAAAGTATAGCAACAGTCGAATATTTAGATTAGGAAATATGTAGAAAGTCGAAAATATAATTAGAATTTAATTCAATCAATTGAAAATTTTTCTTTTTTAAATTACTTTATAATGGTAACCTAATTTTGCAAAATGAACTTAATTAAGTTTTTCTGAATATCAAATTACGAGATAAAAATTTTTCTATTTTCTTTCGGGCAATTGTTCTATATTTAACTTATCTGATAAAGCAAGTTCCTTATCTGCATAATATATCTTAATGCAGTTTTTTTTATTTATATTAAAAAATTACAGTTTATTTTATTATATTGAGAATAATTATCAAAAAAAATTTATTTCGAATATATCAAAATCGAACTAACTGTAAGTCAAATTTTCAAAATTTTATTTAAGTAGGACAAAATTTCTAAACAAAATTGTTAAAGTTTCATTTTTATAATTTTTTGAAGTCTGATTTAAGCAATTTATTCGAATTAAAAATTTTGACATAGTTTTTAGTTTTGATGATCAATAAAATTTCAGGCAATACTTAATTAAGATTTATTGATTTTTAAATAACAATAATTTTGGAAGAGTTAAAATTTGAAATTTTCACAAATAAATGAATTTCAAAATATTTTGTTAATTTTCAGAAAATTATTAAATTTTACAGAACTAAAAATAATTTATCAAATAATTTTAGATAACGTTTTTTAAAAGTAATTGAATTTTCATAGATTTACAATTTAATTAAAATAATTATAATAATAATTAAAATTTAATTATTTCTAAAATTTTCCATCTAAAATTTTTTTTTTGAAATTTAATAATTTCAATTATACCTCTAATGAAATTCAATTTTTTTGAACTATTTTAATAATATTCTTTGAAAATTCAACTATCTGAAACCATTTTTCAATTAAAAATGATTTTCAAATTATTGTATTTTGTCCGCATTTTCTAATAAATTTTTAGTGAAATCATCTAAAATTTTAATTACAAAACACTTAAAGTTTCAATTAATTCCAAAAATCTCAATTTCAAATCTTTGAAAATTCAATTAAATTTAAAAAATGTTTTCCAAAAATTGTTTGATAAATTATTTTTAGTTCTGTAAAATTTAATAAATGTTTGAAAATTAACAATATCTTTTGAAATTTAATTATTTCTAAAAATTTCAACTTTAACCCTTCGAAAAGGATTATTATTAAAAAAAATAATTTTTTATTTAAAAATCTGTAAAATATTTTTGTTAAAATAAAAAACAAATCCACTTTTTTTTGGAATATAAATCGACTAAAACGACTTTTTTGTGTCTTTAAGTTGATTCGAGGCCTGTGTTTTTATAATTAATATTTGTTGGACCCTGGTACCTTAAAAATTAATTTTGAAAAATAAATTTTTTCAAATTACTATCTTGTATGATATTTCCTGGCGCATCTTTTTTCTCATCATAAATTTTTTGTATTTGTATACAATTTTTGAATCAATATACAACTTAAAAAAAAAATTTCGTTGATAAACGTTGTGTACCTCAGCTTCGTGAATTGAATTTTGGAATTTTAAAGAAACTTATTCCGAAATTTGGAAACACAATTATACAACTTTGGCAAAAATGAGAAAAAGAATTGTCAAAATTCGACACGTCATAAGATTACTATTCAAAAAAACACGTGAAATCAGAAAAGACCAACTTCAAATTAGGACAGAAGGACAGACCAAGCATTTTATTATTATATAATAATAATTTTATTTTATTAAATAAATTGAGAAAATCGTCTTTTTTTAACATAAGTCGAAAAAAGCGTATTTAAAAAAAAAGTCAGAAAAAGTCTTACAATTCGAGGTCTGATAATTTTAAAAATTATACATGTGCATAAAATTCTGCGTCTATTAATGTAAACCATCAATTAATATTTTCATGCGTGCAAGAAGCAAGTCATTCATTATAATGTTGTTGAGTAGTAAAGAATAAATATCTTCTAAAATTTTTTTATTTTTTTTGTAAACAGTAAATTTTTTAATTCAACTTTACAGATAAATTAGTTTAATTTAAGTATGTATGTTATATCCAATTAAACGAATTCTGTATTAGAAAATAATTTTTTTTTTGTAATATAAAAAAAAGGAAAAGTAGTGAAATCCTATAGATTAAATATATAAAAATTATATAAGTAAAATCTATTTGCCTTTGATAGTAGAACAAGCGAATTGAAAAAAAAAAATAAATTTCTTATCTCCGTTTCCTGTTTACAAAAAAAAAAAATTGCATATAACTTACACAATTTCACTCACATTAAACATTTAAAATTTATGTTTTCAAGAAATTTTCTTTATGAAATTAAAAATACACACTTTTTTCCAACTTATAAGTGAAAAAAAAGGAATTAACTAGTAAAATTTCTTTTAAAAAATGGTTAAGTTCAATAATACTTACAAAAATAAAGCCTATAATCCAGTGAATTAATAGAACCACGTTCAACTACAGAATATGACATTTTGTTTGGAATATTTTGCAGTAATGATAGAGATCGTTTAAAATTAAATACTTGATATGCTAACTTAGATCCAGACAGAACATTAATCCTGTTTAAAATCCTGTAAACCAGCATTTGCAACACACGTTGTACCCACGAGGCAGAGATAGGTAAGTAGAAAAAATTGGTTTTAATACTTGGAACGTCCCAAATGTTACATATTTGAAAAACGACCCCTATTCTAGTCCCAACGACTTAAAAGCGAATTTCCCTAGATTTCATTCACATTAGTCTAGTAATTTTTGAATTTTCTTAATTCACAAGTTACCAATAACATCACTAGAGGTGTGACATTCACATCTGTGAATTTTAATCTTTGACAGTTCCATGACAGTTCTGACTTTTGACTGTTGACCAAGCCTAAAAGTCATTTAAGGAACAAAAATAGATTTTTATGTTTTTTCAATTAAGAAAAAATAATAATTTAGAAATAAAATATTAAATTTGATAATTGTTATTAATGTTACTTTGATTTTAATATAAATAATTATGCCTGTAAGTATTAAAATTATTTTCTGTATTTTTTTTTTAATTTTATAAAAATGTTTTTATAAACGAAATAAAAAATCGGTGTGTAAAAAAAAATATTTAGCAATATTTCTATGGAAAAATCTAATTGTCATGATGACAAAAAAACTAAGTAAATGTCTTTTGACAGATAAATATAACCTTAAAAATATTTCATCTGTCGAGATAATAAATGAATTGCATTCTTTGAAAATTCTTTAAATTTTAATAAATTTGCACTAACAAAATCCAAAATTAAATACAAAAGTTCTGACATTTTTACACAATTAATAATAACAATAATTTCATAAAAACAAATGGCAAAAAAATAGAAAAAAAGTTATTTTAGATATAAATTTTTTGAACTTAAAATTTAATTATTTGCAAAAATTTCAATTTTTTAAAATGATTTTTATAATATTTTTCGAAAATTCAATTATCTAATAATAATAAATAAAAATAATAATTCTTTATCAACAAAAATCACTAAAAATTTATCTCATTGTAATTATTGTCTGTAATTTATTACAATCTTTTGAAATTCAATTATTTTCAAAAATTTCAATTTAAAAGCTTCTAAAATTTAATTATTTATAAGCCAAATGTTCTGAACGTTTAAATGAAAAAAAAATATTTTTTTTAATCTGTAAATTATTAAAAATTATAATATTAATTATTATTATTATTATATAATAATAAAATGCTTGGTCTGTCCTTCTGTCCTAACTTGAAGTTGGCCTTTTCTGATTTCACGTGTTTTTTTGAATAGTAATCTTATGACGTGTCAAATTTTGACAATTCTTTTTCTCATTTTTGCCAAAGTTGTATAATTGTGCTTCCAAATTTCGGAATAAGTTTCTTTAAAATTCCAAATTCGAAAATTCAATTCACGAAGCTGAGGTACACAACGTTTATCAACGAAATTTTTTTTTTAAGTTGTATATTGATTCAAAAATTGTATACAAATACAAAAAATTTATGATGAGAAAAAAGATGCGCCAGGAAATATCATACAAGATAGTAATTTGAAAAAATTTATTTTTAAAAATTAATTTTTAAGGTACTAGGGTCCAACAAATATTAATTATAAAAACACAGGCCTCGAATCAACTTAAAGACACAAAAAGTCGTTTTAGTCGATTTATATTCCAAAAAAAAGTGGATTTGTTTTTTATTTTAACAAAAATATTTTACAGATTTTTAAATAAAATTTTTTTTTTTTAATAATAATCCTTTTCGAAGGGTTAAAGTTGAAATTTTTAGAAATAATTAAATTTCAAAAGATATTGTTAATTTTCAAACATTTATTAAATTTTACAGAACTAAAAATAATTTATCAAACAATTTTTGGAAAACATTTTTTCAATTTAATTGAATTTTCAAAGATTTAAAATTGATATTTTTGAAATTAATTGAAACTTTAAGTGATTTTTAATTAAAATTTTAGATGATTTCACTAAAAATTTATTAGAAAATGCGGACAAAATACAATAATTTGAAAATCATTTTTAATTGAAAAATGGTTTCAGATTGTTGAATTTTAAAAGAATATTATTAAAATAGTTAAAAATAATTGAATTTCCTTAGAGTTATAATTGAAATTATTAAATTTCAAAAAAAAAAAATTTCGATGGAAAATTTAAGAAATAATTAAATTTTGGATGCTTTTAAATTCAAATTTTTAAAAATAATTGAATTTCCATTGAAATTTTGTATAATAATTTAATTTTAGTTGATTTTTGAATGTAAATTTTGATAATAATTATTTTTGAATAGAAATTTTGAATAATAATTGAATTTTAATTGATTTTTAATTAAAATTTTTGGTAATAATTGAATTTGAGTTGATTTTGAATTGAAATTTTGAATAATAATTTAATTGGAGTTCATTTTTGATTGAAAATTTGAATAATAAATTTTGAATAGAAATTTTAGAAAATAATTGAATTTTATTTCATTTTAAATTGAAAACTTGGTAAATAATTAAATTTTAAATTGAAAATTTTGGATAATTATTGGATTTTTAATTGATATTGAATTAAATTTTTGGGTAATGATCGAATTTTAGTTTATTTTGAATTGAAATTTTTAAAAAATAATTCAATTTTATTGTGATATTTTTTTTTAAATTATAAACAATTGTTAAATTTCATAAAATTTTAATTCAAAAATAATTTTCATATAATTGAATTTGTGATGTATTTCATTAAAATTATTAAAAATAATTAATTTAGTGAAGAATCATGTTAGTTCAAAATTTGTTAAATAATTGAATTGAAGAAGATCTACATTTTATACTAAAAAAATGTATTTTATTTACATTTTTTTTCAAATGTAAAAAAAATGTCGCATTTTATTAAAATAAGTCGATAAAAGTCGTATTTTTGAAAAAAGTCGGAAAAAGTCGTATAATCCGAGGCCTGTAAACATATAATTTTCATTATTATTATTTAATATGTAATAATATTCTAATAAATTAAATTATTATTGATAATATTAATCTTTAATTTCTTTATAACAAACAATTAAATACTCAATTTGGCGCGCTTGCGCGCGTTTAATTTTGCTAGTATAAGATAAAACAGTAAATTAAACAAATGTTAAATTAATAACTTCTTTTGAGATATTTAAAACAATATTTTGTAATAAATTTCGTACTTAAAGAAGTTGTAAAAAAAATGTTGTTTTTTTTTTGGCTCATAATTATTTCGAAAATTTTCCGTCTAAAATTTTTTGAAATTTAATAATTTCATTTATAACTCTTCTGAAATTCAATTATTTTTAATGAATTTTATAACATTCTTCGAAAATTCAACTATCTGTAGTCATTTTGCCTAAAATAATAATAGCTCCTATTATTATACAAAAATCAAAATTTTTTTGTTCTATGCTTAACCAAAATAACAAACATTTTTGTTTATTGAAATTGATTTTTTTTTTAAATTTCAAACAATTATTTAATTTAAATATTAATTTAAAAAACATTTTCAGATAATTGAATTTTTGAAGAATTTTATAATAAATAATTGAAAATAATTAATTTAGCCAAGAATATTAGTTAAAAATTTGTCTTAATTCGATTCTTGATAATATTCCTATATTGTTATTGAGGAATTAATAAAATTAATATCTAATAACAATAGTTATTTGAAATTAAATATTAATTAATTAAATTTATTATAAATAAAAAATCGACTTTTCTTAGTATGTAAATCGACTAAAACGATTTGTTTTACGCCTTAAAGTTGATCCAAGGCCTGAAAATAATAATTCGAATCATTTCTTAAAAAATTCACATAAATATTAATTTTAAAATAAATAAAAAAACTTTTTATTTTAAGGCATACCATTCTAGTTTTACAAACAATGACAAAGCAATTGGTAACTTAGCATTGTTGCCAATAAAAACGCAGTTTCGAGGTCCAGCTCCACCATTCGCCGGTGATGAATTAGATATTATTGATGAAGCATTATATTTTTTTCGAGCAAATGTTTTCTTCAGGACCTATGAAATTAAGGTACAATATTTTAATTCACATTTTTATTATTCTTATTATTATTATAATTTTTACGATGTTAAACATTTAATTTAAATAACACATAATAATAATAATAGAAAAATATTTATTAAAATATTCATTAAATTTATTAAGAATTATAAATATTTTAGGAAAAAAAGTTAAAGCCTGCAGGGATGAAAATATTTATTTGACTTTTTTGTATTTCAGAGTGATGCTGATCGAGTTCTCATATACATTACTCTTTACATTACAGAATGTTTAAAAAAATTGCAAAAATGTGGAAATCAAAATCAAGCTCTCACTGAATTATATTCATTGTCATTGTCAAGATTTGACATACCAGGAGATCCTGATTTCCCTTTAAATCTTGTTTATGCAAAACCAAATAATACTACAGAAGCAGGTATAAATAGTTTTTACTCTAGACAAAATGTCGCCGCCTATTAGAAAAAGAAACGAACTAAATTTTAAAAACTTGGAAATTGTTTTTTAAATTATATGTAAATTTTTCTACTTAAAATGTTCTTTAAATGCAAAATAAGAAAAAAATTATACTTTTGAAAGCACTTTTTCCAACTAGCAAAAAAGCAGAACTTAATATTCTATTTAACTAAATTATTCACAAGGTTTATAGTACATTTTTGTTTCAGAATTAATGAGACAGTACTTACAGCAAGTTAGACAAGAAGTTTCTCAACGTCTTATCAAAAAAGTATATGGACATGATGGAAAGCCAAGTAAATGGTGGTTGTGCTTTGCCAAAAAGAAGTTTATGGATAAATCATTGTCAGGACCTGGTCAATAATAAACTTTTCTTATTTTTCATTTACAAATAATTTATATTATCTTTTGTAATATTTGAAATATATTTGATATTCTTTATGTTCCTCGAACGAAGCGATCAACATAAAGAATAATGATTATCAAAGATTTATATATTCATTTACGATTCCAGATCTTGAATTAATAAACATTTTCAGTATTAACAACATTGAAAATAAACTATTATTTTATTAACTAAAAGGAACCGGAAATTAGTAATAATTTCGATTTTTGTTAATTGGTGTATAATAAATTTCAACTAAATTAAAATTGAATTATTAAAATTTATTAACATAAAATTAAATTGAATTATTAAACAATGTAAATATTCTCAAATCCATTATTTACAAATTCATTATTTTGTTAGTAATACCTTATTTCTATTGAACGAGTCACTGATAAAAATTTTTTTATAACAAAAATATTATTCAGTTAGTTGTTTTTTTGTGACATAACAATAAACATATTTTAATAATTTTTCCCGTGCACTGCACTCTTTGTTCATTTATACTATTATATATTTTTAATATCTTTAATTTATTTGTGGTAAATTCATTCTATTGGTAAATTGATTATTCTACAGATCTTGCATCGTTGATACTAGAAGGTACAAATACTTCAAGTCCATCAAGCTCTTTGGTCATTGTAATTTGACAACCAAGTCTGGATCTAAAATAAGAAAATATTACATTTTTTTTTGTTGAACTTAACAAGTCAAAATTTCTAAAATTCAATTATTATTTCAAAAAATTTTAACTCAAACTCTTCTAAAATACAATTATTTTTAAATTTTCTATATGAAATTGAAATTGAGGAATAATTAAATTTTAATAATTTTAATCAACATTTTAGAAAATTCATTTATTTAAAACATTTTTCAATTCAAAATTCTCCAAAGTTTAATTATTGTTTAAAGCTTATAAAATATCTACAGAAATTTCAATTTACGAAAATTTTCATTAAAAATCTGAAATTAAATTACTTTCAAAAAAATGTTATTTCCTTCCAAATTCAATTAGTAATTGAATGTTAATTTAATAGAAATTTTTTCCCCAAATTTTTATCTATTTCATTCTTTTTTTAATGTATTATTTAGAACTCATTTGTACAAACTCCATTGTATAGACTTCAATGTCATTGAGCAATTAAAATAAATAAATTCTTTTTTTAATTAATTATTTAAACAGTTTTAATCCAATTTTTCAAAAATTCAATTATTTAAATCGTTTTTCTAATTAATGTTTATATTTAGAACAAAATTATAATTTTTTAAATATCAAAAAAAGGCAGTTATTTCTAAAAATCCTAACTAGGTAACTACATCAAAATTCAATTATTTAGAACATATTTCAGTTGAAAATTCAATTATTCCTAAAAATTTCATTTAAAATTCTTCGCTAAATTAATTGTTTTAATTACATTAAAACAGTTTTTCAACAATTCATAGAAAATAAAAATTTTTTTAGTTTAAAATACTCTAAAATTTTATTATTCTTTAAAGTTTATAAAAAAATTTTTATCAATTAAAATTTATGAAAGTTTCAATTGAAAATTTTCTGAAATTTAACTATTTCCGAAAAAATATTAACCCGAACTTGTCCAAATTTAATTAGATATTGAATAATTAATTCAATGTTAGCTAATTCAATTGAAAATTTTTTTCGGTGATTTAAAAAGAAAAATTGTTGAAAATATTTCTGTGAAACAATCTTATTACGGAAATAATAAATTTGATTTAATTGCTAATAACAAATTATTGGATTGGCATTCTTTGCTAATAACAAATTATTAATAACTTTCAAAAATCGTTCCGAGGTCTATAATTATAAAAATGTGAGACAATAATTTTTAGAAGCAAAAGTTTGAATTGAAAATTTCAAAAATTATAAGTTTAGTAGCATTTTTAGAAATAAAATATTTCTCCAGTACTTTTCATAAAATTCGTTGACTTTTCCCTGATTTCTCTGACCAATCACCCTGTTATAATTGACCAATTTTCAATTTTTTTTTTTTTTTTTTTTTGATTGAAAATTTTAACCAGAATAAAAAAATGAAAACAGTACTTTAAAAATTACAACTTACGTGTCGGTTAAATCATGTACTAAATCTAACATGTCAATTTCATCGGTGGAAGGTTTTTCCGGCAAACTGTCATAAACGTCTTTTGGTATTATTAAGTGACACGTACTACATGTTACTGTCCCTTGACAAGCGCCTAATTAAAAAAAAAACAAAGAATAATTATTTTACTTAGGTCACATTTTTCAAAAGTTAATTTCAAAATTATTTGTTATTTATAATATTGAATTGAATTTTCATATTTACGTATTTTTATTTAACTGAATTCATAATTACAAGAATTTTTATTTAGTCCAATTTTTATAAAACAGATTCTCTAGTTCACTGAATTTTTATTTAATATATTATTACTATTTAATTAGAGAGATTTAATAGAATTTTTATTTTCCAAAATTTTCATAATTCACTTTCTAAATCTGAATTAGTAAAAATGTTTACTAATTTGAATTCGTGACTCTCTTTTTGCTTCGCAATTAGTAAAATTTTACTAATTATTACTAACTTTTACTAACAATTAGTAAAATTTTTCTAATTCTAAAGCAAAAAGTGAGTCACTAATTTAAATTAGTAAACATTTTTACTAATTCAGATTTAGAGAGCAAAGAATTCTTAATTTGCCGAAATTCTATTTGATAGAATTTTTATTTGTACGAATTCTCATTTGATAGAAATTTTGAAAACGCCGAATATTCATTTGATCAAAATTGCAAATGATCGAACAAATATCGGACATAAAAGTTTAAATATATATTCTTTTAACTAATTATAATAGTTTTGACATAATATAAAGATTTATAAACAAATATTTTAAAAAGTTATGTTTACAAAATTTTATAATTTCAAAATGTTAAATTATTGCAGTCCTGAAATTTACATTGATAATATGTTTCATATACATATTTCGTAACATGTTATACAAAAATAATATTAAAAATCTTTTACTAAAATAACTTACCAAATCCATCCAAATCTATTTCATTATTTATAACAATATCCAATAACGTATCACCAATTTTTCCATTGGCTTCAATTCGTTCTCCATTTGCCCTGACAAATACTACTTTGACTCTAGAAAAAAATATTAAACAATTTTTTAATACAGTTGATAGTAAAAAAAAATATGCGTAATATATTATTTTCTTAACCTTACGCATAAAAAATGCCATTTTTATTTATTTACAGTGATTTTCAATTAACTTTAATTAGCACATCTCGGTTTTATTTTTTAGTTTCGTTTCTGGAATACCTTCTGGTCTTTTTTTAGCCTAAAATCAAAATAATCAATTAGGCCGTTTTGAAAAAAACTTATTTTTTGAATTTTTTTTAAAAGTTAATCAATTTTTACGAAAATATAAGTGCAAATAGTAGTTACATCGACAGAAGTTATTAAAAATAACAGAAGAAAGTCGGCTCTTTAAAAAATTGAAAAAATAACAACAAGACTTTCCAGAAATGAAACAAAAAAAAAAAATTAACTTTGTACTTTTGTATTGAAGTTAATTGAGACCAATAGTGTATTATAACTGACTGTATTTTTTTGTTCACAATTAATAAAATAAAATTACAAAAATATATTTTAAAATTTTAAAATTTTCAATATTAATAATATAATAAGCTTCGTAAAAAATATTTATTCTTTTACTAAGTGTAGTACATTTAAATATTAAAATAAAAAAGAAAAATATCTCAACCCAGAAAAAAATAGTTACTGCCTCTTTGATATAGTGATTGACCTTCCATACACTCTGCATATAACAAATTTTCATGGGATCCAAATTTCATAATTTAAAATTAATATTTGTGTATAAATTTTATGAGAAGTGAATTATAGTGTAAAATTCATTAATTTAAATAAATATTTAAAGAAATTAAATTTGTATATAATTATTGTATTTTGTTAGAAATAATTTAAAAATGAAGCATTAACAAAAGCATATCATCCAAAAAATAGTTTAAACCAGTAAATTTCATGCAAAAAATAGTAATAAATTTTTATTTTAGAACGAATTAAAAAAAAAATTAAGTCTAAAGAAAAATGTAGTATTTTGCGTTTTTTTTCTCTCTCTCAAAAACTGTGTAGGATATAGAAAAAAATGTTAAGAGAAAAAAATAGATGTGCCAGAAAATTCCCTACCAGATAAAATTTCATGTAGGTGAGTATGTATATCCCTCTCAAATGTTATAATTTTTTTTTTTATTCCAGATTTTCGATATATTCAACTTACATCATTTTTAGGATATCTTTCTTTTATTAAAGGACAAATGTACCTATGATTCAAAATATGTAAAATGATTAGAACGAGGTTTTTCAGATAGAAAAAAATGTAGTTAAATTTAGTTTTGCTAATTCCCTTATTATTATTTAAACTATTGAGAAAATCCCATTAATAAGAAAATAATAAATAAAAAAAAATTATAAAAAATTTAAATTTGGAATATATTTTTAAAATATTTTGAATTTTTCAAAAATACTTGGGATTTCTTATTTTAACCCTTAAAGGAACCCAAATTATCGATTTCATAAAAATTTATCAAAATACCACAAATCGGTGCGATCACTTGACGTGGAATCGCCCAAATGTAAAATTATAAATATATGAATATGAATGATACTATTTTATTTTCTGCAGACATCCATAAAATTTTATAAGAATGTTAAATTAATATTATCTTATAAGTAAAGACAGCTACTTGATTAATATCGGGCATTTCATATTAAGTTGGACACTATTTTGGGTAATTATAATTATTTTTCATCTCTGATTTTTTAGGAACATTCTTTCTTTTACGTTACTTTTTTTGAAATGTTCATAACTGAGCAAATTAAAATTTTTTTTATGAATTCTTTTTTATTTTTTATTTTTCTTATTAAACATACGCAGACCTTGGATCGAATTTAAGGTTCAAAAAAGTCAATTTTTCTTATTTTAATTAAATTGAATTAGAATATTATTATCAAGAAAATTTATTTCGCATATTTCAAAATCGAATTAAGACAAATTTTCAAAAATTTAATTTTCAAAAAAATTACAGATAATAATTAAGTTTTACAGATTTTCAAATAAAAAATTTTTTTTTTAAAATAATTCAATTGTAAAAGATTTTAAATTTAAAATAAATTTTCTGCAAATTTAACTTGCTGCAGTTGTTTTTTTAAATTTCGATCAAAAATTCAATTTTAGAGTTTTAATTTGAAATTGTTTTCAATAATTCAGGCCTCGGATCGACTTAAAGGCACAAAAAAAGTCGTTTTAGTCAATTTATATTCCAAAAAAAGTCGAAAAAGTCGATTTTTTTTATTTTAACAAAAATATTTTACAGATTTTTAAATAAATTTTTTTTTTAAATAATAATACTTTTGGAAGGGTTTAAAGTTGAAATTTTTAGAAATAATTGAATTTTAAAAGATTTTGTTAATTTTCAAACAATAATTAAATTTTACAAAACTAAAAATAATTTATCAAATAATTTCAGATAACATTTTTTAAATGTAATTGAATTTTCAAAGATTTACAATTGAGATTTTTAAAATTAATTGAACTTCAAGTGATTTTTAATTAACAATTTTCGATGATTTCACTAAAAAATTTATTAGAAATTGCGGACAAAAATACAATAATTTGAAAACCATTTTTAATTGAAAAATGGTTTCAGATAGTTGAATTTTCAAAGAATATTATAAAAATAGTTTAAAAAAATTGAATTTCCTTAGAGTTATAATTGAAATTGTTAAATTTAAAAAAATTTTCGATGGAAAATTTTAGAAGTTTTTAAATTCAAATTTTTGAAAATAATTGAATTATAATTGAAATTTTAGATAATAATTCAATTTTAGTTGATTTTTGATTGAAAATTTTGATAATAATTAATTTTGCATTAAAATTTTTGAGAATAATTGAATTTTAGTTGATTTGGAATTGAAAAATTTGAAAATAATTAAATTTTATTTGATTTGAAATTGAAATTTTGGATAATAATTTAATTTAAGTTGATTTTTGATTAAAAATTTTGATAAAAATTAATTTTTAATGAAATTTTGGATAATTATTGAATTTTAATTGATTTTGAATTTAAATTTTGGGTAATAATTGAATTTTATTTGATATTAAATTAAAAATTTAGAAAATAATTGAATTGAAAATTTTAAATTGATTTATGATTTTGAATTAAAATTTTTTGATAATTAATTAATTAGTGAAGTGAATTAGTGAAGAATTTTAGTTAAAAATTTGTTAAATAATTGAAATAAAGAAGATCTGAAGATCTGCATTTTATACTAAAAAAATATATTTTATTTAAAAATTTGTTTAAAATATTAAAAAAAAAAAAGTCGAAATAGTCGCATTTTATTATAGCTATATTTATAGCTATATATATAATAGCTAGAATTTTAAAAGATTTTATTATATTTTTAAATAATAATTAAATTTTACAGAATTAAAAATAATTTATCAATTAACTTTAGATAACCATTTTGTTTTAAATTGAAGTTTTGTAGATTTACAATTTTTAAAAATAATTGAACTTCATGTGATTTTTAATTGAAATTTACGGTAATTTCTGTTTCCGAAGAATTTTTTTTATAAATTACAGACAGAAATTCAATTAAAGTTGAATTTTTGAATATTATTATTATTATTATTATCATAATTTTATATAATTTATCAAATAATTTTAGATAACCAACTTAAAAAAATTGAATTTTTGAAGATTTACAATTTAGATTTTTAAAAATAATTGAAATTTTTGGGATTTTTAATTAAAATTTTTAGTTATTTCTCTTTCTGAAGAATTTATTAAAAAGTACAGAAAAAATATTTAACTTTAAATGTTTTTAATTGAAAAAATTATTTTTAAATAATTAAATTTTCGAAGAAAATTATAAAAATCATTAAAAATAATTGAATTTCTGAAGAGTTATACCTAGTTGAAATTATTAAATTTCAGAAAGTTTTAGATGGAAAATTTTAGAAGATTTTAAATTAAAATTTAAAAAAAAAATTGTTTTTAGTGGAATAAATACACTTATGAAGGTCTAAATTGTGACCAAAACTTGTGCAATAATTAAAAATTATTTCATTACATCCTAAATCTCATGCAAAAACAAAAAATTATAATTTTAAACAATTATTGAATTTTATAAAATTTTTAATTCAAAAGTAGTTTAAAATAATTAATTTGTGAAGAATTTAATAACAAATTGTTGAAAATATTTAATTTAGAGAAGAATTATTTTAGTTAAAAATTTGTCAAATAATTGAAATAAATAAAATTTTAAAAGAATTAGAAATAAAAAAGCAAAATAGTGTCCGATTTGACGTGGAATGCCCCATATATAGACCATATAACCAAGAAAAATCCGATCCCTTTATATTACAAAAAAACCCAAGGCCAAAATTACTTGTAACTTACTCATGTTCTTTGAAAAAAGGTTGTGTGGTGCATGTACTTCTAGTTTGAAATTTGTTCTGTACACTATAAATTGCCCTTGTCCTATTAAAAGCATAATTTCTCGTCATGTTTAAAACAGGAGATTTTGACATATGCTTTGATATCAAATACAATTTTTGTAACATTGCCATTGGATTAGATTTTATTTACAAAGCGGAAAGAGTATTTTTTCAAAAAAGAAATTTATTTACAATAAAAATAAATAAATATTTAAATTATTTGACTACTTATAGGAGTATTTGTGATAATAGATCAAGAATAAAGGTCCAACGTTTCAATTAAACTATTATATTCGAAATACACTTATTACACTATTACTATTTATAACCTATACATAAATATTTTCGATTTTTCACTTCAAAATAAAATTGAAAATTATAATTATAAAATAAAAGAACTATTAAATAATTTAAAAAAATTTTATTACAACATATTTAGTTACTATTTTCTCTAATATATGAATCACAAGATGACAGGTCAGAATAAAACTGCTTTAGGTGTTGGCACATGTTTTTTTTCAGCAGTGAGTATTTTTTAATTATATGTAAATTTTTCAATGCCGATAACAATTTTTATCATGGAATTTTAAAAAAAAATTTCTGAAAATGTAATAAACTTTCTAAAAACATTAAAATATCATTAACAATTATGCATAGATGGGTATGTTTTATACCTATAGTTGCATTCCTAAAGCTGATTCTACAATAACTTTCTTTTTCAAACAAGAAAGGAATGAATGTGTGACATCTGGAGCTGGAGTCCTTTTCTAGTAAATTATCTAGGGAATTTCTTCTTTTTATAAAATAAATATTAGGGTACGGTCACACCTCGGTAGATAGCAAGGCTACATGTCTATCATGTAAAGGTGCTTATATACCTCAAATTTCGATCAGATGAACATTATTTCTGGACCGTGAAAATGCGTGAAAAGTCATTTTCACGGCGGGTATTTTTGAATTGTTTTAAACAAAAAATGTTTTTTTAAGAAATATAATATTAAATAATTGTTTTAACATGTAAGAACACTTTAAAATAGTGATAGAAAAATGATTTGATTAAAAAATATAGCAAATTTTGCTTTAAAACGTTTCTGCTACAAGAAAGTGTAAAATGATGATGTTTGTGAAATGGTTTGTACAGTGTACATGTGTACATGTTTATTTCAGTTATTCGAAACAATTAGTAGAATTTAAATTTATTTGATAAACATTTCAACTTACCGATTTATTTTCAGCACTCATTATTTATTACAAGTTAAAAAGAAACGACATAACATAAACAAAACTCTGAGAGACACTCACAAGGAAGAAGCACTGTACAAACCATTTCACAAACATCGTCATTTTACACTTTCTTGTAGCAGAAAACGTTTTAAAGCAAAATTTGCTAAATTTTTTAATCAAATCATCTCTCTATCACTATTTTAAAGTGTTCTTACATATTAAAACAATTATTTAATATTATATTTCTTAAAAAAACATTTTTTGTTTAAAACAATTTAAAAATACCCGCCGTGAAAATGACTTTTCACGCATTTTCACGGTCCAGAAATAATGTTCATCTGATCGAAATTTGAGGTATATAAGCACCTTAATATAACGTATAAGAGTGAGAGAAATAAAAAATGTTCTTATTTCTCTCACTCTTATACGTTATATTACATGATAGACATATAGCCTCGCTATCTACCGAGGTGTGACCGTACCCTTAAGGAGGCACACATTCTTGTATGGGTTCAAATTACTTCTTATTAGGTAGATAATATAATCCCGTTGTGCCGTTACTCAAAAACCTTCGTTAAAAAAGTTATATCAGTTTAACTGCTAATTTGTAGAAATTTTGAAAAAGTTGTCTCGCAAGTTTGAAGCTACATAGTTTTTATTCAATTTGAGGCACATCATTGTTTCATGGATTTTTTAGTTCTTTACACTCCCACCTACTTCTATTGCAAGCCACAAGACACACAATGTTTCGTTAAAAAAGTTACAGTTGATAAACTAAAAAAAACAGTCAATATCACACACTAGAAACTGTCGATTTCACCACTTTAACTTACGTTCGTCATTTCCTACATAATTAAAAAAATTATATAACGCATGATACATTTAAAAAGCCCTATAATTGGTCAAATTATGGTATTGAAAAATTATTTAAAAAATTCTTAAGGTATCATAATGAGCGATAACATAAAGTTTAAAAGTTCTAGAGATATGCCCATATATGTTCGAATAAAAATTGAGATTAATTTAATTCTTTATGAAGTAGAAAAATATAAATATAATTACGTACATTTAAATTATAATAATGCAGTTTATAATATCGATAACTCCGATCAATTGTTTAAATTAGAAAAAAGGAAAAAGAAACTGGGTCTATAAGAACACGTAACTGTGACGTTACTGCTTTTTCTTGACTGACGTCATTTTTTCCCCTCTGACTCTTCTTGCTGCAGCCCACAAGTTTTGGTAAACAACTGCAATGGTCAGAGATGCAATGGTTGGAGGTTCCAGTGTATTAACTTATAATTTCACTTATAGGCAATTGTTTGACTTATTATAAAAATTGTATACCTTCGATCATTGTACATCAAGTTGTGACAAAATGCATTGTTCTCAAGGTACTTCTACAACAACTTGTAATTTGTACTATTGCTTTGAATTTGCTCTCCATTTAACTTGCTTGTGTAATAATTAATTACACCTTATCGCATAAATTCTGTCTTTTTTGTTTGACATTTTGAAAATTCGTGACACTTCTATAATTATTTTATTAGTTTATAGTTATGTTGTAAAGGCCAAGGTTGTGCTGAAGTTTTTTAATTAAAAAATGAAAATATTAGAAGAACTAATCCTAATACTCGTGGCCAGATATGCCTACACGTTTTTGTCTTTTTCTAACGCAAGTGTTGTCATGGCAACATGCGCAGTAGAAAAGGATAAAAAAAGTGTAGGTATATCCGGTAAAGAGTGTACAAGCACCTTTAGGTTTCACATATGGGAGGTTTCTTTGTATTTCGGATGTTCATGAATGCTGTCATGTAAATACAACCTAACTTGATTCTGCGTTGGTCATCTATCACTGGTCTGTACGTTCATTCTCCATGACTAGAAATTTATAAAACAGCTGATTTATTTTTATTAGGGAGCACGTGTTTATAAAGAAACGAGAAATAAAAACCGATCATTGTTTTTAAATATTACAGTTAATGTGTTAATATTGTGTATTCAATGAAATATTAAGAGAGCTCTATATTAAAAAGAAGAAACATATATTTTAGATATGAATTAAATTTTTTTTGATAGTTAAAATTTCCATAGAATTTGAAAGAAGAAAAAAAAATGGCTGACCGTGATAGCGCATCTGAAAGTGATTCAAGTTCAATTGACGGTGGCCCAATTATGATGCCACCGTCTCCAATAACTCGTGAACAACTGCAAAAAAGAATAGAATCACTGCAACAACAAAATCGCGTATTAAAAGTTGAATTAGATACATATAAGCTTCGTGTAAAAGCATTACAAGAGGAAAATCGCAGCCTCCGACAAGCTTCTGTCATTATAGTAAGTTCAATATTTTATCTTTTAATAGGAAAAAAAACTATAATTTTCAATTTTTTTCATTTTTACTAAATTATTAATTGTAATGCATTTTTTAATTTTTTAAAGTCGATTATCAGTAGTCGTAGAGGATTTTATTGATTGTTCACATTGTAAAGGGGATATTCGTCTTAAGTTGCTGTTGAAATACCCGGCGAGAAGGGGAAAATAAAAAAAATTGAGAAAGTTGAAATCTTTCAATTGAGAAATATTTTAATTTTTCAAATTCTTTTTACTATAAATATATTAGAGATTGAATTTTTGTTCAATTTTAATTGCTATTTGTTCTCTTTTTATATTTCATCCCATTTTTCCGCCCTTTTTTCTAATTCTAATTTTTTTTTTTAATCGAGACATATGATTATCTACGCCTCGCCGTTAGATCTAAAAGTCATTAAAAATATTTTTAGCAATTGTTTCATTCGTCTATTTTTTTATTGACTAAAATTTTTAATAAGTCGAATATATTTTCTTCAAAACTTTAATTAACAAAATGTTTGTATAATCTAAAAATTAATTTCTCATTAACCCAATTATTATGTGTCCTAATTTTGAATAGTACAAATTTTAATCATAGTTGCCACGGGTAAGGAAAATCAGGGAAAAGTTAACGAATTTTATGAAAAGTACTGGATAAATATCTTGTTTTTAAAAATGCTACTAAAATTATAATTTTTGAAATTTTCGAAGAATTTGATTAAAATATTATTGAAAAAAAATTAATTTTAAATAAAAATTTGTGAAATAATTGAATTTTAGAATATTTTTGATTTTGATTTAAAATTTTTAGATTTTTACAAATTTTAGACATTAATTGAATTTTAGAGAATTTTCAACTGATAGATATAGATTAAAATTTGGGAATAAAAATTTCAATTGAATTACCTAACATTCAATTAATTATTCAATTACTAATTGAATTTGGATGAGTTCGAGTTAATATTTTTATTGGAAATAATTAAATTTCAAAAGATTTTTAATTGATTTTTGAAATTTTCAATTAAAATTTTAATAAACTTAAATTTTTGAAATTTTTTAAAAATTATATAAACAATAATTTTATTTTGAAGAATTAGTAATTTAAAAAAACATTTTACGTAATTGAAATTTTGAAAAAGTTGATTAAAGTTATTAGAAATAATTAATTGAAAAAGAAATTTTGTACAATAATTGAATTTTAGAGAATTTTCAACTGAAATATGTTCTAAATAATTGAATTTTGATGGAGTTACAGTTAAAATTTTTAAAAATAATTGCATTTTCTGAGATTTTAAAAATTGTAATTTTGTTGTAAATATAAACATTAATTAAAAAATGATTTAAATAGGGTCAGTTGGGGTAAATAGAAACAGATTTGCTAAGTTTCACCAATAATATAAGTTTTTTCTTTTAAATCGCAGTACTTTAGGTTTCTTTGTGTATTAATTGAGTTATTATTTAACTTCCGTGGGACAATTTTATGGGGTAGTAGAAAATATGGATATCATTAAATCGCAATAATTAACTGTTTCTATTTACCCTGAAATTTTTCAATTTTGCTAAAATTTAGGGGTAAATATGAAACAGTCGTTTTTTCTTACAAAATTTAAGAAAAAATTAATTTGAAGTATGCAAATGTTAAAAAATACAAAGAATTACTTAAAAAATGGTCTTATTTATAAAATAATTCAAACTAATAAATAATAATGCATTACATAAGTTTAAAAATAAACCGTGTTAAATACTATGTACTGATGAGAATATAGATGAATACTATTTTCAATGCATTTTTATAGTGCTGAAAATAGTGTTGTAGTTGATAGAAACAATCTTCTCTCTCTCTCTCTCTCTAATAATGTTGAAATTTCTGTTTCTATTTACCCCGAATTTCCAGTTTTTAGGGATAAATAGAAACAGCCTCCTATTTTTAATTAAATTTTGCAAAATGAAAAAATCAAAGTTGATTTTTGTTGTAGTATTAATAAGAGATAATTATAAATAATAATATGAATTTTTAGTTTATTTTTTTTTAAATGCGAGTCAAAAAAGTGAAAGGGTGTCTTCTTTGATTTTCAATTTTTTAGGCAATAGGAAATAATTTTGTATATATTGCTGCTAATTGACAAGCGGAAAATGGGAGAATACTTAGAACCTGTTGGGGATAATCTAGGGTTCAAGGTTTAAGGCCGTATTTTTTTAAAAAAATTTTTTATTCAACTGAAATAACTACTGTTTCGAGTTACCCCTTCTTTCTATTTACCTTGTTTTCTATTGAATTTTTGAAAAATTAGATTGAAACTGTTGAAATAATTAATTAAACAAAGAATTATATAGATAAAAATTTGGGAAAAAGAATTTCATTTAAATTAACATTCAATTACTTATTCAATTACTAATTGAAATTAACCAGAATTTATACTTAACAGAATTTCTATGTAATCAAATTTTTATTTCAAATTTTATTCTTTCAACATAATTTTCATTTAGCATACTTTTTATTGAAAAGAATTTTTCTTAACACGAATTTTTATTTATCAGAATTCTTATTAAACAGAATTTCGTCTAAGTCGAATTTTTAAATACCAGAATTTTCATTAAACCAAATCTTCATTTGTCTGAATTTTTATTAACACGAAATGTCATTTAATAGAAATCTTAAAACTCAGAATTTTCATTTATCCTACATTGCAAATGGTTGAATAATCAAACGGGAGAAATATTTCGGCGCCAATTTTAAAATTGACTCATCACAATTTTCTTGACAGTTGTTGTTCAATTTAAAAATTATTTATTACATTAAATAATTTTATTACTAATTCAGTTTTTGAAAATTATGTAGTCGAATAATATATTTGTTAATTATAAGCAAATGATATTTAACTTTAAGTAATAAAATTGTGTAGTCAAAATTTATTTGGGAGAAAAAAATTAGGTTTGCTTTAAATCAAACTTGAGCGAAACCTGATCAAATTCACTTAGTGATTGATTGAGTTAATCTGTCAGGGAACGTGTCTAATTTATAAAACTTACAAGTCTCATCCCCAATTTTTTTAAAATGAAAATTTATTAATAAAGAAAAATAATGGATATTAGAACGGAATTAAAAGAAGATATTTTCTCATTTTAGCAAGCTAAAGCAGAACAGGAAGAAGAGTTTATAAGTAACACATTGTTGAAAAAAATACAAGCTTTGAAAAAAGAAAAAGAAACATTGGCTCATCATTATGAACAAGAAGAAGAATGTCTAACGAATGATTTGTCACGTAAATTGAATCAATTGCGACAAGAGAAATGTCGTTTGGAGCAGACTTTAGAACAAGAACAGGAGTGTCTTGTGAACAAACTTATGAGAAAAATTGAAAAATTAGAAGCTGAAACACTTGCGAAACAAAGTAATTTGGAACAATTGCGTAGAGAGAAAGTGGAATTGGAAAATACATTAGAGCAAGAACAAGAAGCTTTAGTCAATAAATTATGGAAACGAATGGATAAGCTTGAAGCTGAGAAAAGAATGCTACAAATAAAATTAGATCAACCAGTGTCAGATCCAACTTCGCCAAGAGAAATTAACAACGGTGATACTGCTACAAATCTAAGTACACACATACAAACATTGAGAAGCGAAGTTGTCCGATTGAGGCATAATCTTTTGATTTCTCAACAAGAACGTAAGTTTATTAATAATTTTCATTTTTACAATTATAGTACTAATAGAATAACTGTGCTTATGAGAATGGTCTCAAAATTTTCTTGTAATATATTTATATATATTTTTTTTACAACAGACACAGAAAAAATGCAGCGTTATGTAAATGAGGAGAAACAAATTCGAGAAGAGAACTTGAGGCTCCAAAGGAAATTGCAACTTGAGGTGGAACGACGTGAAGCATTATGCAGACATTTATCTGAATCAGAATCAAGGTATGATACATTTTTTAATTATAGGCATTATTACCCGAAAAGCGTTTCTGGAATGAAGATATTTTAAAATAAATCCAATTTTGAAGTTATAATCCAAATGGTAAATTATTAAGGTCAGCATATGTGTAGCGCTCACTGAACTCTATATTTTTTTTGTTGATTCTATGGCCTATTGCAATGCAGATAGCCAAAACACTAAACACATTATAACTATATAGGGAACTTAATTTCCCAAGTTTTTCACCAGAACTATATTAATGATTGAAATAGTCCGTTAGCATAATTTCACTTTATTAATAAGTTGTAGAAAAAAGTCAAATCCGATAACACTTATTCACTTGGTTTAGATAATAAGTAAAAGTCAAATCCAGTATTAGTATTAAGAGTATCACTTTTGAAAGAAATAAATCCAGAAACAATGTGAATAGTTAAAGTTCCATTCACAACACCACCGAGAATATTTGCATTGTCCAGATTACGAAACTGATGCATTCAAGAATGACTAAAGTATTGTCCATAGATCAGTCCACTTTGCACATTGCACAATATCTACACGGAGAGAAATTTATGCTACTGGGTAACATAATGATGTTAAGGGCAACCATATTTAGTGCTAAATATACAGACAGCGATATATATTGTAGTATTTACTATCAGATGATTATAGAAATTTGATTGTACAATTTACAATCTTTGATGTTAAAAATTTTATACGATCAGAGATAGCTATCAGTACTATCAAAGATATACACTATTAATATAATGATTTTAACAAAACTAAAATGTAAATTGTGAGATTTAAATTTTTTAATTAATACGCTTTTTTAAGAAATGGCAAATTATTTAAATAATATTAAAATAATGAAAGAGGAAATTACTTTGTCAATATTTTATTCATATATGTTTAGAAACAGGGGGTCATTTTTAATGATTTTACAAATTTTTAACTAATTCCTATAATAAACATTTTTCAATTTTTTTAGATTTATTATAAAAACAATTTTCTGTATAGTGAGAATAAAGAATTTCATAATAAAGTTAACAATTTTTTTTTAAATCAAACAAATTTTATCCAATTTTCTTTAATTTTATATAAAATAAAATAAAAAAATTATATATAAAAAATTAAAATTTTAAATAATTTCAATTTAAATTAAATTTTATATTTCCTGAACAGTTTTTGGTATAAAAAATTAATTTTATATTTTTTTACTTTCTTAGTACAACTTATTATTATTGTTGATGAATTTATAGTTTTTTAAAAAAGTTTTTATGGGTATGTAGTTTAACAAGTGATAAAGGATATTCAGCGATAGGGATAAGCACATTAAAAAAAATGCAATTAAATTATAAGAACTATTAATTTTATTCCGTTATAAACGTGGAACAATGTAAATTTTTAAGAAATCATCTCTAAACACTTTAATTTGAGGACTATGTGATCGTAAGTCCGACTGACTAATGAACATTTTTTTAGAACTAACAGTAACATTAAAAGCGCACAAAATTTCGTCGAAAAATTGTGTTTGAAAAATTATTAAATGGAAAATTACATCTTTGTCTTCGTTGTTTAACAAAATGTTTTGTATCTCACCAAAGACAGGATAATCACCATCAGTGTTTAGAGAGACTATGTAGCCATTTTTATAGGTAGTATTATGGACTTTTACCCATGGAACAATCGAAAATTTGTCACTACTTATAGTTTCTCTAAATTCTTCTAAATCTCTATCAATCTCCATACTTTCAATTCGACCATGAGATAAATCTTTCTCAAAACCAGTACCTGATGCGAGTCGATGTGCAAACTTTAATTGCTGTTTCACAGCAATAGTGTGGGAAATATTCACACGACTTGCGACAGGATTTGTGGATAATTTGCATTCTCTATGTTTCGATTCAAATAACATGGAAGAAACATTTGACACGGGACCAATTTTTTTAATTATATCAGGATAATGAAGGAAGAAATGATGTTTCGGCTTAAGTGGCCCAAATAATCTTATGTATAATTCGTGATGCTCCTGAATTAATGTTTTTAAATGATCGCAACACTCGTTTCGGCATCAAAAGCGACATAATTTCTCTTAGTTTAATATATAAAGACCAATAGTCATTATTTTCTAGAATTTTTGAGCCAAAAATTATGCCCACATACGTGACGAAACATTTCATTTCGGCTGCAGACATTCGGAGACTTTTATTTTTGATATTTTCGAATGTTATTTTTGGAGGTTTACAAGACTCAAAACCAAAATTGAAATTAGATAATTTAGCGTCGAAAATTTCATATGGAATAATTTTGTCTACTATAATAAGTCGATGTAAAATTAATCCCACTTCTAATGAGGTTATTCCCTCCCAACCGTCGTGCATGATATCCACAGCATAATTTTCTAATACATGGTAAGAAAATACGTCGTTGAAAATGCAGTTTTCTTTTACGCCGTTTGTTTTTAATTCACAATCTCGTACATATTCCTCGTATGATCTCAAATGTGTATTTTTTACTGATGTCATGAATCGAGCTTCATGACGCGTTGCGTTACAAAATCGGCAATAGTTGGTTGAGTTGAAACTTTGATTATATCCTAAAATCTTATTCATTCCTAAATTATCACCATGAGCCATTATAAAAATAAAATATACTTGTATTTTACGTTCTTTTGTTTCGACCAAAATACCATGCTTCTCCAATTCATTAAAATAATTTATTAATTTTGAAAAAACTACTCTGGACCCAAATTTTTTTAAATCTGCTGTATAAAAATAAGAAGCTGGGAAAATATTCTCGAGAAAACTATTATAAGGTGGTGGTATTCCAGGTATACTAATATAAGCTGCACCAACTTGTTGAATTCCTGAATGAGACTCAACTTAATTTCCCGTCTCAAAATCATCATAATTTAACAGAATTGGAAAGACTGTTTTACCATCAAAATTAGCAATTTTAGTTTTCCATAACTCTCCCTGCAAAATACTGCTAAGAACCGAATTATTTTGATTTTGCAAATCGTTTGCGTACTTTTCCATCGAGTCTAAAACACCATCGATCTCAAGAAACTTTTTTAAATTTTCAGCTATATTCATTGTGTCTGCTTTATAATTTTTTGGAGTCTGTATGCCATTTATATTTTCCAAATTTTCTCCAATGATATGTGGTTCTGGTTTAATATATAGACCATTTTTTTGTAAATATTTTAGTCTTAAATGCTCCGTTCGAAATTTTTCCATATAATATAATTGAAACATTGAATTAACTTTGTTTTTTACCTCGAGTGGGACTTTATACTGATCAAATATTGTTAATACTTTCGATTTTATTATTTGTAATGGTAAGTTTATATTGTTAAATTCATCAATAATGACCTGAACGATGTTTCGCGGTAAAACACTAATACTATAAATAAAAGTTATGAATGTGCACATTTGTTTTTCAATAAGTTCCAAGAGTTCATCGTCAGTAGGTAATTCGTTTACATCGTTTTTCTTACTATTATCAGTACCGATGCAAATACTATCGTTACTTGTAAGGGTTGAATTATTGCAATTATTTAGTGAGGTACCCGGTAAAAATACTTGACTTTCAGATGTAATTGTTGTATCTCGACTTCTAGATTTTGTAGTTGGAGCCGAGTTCATTTTCGGCGAGTGATCTGTTTGTAAATGGTTTCTAAATGAATCGAGTAATGAAAAACTACGCGTACAATTATTTTCTACACACATAGGTACTATTTTTTTCCAATTTATGAACAATTCTATAATGGCATATCAAAAATTTGATCGAATCAAAAGAACGTTTACATAAGTAGCACTTCATTGTTAGATTTCGTAGTACAATAAATTTCGGATTAATAAATATTGCGAGGAACTCTTAAATATACTTGTCAGTATAAAGTTTTTTTTATAATATATCAAAGCATTTTGCGAATACGAATAAAAAATACAATTTTTTTGCAATATTTTCAGAAGTCTTCGTACATATACAAATCTAATTATAAATCTTTCTCTTTTGTAATAAAAATTTTTTTTCAATATTTTTATAATAAAATATTTAAAAACATACTACTACCTAGTTCTCTCTTTTCTAACTACTAATAAACATTTTAAACTTTCAACATTTTTAAATGTCTTAAAAACGTATTTATATATTTTTTTTAAATCTATTATCACCAATATATTATGCAAACGTTTCTCTTAATATTTATTATCACGAACATATAAACAAAATATCAGTCTTTTTTATATACTGTAGTTAATTAAATTCTAGAAACGGGAAACAAGATTTTGAAGGTACTCTATACCTTTTTCTACTGAAATCCTGCTTTTTTTAGATCTGCTAAAACTGAAGAAATTCCGGTGTAATTCTTCTCATTTGTTTCGTGAATGTCGTATACATATCTTTGTAGAAAATTCCATACAGTTATGGATTCTGCACTGTATCCTGCATTCAGCGCAAAAATACTCTTGAAAGAGGAGTCTAACGCTTTGACTACACTTTCCATAACATATTTCTGATCGTTGATCACCAAGTAGATTCTGGAAGGCAGGCTCAGTTTCCCAATGCAAACAATAAAAGGCTGAATAGTATCTCCGTATTTTACTAATTTAGTTTGCCTTATGTTCAGTTCTTGGATATAATCACTCTCATTCTACAAAAAAACACAAGTTGTATAAATATAAATAAAGTTTAAATTCTTTTAAAGATAGGTTAAGATATCCACTTTTTTATGAATTTAAGATTATAAATTTAACTCTAATAGCCATAAAAATTATAAGCAAAATGAATAATCGATAAATAAATTTGTGCACACATTGAGGTGAAGAAAGAAGCTTTTCTGACGTTCTAATCGTGATGGTCTCCAACATTTCTTTCCTTTATCTTTTGTGTTGCCTCGGTTTGTAGTTTGTGGAAACAAATATGTAAAATTATTTAAAGCGATTGCATCTGTATATCAATAAAATATAATAAATCAATAAAATAATACATAATTTAAAATTTTGTTAATAATTCATGGTGATAAATAAATATCAGTAATTAATCATACTTACTAAATAATAAATGCATTACAATAATAAAATTATGTACCTCTGTTTTGAGGAGTAATCGAGTCTTGCGTGAGAATGCTTTTTTCTATCAAGCTTGCACAAATAGCTTGTACAAGATTTTCCCATCGCGAATATAACTTATTGCTTGTTAATACATTAAATTTTTTATCGAAATCTGATAGAAGCAGTCTCAAACCGTCTTGCATTCGGAGAATAGGAAATTCTTCCATATAATCTGAAATACTTTTATTCTCTAGAACACTCCATCTATGGGAGAAAGTTTTTGTCCAATGTTTCAAAATTTCTTCGAATGGTTCCAAATTACTTCTTAAAAATTGCAAAGATGCATTAATGTCTGCAATTATTTCAGGATCAGAAATTTCATAAGTGTTCGCCGATGAGATGTCATTTTCTGTTGGATCTTTTCCTAAACTTTTTTTCAAATAATTAAATCTGCTCCACAATTTTCCGCAATTCAACGTTCTAGGCGATGTTTTTGTTGCCCTTTTATACGGAACAAAATAAATTCCTTTATTTTCCTGTGGAAATGAATGAACTATTTCTTCACTAGCTTGAATAAATCTAGATTTTGAAATTCTGAAAAACGGAAATAATATTAATTTTATATACATATACTATAATTTAGGTAACAGTAATAATAATATTGAAATAATTACGTGATTCCGTCAGTCAAAAAATTCAACAGTAAATGATCTACAACACATTTTGTTATAAGATTTCTGATTTTTTCATCAATCTTATTTTCATTACTCAAAATTATTTTCCCGTCTGCTGACGATTCAAAATACTTGCGCAATCCCTATAAAATTTAATTTGTTATTGCAATTAAAAAATAAAAATTGAAATTTGTATTAAAATTGGCTTTATAAATATAAATTGTTAGTTAATTAAATTTAATTTATAGTTAAACTTACACCAGGAAAGAGTGAATTTGAAAAAGGTTCTGATGATTTGAAGCGTTTTTCTAATTGCCCAAAATTTTCTTTGTCTGGCTGATTATTTCCTACATTATTATCGACCAATTCTACACTGTAAACTTGATGGTATCATTTTAGAATGCAACGTTTTGATTCGATATAAGGTATCAAATTGATCCAAATATTTGGATCATTTTCAAGAAATGATCCAGAATATGGGATCATTTTTTGATACCTGAATTGGTATCAAAGTATAACTGTCATGGCTGGCATGCTCTTATTGACAAGTTTATTAATTAATTTATTCACTGCACTGAATATTAAGATATTAAAAATACTTTTATTATGAATTTTAAGAAAGAGAGAAGCGAAAACTTATAAATTGCGAGCAATTAAATAAGAAAAAATTTATTTCGAAATAAAATAAAATACACTAAGCTTTATTTATGTTTATCACATAAGATTTAAGTTAAATTCACAATCACAACACTTGAAAATTTTTAATTATTTTTATGGTTCAAATAATTATCAATAATTTATTTATTATAAATGAACAAAATTTAAGCAATGCACGCTTGATAAATATTTCTAATTAATAATTTCCTATTACACAATATCATAATCGACATATATTACATTTGTAATCAAACAGGGTTGGGAAACAAGAGCCCAAAATATTTTCGTCCAAAGCAGAGTTGGGTAGGATTGAAATTATGTCCAACAATAATTTTCAGAAAGTGTATGCATTTTCCAAATTCTCGCCATGAGCGCTCAGTTATCACGAAAAGGCTCTCAACCTGTTTATAAAAGTATAGTTTAGTTTCAATGATTGAAACATTAAATTTAAATTAACATTAAACATTTAATTTTAACATTAAACATTAAATTTCATTAGTTAAACCATTGCAATTAAGAGGTGAACGTGAAACAGAATATAGTTTTTCATGTTTTTGATCAAGTCAACGTTCGCCATTCTTATCAGAATTTCTAATTAATAGAGTTTTCATTTGTCTGAAAAAAGATCGCAAGATTTGAATTTTTTTCATTATTTTTACAGTTCAAATTATTTTTAACAAAACTATTAAAAAGTAATTATTCAGTTTTTCCCTATTTCAAAATTACATGTGCGTTAACCTTAAACGTGAAACAGAATCCTACCCAACTCTGCTTTGGACGAAAATATTTTGGGCTCTTGTTTCCCAACCCTGTTTGTTTACAAATGTCATATATGTCGATTATGATATTGTGTAATAGGAAATTATTAATTAGAAATATTTATCAAGCGTGCATTGCTTAAATTTTGTTCATTTATAATAAATAAATTATTGATAATTATTTGAACCATAAAAATAATTAAAAATTTTCAAGTGTTGTGATTGTGAATTTAACTTAAATCTTATGTGATAAACATAAATAAAGCTTAGTGTATTTCATTTTATTTCGAAATAAATTTTTTCTTATTTAATTGCTCGCAATTTATAAGTTTTCGCTTCTCTCTTTCTTAAAATTCATAATAAAAGTATTTTTAATATCTTAATATTCAGTGCAGTGAATAAATTAATTAATAAACTTGTCAATAAGAGCATGCCAGCCATGACAGTTATACCTTATAATCATTCAAAACGTTGCATTAGTTGATCTTAATTCTTGTATCAATTTGATACACCCAAGAAAACTGTGTATAGAATTATCCTCTTCGACTTCATTGGATTCTATTACATTATCCCTTGAAATGATGGGATTTTCTGCAGTCGCCAAAATTTTGTAATTGTTAGACAGATTCTAAAAAAAAATTTGAAATTATTATTTATTTAAAAAAAGAAATATATAATTTATTCTTCCACAATTATTTAATAAATTAGTTTTTCGATTTTTTGGAAGACGTGAAGGTAAAAGAAAAAACAATCTTTCACTTTTCTTTAAATTTTAGACAACGTTTCGGTGGTCTGGTTCGCCACCATCATCAGGTCACTTTAATAAAAATTATATTCAAATAAAAACAACACAAATTTAAAAATTTCAAAATTCTAACATTAAACAAAAAATTAAAAAATAAGGTAATTAGGTAAAAAATTAATTTTTTTATTTTTTATTTAATGTTAGAATTTTTTTAAATTTGTGTTGTATTTATTTGAATATAATTTTTATTAAAGTGACCTGATGATGGTGGCGAACCAGACCACCGAAACGTTGTCTAAAATTTAAAGAAAAGTGAAAGATTGTTTTTTCTTTTACCTTCACGTCTTCCAAAAAATCGAAAAACTAATTTATTAAAAAAAAAGAAAATTGCTCGTGATAACATATTTAAATCTCTTTACGTTCTCGAGTGGCAAATATACACGAACCTAACCTCGCTTTTTTTGTAAACTTAAATAATTTCATTTTATTTTAATAAGACATTTCGATAAGAATTTAAACTTTTTACATAAAAAAGAGTATGTCTATTTTTTCACTCCGTCTATAAAAAGGACTTGCTTAAACATAAATATATTTATCAAACGGTATATTTTTTTCACAGAGTCAATTGAATTTGTATCATTTTACTAATTTTTAAGTTTAAAAAAAGTAAGAAAAAATATGAAAAAGTTTTTTTTCCAAAAAAAAATTTCAATAAACACGTGTACATTTATACAAATGAAAAAAAAACTTACTTGATTTTTGTAATCTTGAAATTTTTTAAAAAATTTTAAGCGAGGCCCTGGTTTTGGAATAATGAGTGATATTGTATCATTGTCCAGTAAATTAAACGTTTCTTCATCAATTTCACCGTCTAAACAACGCAAAATTGTTTTGAGGTTATAAACACGTTCACACTTCAGTCTTCGCTAATTCAATCAAAATAATAAACCTACCTCCAAAAGATGGAATCAAAGATTCCATATTCCATGACATTAATACATTTTTAACGAATTCGTCCATTTTTTTATTCACAACTTTTTTCACTATGTATAAACACGTGCGTGAAAACACTAGGACCCCAATTGAATAGGCGAAGTATACACCACAATCAGCGCATGCGCTCACATTTAATTTTTGCAATATTTGATAGTACTGACTACAATCCAAAAGCTAACACATTTTACGTCTTTGGGTAACATCTTGGATAGTAAAATGTTCATAGTAAATTCTTGTCAGTAACACAATGATGGTACCTTGTACAATCTTTTTTTTTACTATCAAATTCTTACTATCCATTTCTCTCAGTGTAAGGAGGGAATAAGAGAAAAAAAAATTTGGAGGGGGAAGGAAGTCAACTGCTAAAGTCAAGACTTTCGACCCCCGCCAAGCTTATTTAAATTTAAAATTAGATTAATGATAACTAAAAAACAACAGAAATAAGATAACTAAAGAATCACATTCCCAGAATGAAGGTATTTACCCAATTCTATAACAAAATCAACACTTAGCAAAAAAAAAAATCGCCTGAAAATCGAAAGTATCAGTGTTAAAACTAGAATATTTTGTTGACAAGAAACTGAAAAAAGCCGGTCTTCCATTTGAAAGCCTTGGGCACTCAATAAAAAGATGTCTCAAGGTTTTCAGATCAAATCCACATTGACAGCCAACGTCAATCCTCCAATTCATTTTGTTAAAATGCTCACCAGTACACACATGAGAAGTCCTCAGCCTAGTAACCGCATTGATTTCCCTTCTTGGAGCATCATAACCACGAAACCAAGGTCTTTTATCTTTAAAGCCAATACGTGAAAAATATTTAATAGCTGAATTAACTTTCCTTGCATGAGGCCAGAGGCTTCTATACCAGCTCTTATAATCATTAAATAATAGATCTTTAAAATCGAAAACGGAAGCATTTCCAATTGGACCAACATTCAGATACATAGACAACTTAGCCAATCTATCAGCTTCTAAATTGCCCATAATACCCGAATGAGAAGGAACCCATAGTAAACCAATCACCTTCCCCAATTCCAAGATCGAATATACCATCTTAATAATCTTAAGAATTAAAGGATGAGTACTTTTGGTCCTGAAAACATCTTGAATACCCTGAAGAGCTGAACGAGAATCGGTAATAATTATAGCCTTCGAAATTTCAGAAGCAGCTATGTGTTTCAAAGAAGAAGCAATAGCAGTCATTTCAGTGGAAATAGGGGACTTAATTCCATTAATCCTAATCCCATATCTAAAGTTATGCTCAGGGATAAAAAATGCAGCACCAGATGACTTCTTCCGCTCATCGTGAGCACCATCAGTGAAAATAGCAGTGGAGTCATTAAATTCAGAAATTAAAAAATCATTCAATAATTGTTCAGAATTATGTTGACCCTTGAGAGTTAAACCACTGTGAATGTCAATATGAATCTTCTGTGAAATTTCATCCCAATTATAATCATAATATAATACTTTTTTAGATTTTTCCAATTTGCCCAATAAACCACGTATTCTTATATATGAAGAAAAAAGTGACAACTTTACAAAGTTAAAATTGCGAAATTTTTTAGTTAAAGACCTCTCATACAGCAACTGCAACTTAAAAATTAAAGGGTTAGCACGCCAAGCAGCACACCGTAGTAAAAATCTGTCAGTCAACATCAATCTACGAAGGTACAGAGGAGGCTTGTCACACTCAGATAGCAGAACACTAATGGGGGTTGTAATCATATACCCCAAAACAACACTTAACGCGGAATATTGAATTTTATCTAAGATTTTTAAGTTAGTTTGACTAGCACACATAAAAAGGGGAGCCCCCCATTCTAAATGAGCCCTGACAAGACCTCTATATGCCATTAGTAATGATGATGGATCAGCACCCCAAGAAACCTTAGCCATAGCCTTCAACACATTGACCGCAGCAGTTGCTCTACCCGCAATATATTTAATATGTGGGAGCCAAGACAATTTTCTATCCAAAATAATTCCATGATACATAATTGAATTCACAGCCGTCAATGTTTGCCCATCAATAACCAATTCTATGTCTCCTGCATTGATTTGAGATCTCGAAAACAAAGCCAACTGACATTTCGAGACAGAAATTGCATAACCCAACCACCCCGACAAAATTGCAACAGTAGTATTCAAAAGATCAATGGCTTCCGCAGCAGAAGTAAATCTAACATGGATAAGAAGATCATCTGCGTTCATTTCTGCTTTAACTCCCAAAGGAAGTTGATTAAAAAGTTCCCTTAAAATAAGATTAAATATTATCGGAGAGAGAACTCCACCTTGGGGGACACCCACACCACAAGTTTCAGATTTACTCAAATCATGTTGGAAAAAGAGATTTCTCTTCGAAATTAAAAAACCTATAAAGTTATAAATACGAGAAGGCACATCCAGATCGTGTAATTGTCTCATCAAAATAGAGGGTGACACGCAATTAAAAGCACCTTTAATATCTATTGCTAAAGCAAGAGTGCTCTCACCTCTGACAAAACCCTGATTAATATCCGTAACAACAGCTGAAACACAATCTAGAACCGATCTACCTCTTCGAAAACCATATTGGGCAGAAGGAACCCAATCATTGGTTTCAATCAAAAACTCTAAACGTTTATGAACCAATCTTTCAAAAAGTTTGCAAAAAGTTGATGTAAGCGAAATAGGACGAAATCCCTTCCCTCCGGTTTAGGAATAAAATTAACCCTTGTATCCTTCCACACTTCTGGAAAGGAGGACATCAAAAACATCTGATTGTACAATTTAAACAAAAATTCTCTGGCACATTTCGGCAACTTATCAATCAACCCATAGCTAACACCATCTAAACCCGGAGCAGGAGACTTTTTGCAGTATAAAAAAGCGGTTTCCAATTCTTTCTTTGAGAAAGGAAAATTAAAAGAATTAAAATCCCTATCAGCAGGAACCGGAAGAGGATGAAAATCCATTGGAAGAATATTAGCCTGGACCAAATCAGAACGAAGAGCGAGAAGTGAATTTGCATTAGGATCGTTGGATATATTTGTTCTTTTTGGAGCATTTCTGTTTTGAAAAGATCTTACAGATTTCCAAGTTTTATCTAAACCAGTAGAAGAGGGCCCAATGGAATTACAAAAAGAAACAAAGGAACCCTTCTTTTTTGTCTAAGAAACCATTTGACCTCATTATCAACAGACCTAAAATTATCTCTAGTTTCAGGAGTTTGATTCCTTATCCAATCCCTTTTTGCCTCCTTTCTACGAATAATAGCACTCTCGCAATCACCATCCCACCATAAAGGTTCGGCTTTCCTTCTGCCAGAATGATTTGTTGGACGAAAGGCCCAATTTTTTTCAAGAACAAAAACAAGAAGAGTATAAAATTCATCATAAATCTCATTAGGAGGAAGACCAGAATCCAGAGATTCTTCAACAATCCTCAATGGATCCCTCAAATCCTCTTCAAGTTTTATCCAATCTACGTTTTTAATATTAATTCTATTAGATTCCGAAACCACAAACTTAGGTTCAACGTCAAAAGAAGCTAGAACCAACAAGTGATCAGAATTATAGGAATCTTCGGAAACCTCAAAGGAGGCTTGAAAAAGAATTGACTCAGACAATACTATAAGATCCAAGTTGTTATTTGTTCTACCAGACACATCATTTCTTGTTGGAATTTGATCATTCAGGGCAATAAGACCAAACATATCAAATGCTCTAGATAGATCCAAACCTCTCGTAGAATCATAAGTGGAACCCCAAGACAAAGAATGTGCATTGAAATCACCACATATTATCCATTGAATATGAGTCAGACCCTCAAGAAAATTAATCCAAACCACATAAGGAATGCGCTTTGCAGGAGGAACATAAATGGATACAATAAGTTTTTTTCCCATTTTAGTATCCACCAAAACTCCAACAACATCAAAAAAATTTGAAAAATCTTCCCCAAATGAGAATGGACTAGACAACACATTATTCCTAACCAACATTAAAGTACCACCACATGCAATATTATTATTCCTATCTTTACGATATAACGGTGGATATTAATTTAGATAATTAATTGCATCTCCACGTTATCAATATTTCATAACTAATTTCTACACAAAGGGGGGAACCTTCATCGAACATTCCGGGGCGATGCTTACCACGTTTTTAAGTGAGACTGGACGACAATTAATAATATACTTACTATTGACTTCTGCTGGACAAACAGATGTAGCGATGAACAACAATAAAAGAAACAGCAATTCCAAAACCACACCAATGTATTTATTAATCAAAATAACATAAATAACTAATTAACACTAATAATTTGAATAATAATTTGTGGGTGATCGCGTACGATGAAAATATGCGTGTCGCCCTGTACACATCGATTTACGAACTGATATGGATCCTCTTCCTTTCATCCTCTTCCTGTTCGTGGGGGGTCGACTCCCTTCGGTCGGGGTCGGCACCCGGGCCAATCAAAAAGGACTATTGACCCTACCCTAATGGTTACTAATATTCGACCGGAGAGAAATGGCAAATAATAAGAATATGACTTTTGACGATTTACTTCGTCACAACGAAAAGTATTATATCCAAAAACCTCCCACACTGGACATTTATCATTTAACCATGTTTCCGTAATCGACAAAACATCGATATTATTTCTATTCAAAAGAGCTTCAACTTCAAATTTCTTATTTACAACACTACGGGCATTCCATGTGCCAACAAAAAACTTTTGATTATTGTGTACCATAGTAACATTAACTAAAATTTGAAACAAAAACAAAATGAAGAAAGAAAAAAATATAAAAATAAAAAATAAACAAACAAAGGATTATGAACAAAAATAGAGGCTGAGAATCCAAATAAAATGCTCCGTAACGAAAGCAAAAAAAACGATAAAGAAAAAAAAATTCCTTTCCCTCCCTCCCTTCTCTCATCCATCCCATTCTCCCTCCATAAACCACTAAATATTATTTTGACTAAGTTCATCCAATGCATCTGCAGCTACCACTGCAGAATCAGATCCTCCTGAGTTTTCAGAATCCAGAGGGAGAGCAACATTAGGTGCAACATCAAGATCGTAGATCATTTGGAGTTCTTTATTAGGAGTACTAAATACCAATTGAACCATAGATTGATCAACTTGCCTTACGGAATTATCATCCGGATACTCTACATTTTTCTCAATATGAGTCTGAGAACTTTCCTGACTAACTTCCGACCGGAAGGATTGGTCTCTCGATTGTCTATCAAGAGTTCTAAGAGCTCTATTTTTAATAAATTCGGAACCAATGTTCGTCGCAAGCTTAAGAGCAAGTAAACGATTACAATTGTTCAAATATCTGTATTTTGAAATAACATACTCAAAGTCGTATATTGGACAATTAATTGAAACAGATTCATGGGGTCCTTTACAATTTGTACAGATGGGTTCTTCATCATGAGATGGACAGATCTGAAAAAGATGTTTACCAGAGAAATGAGAACATACCGGAGATGTTGACCTACATTGATCAGCCACATGAGTAAATCTTTGGCATTTAAAACATCTCGGAGGTCTGTGAATAATTGGAGTAATTGCAAGACCAAAACTCGAAAGGTCTTTTTTTACAAAAAGATGCCGAGGCACAAATTGTGATCTAAAAGTGAATTCTACTTTATCAGTTACAACACCATTATCCAAGCATCTGTTAACTGATATAAGATTGTCTCTAGATTCGGGAACTAATTCCTGTACTATTTCTGAGATAGATTTAGAAATAGGAAAGTCTCTATTAAACCCCTTCTTAAAAACGGAACTGTCCAATATAAAAACTCTATATCCAGCTACTCTTAAATCGATCGAATCAACCAATTTATTTGCATCCTGACAATTATCACAAAAAAATTTAACTTGATTTTTGCCACTTCTAAAAATTCTTTTTGAACCCTGAGAAACAGCATCCAGATTACCGCATAATGCAAGAGGGTCATATTTACCTAGTGACCTAGTGTGAATAGAGGATTCCATCAAGACTAGGAATGGGGGAAGAGAAGAATCATTATATCTATTTAGATCAATATTGCTGTCTGAACAAGACCAAAAATAAATGGGATTCTTACATAAGAAGATCTAGGAAGAGGAACTTCGTTGTTATCCGTAACAACGGAATTCTCCCCATTCAGATTATCAGGAATCAAAACATCATTGGGCATAGAAGAACAACAAGGGAGAACAACCCCAGTACATCCATCAACATTCAGTTCTCTAATAGAGTCAGTAACTTCTTCAAGGTGCTTCTTTTTTTAATCAGAAACTCCAGGTGATCCAGATGGAGGAGCTGAAGAAGATTCTTCAGAGGATGTCTCAAATAAACTTTTTCTCTTCTTTTTATTCGGAGGGGAGTTCTTCTTCGGCCTCTGAGAAAGAGGAATATATGTTTTCACTCCATAATTACCCGGAGCAAGGTGATCTCTATCTTTAAGGTGAGAATTCTGGAATGAAAAACCTCTGCCTTTTGTCCATCCCTTACCCTTAACATTTAAACCGGATGCATTCTCCGAAACTGAGACGGAGGATTCCTCATATGACTTAGCGGAACCCTGAGACATCTTCACGAACGAATAACTAAAAAGATTTTAAATAAATAAAACAGTAAAAATCATAGATATGGGAAGGTGGAGGTGGAAAACAGGAAAAAAGGAATTACCTTCTCCTTCTCTCCACACTCTTATTTTTTCTTTCCCCTTACTATATTTAAATCATCTATTCCCTTCTAACCATTTCACCGGATAATCAGCCTCAAAAGCAGTTTTAATTAAACAAACATTATAACATCAAATTTAAAAACAGTTGAAAATTCCTTCATAAATCATCTAAAATATGAAAGAAAAATTATAGCGTTGCAAAAAAATATATTTAAAAAAAAGCAAGGCGAAAGCGAAATAATATTTAATTAAATCAAAGGAATTTCTTATAGGAATAGAAAAGATTAATCAACTAAAGTCAAAATCAATTATCACCTTCAGGAAAAATAAAGGACACAAAATAAACAAAGGAGAGATATAAATTGTGCTTAAATACCAAAATTTGACAATAAGAATTGTTTAATAGCTGACCTTCAAAATACAGTGATAATATAAGAAGTTGGTTACCATTTAGATAATATTAAAAGCAGTTGTAAAATGTTCGCAATTCAATAATATAAATCCTTTCCAGAATTATCGATATAAATCTCTTCAAATATGTGGTAAATTATTCCTTCAATTGTAATCAGATGCAAAAAGTTTTTAGTATCAGTCAAAGGAATTTCCTTATAAACCTTTATATTCCTTTACATAAATATTCGATTATTAGAACTTAGTAACAACACTAAAAAACCAAGAAAATAAACAGACAAAAATTTAAGATTGATTAAAACTCCAAAAATAATTTTAATTTAACTGAGATAGAAATCAAAAGGAGAGAATAATTTTCTTTCAACACAGATGCGGAGAAGGACGAAAAATGTCCTATCACCTCGACAGACAAAACGTGAAATCACTGAACTCTATATATCTGGAATGATGTCTGACATTGATGGTCGCGAACCGAGAGAGAAGTCTGAGTCTTGTATCCCTCTTCTTCTCTTGCTAAACTGCGCAAGCGTAGTACAATACGTTCCAAAAGTTTCCTGTTAACTGTGTTATGTCATGTTCACGTATACATACTGTTAAATATTTTCTAACGGACCTTTACCGACAAAGAGGGGGATACAAAAATCAGACCTCTCTCGGTTCGCGACTTTCAATGGCAGACAGCATTCCAGATATATATAGTTCAGTGGTAGCGCTCCAAAGAATCAAAGTATTTTAGGTTATATTTTGAAATTTTTAAGTAAAAATAAACAAAGCGGATCAACTCTCAATGCAAATCAATATTTAAGTATTCTTTACTAAATTTTTTAAACTTCAATTTCACTTGTATTTCAGCCAGTAGGCACCAAGACGTCTCACAGTAGGGTATTTCAACGATTTAGTTGGCCAAAATTAAATTGATGATTTTTATATAATCTGAAGGTGTGTACTTATAGTTTTGGGGTCGCTTTTCACGAATTTTTAGTCACATATTGTTAATGAGCTATCCAAGATTTTCTACGTGTTTTTTTTTAAACTTTACAAAGTGGACTTTTGGACAGCTAAATCGTTGAAATACCCCACGTATCTTTAGGATGACTTCAGAACGCTCCAGAGTGTCATAGGTAATTGCGTCCGTGTTCCGAAGACATATAAAAGACGACTTAAAGTATGTTCTATGTATGCCTCAGGAACGTCTCTAGAATGTTTTAATAATGTCCTGAAATTGTGCCTATTGGATTTAAAAATGTATGTAACACTATCCGAATATATCGGATTCCCGTTTACTTCTCATATTCTTTTTGGTCACTTGAAAAGAGATATATGAGGATTTTACTGCACAATTACAACACGGTGCGCCAGAAGGAGGTTTAAATAAAAATGAGTTGGCACTTAAAAATTCTTTTTGATTATGGTTCTTAAATAAATAAAAACCATTTTTCAATAAATTTTAAAATCAACTTACGTGCCAAATTTTAAAAAAATTGAGTTTTAAATATATAAAAATAGTGTTTTATGAGGAATCAGAATTTATTTAATGTATACTTATATGCGTATAGATAATAGATGTTTTAGATTTGGGTTCATATAAATTTATTAACATTGAAGTTATTTTCTTGTTTTGTTTTTATATTTATGCGCATTAAGAGTGTCGAACGGTATCTGAAATTCTTTAGCAAGAAGAGAGTTTTAATTATCGCGCTCAACGTGAAATAGTATTCATTTTAAAATACTTTTTTCTCGAAACACGAACACTTTTAACAAAATCAGCCAAAATCCTCATCTTCTAAATTTCCTAAATCCAAAAGACGGTACGAATCCATAGAAAAACATGGTTGCAAAACAAAAAGTACAAAAAGTAATCTAATAACAGCTGCGACTTTGTGCGCCCTGCATGCTGCTGCCATCTGATGGCGGCAGGAGGTAATGAACCTGTCATATTACTTTTCGTTTTGCAATCGTGTTTTTGTATGGATTCGCATAATCTTTCGGATTTAGGAAATTTATATAAGATAAAAATATATAAATATATATATTTATATAAGATAAAAGCTGCTTTTGTAAAAAAGTGTCCGTCTTTCAAGAAGAAAGTATTTTAAAATTAATGTTTATCATTTTCACGTTTAGTGCCGTTTTTATAGGGCGATAATTAAAGGTCTCTTCTTTCCAAAGAATTTCAGAGACCATTCGACTCTCTTAAATAAATTTTGTCCTTCTTAAAATAGTTCTTTTAACATTATAATTTAATTTTTTAAAATCGGATACAAACACTACAGCAATATAATTATTTATATGTAAAATTAAAAATAAGTAATTATTTTATCATTTATTACAGTATTTATTAGATTAAATAAATTCTGATTCTCCATAAAATTACTGTTTTTTATATAAAAACTAATTTTTTTTAAATTGGACACGTAAACTGATTTTAAAAACTATTGAGAAATGTTTTTTATTCATTTAAAAATCATAATCAAAAAGAATTTTTAAGTGCCAATTCATTTTTATTTAAATCACCTTCTGGCGCACCGTGACAAGTAATACAAAATAATTTTAAATGGAAATTGTATATTTAATAGTAAAAAATTTAGCCCTCTGACTCCGATTTTGTTTAATTTGTTGATGACCAACTAAGAAGAAAGAATGACAGAACGGGGAAGGGTGATATGATTTTGGAGATGAGAAGGATTTATACGTTAGCGTATGCGGATGATGTGGTTCTTTTGGTTGGGGATGAATGTCGAGTGAAACTATTAATGGCGGAGTTTGAAGAGTACGTGAGAGAGAAGGATTTGACTGTGAATAAAGAAAAAACGAAAGTGATGAGATTTAGGAAGAGAAAAGGAAAAAGTGTGAAAGAATGGGAAAAGAGTGGAAGAAGTGAGTGAGTTTTGTTATTTAGGATATTGGTGTCAAAGTAATGGAGGGCAATAAAAATTGTCATAGTAATCAATTTCACGCATAAAATTGTACCTAACCTATGTGTTCCACCGTTTCCAAGTGCACAGCGTATTGGATTTGATCTCAAATTTCTTGTCATCTGCATTTACTTTTTGCTATCTGATCCGTATTACCAACAATGATTCATTCAGATTATTCTGGTACTTTTTCGTCTTTTGGTTTATTGTTCTGACACTTGGCTATACCAGAAGGCATTTAAAAAGAAGAAAGCAGAGGATGATATAGGGGTTAAAAAGAAGAAATAAAAAATTTTGGAAAGTGGAATAGGGTATGCAGGTTTAGGATGGGGGAAGGAATGAAGGAGTGTAAATATTGGATGGATGCAGAGAAAAAATATTATAGGGTATGTGGCTATGATATGGAAGAATGGAGTCATGTGTTACATGGGTGTATGGAGAGACGGAGGAGGAAAAGGTAGTGGATGAGAATTCACTACCTTTAGAGAATATGAATTCTCATATTAGATGAGAATGAACAAGGCAATTAAAAAATATAGAACGATCACAAGTTCAGACATTCATCACCTAAACTATATATAACATACGGGTTATTACTGTTATTTAATAATTTAATTCTTGTGTAGCTTGGAGATGGAAGAAGAACGTCATTACAATGAAATCGTCATGTCAGGTGGAAACATAAGAAGCCGCACTGTGTCAAGTCCTGTACCCTATAATGCTTCTCCAAGTTCTTCAAGACCTCTTAGTCCAGGTAAAAGATTATTAATAATTTATACTAACGATTTTTAAGAAATCCTAAATTTCTACTTTTGAAATGCGTCTTTTTGTCGATTCAAATTAATTGATTCGAAATTAGAGATTATTTTTCTTTAAATTTATTTTCAGGAATCAATACAATGACTTCAGCTTCTCGAGAAACTGCTAACATAAATCGATGTTATGCTTGTGGTCAATGTGTTAATCTTCCATTTACAAGTTCATCACCTCCTTCAGGAGTGAGTAAATTTATTAAATTATTATTTTTTTTTAATGAATTAGTTTTGTAAAATTGTGTTAATAATTGTTTTTCTATTATTTTAGAGTCACATAATAGCGCCATCCAGTAGGCGTGCTTCAGACAGATTTGTCAAACCAGCGATTCCACCTACTATTGTTAGTCCTGGAAGTTCATCATCGGCTAATATTATTCATGCAAATACATCGGCTGGATGTCCCATGGATATTGCTAAAATATAAACTAACAATTAAGTAATTAATGTTATGATTTAATATAATTATTTCATACGGTGTAGAGAAAGAGAGAGAGAGAGAGAGCGAACGAAAACAACTTTAATTTTTTTTTCGCTAAAGCTGAAAATATTTTTATTAAACTTTTAAGGACTATATCCGATGAAGTAAACGCGACATGAGCTGGTTCACATGCATATCTTTTGAACGTTTAACGAAAAAAAAAGTTTATCATGTTAGCAAAGTACCAGTTGCTGTATAAGTTTCTCTCGTCCACTTTCTAATAATGTTTAATGTGTATCCACAGTCAACAAGGTGCAAAATACACCAACACATGCACGTAACGAGGTACTTACTTTATTAGAAAATTTTCGTTCCTATGATAATAATAAATATCAGATATTAAATTTGTTTTGACAATAGCGTAATTATAAGTGATTGGTTTATAATATATGACTGTGTGCAGGTTTCCTCTTTAAAAAAAAAAAATTGTCACTAAAAATGTTATTTGGAAAAAAAAGTACCATGTAAATTGTTTCTTATTCTTCATGATTATTAGAATTGATGCTGATTATTATGATGGTAATAATAACGAATAATAATAATAATATTAATAAACAGTATTTATGTGAAATTTAAATAAGTTTTGTTCTTTTTTAAAATTTTTGTGATTCGATGCTAAAAAACGATAAGCTATGAAAAAAAAATTTGGTGTGCTGTGTTGATATATTGTTGAAATGTTAATGGCAGATATTAATTTTAATTTAAACAATTCAAAAAACGGTTAATTAAAGAGCCGTTTGAGACTATGATTTTTATACGACGATATTTTAAATATCTTCTTTGATTCAATGTTTATAGTAAAGAGCAACTAATATTATTGATTTGATATTCATTTGCATGTGTATTATAGTTGCTCTTTTATGTTTTTATTCACTCTACACATTTTTTTTCATTTATGTGTTAAAATATATTCATCTTCTATTTCAAAAAAAAAAAAAAAAAAATCTCTTAGTAATCGTGTAATTTTAATTATATAACTAATTATTAATTATAATAAAATGTATTATTTTTAAAATTAAATTTAACATTTAATTTACATGGGTTCTTTGATTTAATAAGTTGAAATAAAAAAATTGTCCCCTTTGAAAATTTGATGCCGAAATTCGTTGTCTTGAAAATATTATTGTTGTCGCCGGAAATTGAACTTCTCACAGAATTTTCTGAAGTCTCGGTCTTAACTTGCTAACAAATAGCAAAATTATTCCTACTGAAAACACCGTCATATTGGTTCGACATTTTGAATTTTGAAAAACTGACACTGGATTCGTAATCAGCGACCCCAAAAACTCCCGAGTAACGAGTTTCAAGTCAATTTTATTCTTTTTGATTAGAAAAAATGTTGTATTTTGTTAATAGGCAAAAAAAAAAAAATTGCGATTATTTAAAAAATTTGACCCGATCTTTGAAAACGGCTAACGCCATTGAATTCAGCGTACCCAAATTAGGTTAATATACTATACTGCCGTACGATGTAAAAACTTAGGTAACCGACATTGTCGCTTTGGCCGATATTTCAGTAGTGAGAACTCGCTAAAATCACCCTAAGCGACAATGTCGGTTACCTAAGTTTTTACATCGTACGGCAGTACGAATTTGTGAAATAATTGAATTTCAGTAGATTTTTAATTGAAACTTTTATAAATTTGACTTATTGTTAATGACATTTTTTTTAAACAAATTTCAGACAATTTTAGAGAATTTTCAACTGAAATATGTTCTAAATAATTGAATTTTGATCGAGTTACAGTTAGGATTTTAAAAAATAATTTCATTTTTTGAGATTTCGAAAATTATAATTTTGTTGTAAATATAAACATTAATTTAAAAACAATTTAACAAATTCAATTTTTGAAAAATTTGATTAAAACTGTTGAAACAATTAATTAATCAAAGAATTTTATCGATAAAAATTTGGGAAAAAAATTTCAATTGAATTAACATTCAATTAATTATTCCATTACATAATTGAATTTGGAAGAGTTCGAATTAAAATTTTTTTGGAAGTAATTAAATTTCAGAAGATTTTAAATTAAAACTTTCATAAATTTTAATTGTTAAATTTTTTTTACAAACTTTAAAGAATTTTAGAATTTTAGAGTATTTTTAATTAAAAAACTTTTTATTTTCCTGAATTGTTGAAAAATTGTATTAAAATAATTTTAAAAAATTAATTTAGTGAAGACTTATTATATATAATAATAAAATGCTTGGTCGAATCAACTTAAAGACACAAAAAGTCGTTTCAGTCGATTTATATTCCAAAAAAAGTGGATTTGTTTTTTATTTTAACAAAAATAATTTACAGATTTTTAAATAAAAATTTTTTTTTTTTAAATAATAATCCTGTTCGAAGGGTTAAAGTTGAAATTTTTAGAAATAATTAAAATTCAAAAGATATTGTTAATTTTCAAACAATTATTAAATTTTACAGAACTAAAAATAATTTATCAAACAATTTTTGGTAAACATTTTTTAAATTTCATTAAATTTTCAAAGATTTAAAATTGAGATTGTTGAAATTAATTGAAACTTTAAGTGATTTTTAATTAAAATTTTAGATGATTACACTAAAAATTGATTAGAAAATGCGGACAAAATACAATAATTTAAAAATCATTTTTAATTGAATTTTATTTGATTTTAAATTGAAAATTTGGAAAATAATTAAATTTTAGAAGATTTTGAATTGAAAATTTTGAAAATAATTAAATTTTAAAAGATTTTGAATTGAATGTTTGGAAAAAAATTGAATTTTAATTGATTTTAAATTGAAATTTTTAAAAATAATTGAATTTTATTTGATTTTAAATTGAAAATTAGGAAAATAATTAAATTTTAGAAGATTTTGAATTGAAAATTTGGAAAATAATTAAATTTTAAAAGATTTTGAATTGAATGTTTGGAAAAAAATTGAATTTTAATTGATTTTAAATTTAAATTTTTAAAAATAATTGAATTTTATTTGATTTTAAATTGAAAATTTGGAAAATAATTGAATTTCAATTGAAATTTTGTATAATAATTGAATTTTAATTAATTTTGAATTAAAATTTTGGGAAAAAATTGAATTTTAACTGATTTTGAAAATAATTTAATTTTAAAAGATTTTGAATTAAAAATTTTGAAAATAATTAAATTTTATGTTTAATTTTGTATTGAAATTTTTAAAAATAATTGAATTTTAATTGATTTTGAATTAAAAATTTTTTAAAATAATTTAATTTTATTTGATTTGAAATAGAATATTTTGAAAATAATTAAATTTTAAAAAATTTAGAATTGAAATTTTTGAAAATAATTGAATTTTCTTTGATTTTGAATTGAAATTTTGGATAATAATTTAATTTTAGTTGATTTTTGATTGAAAGTTTTGATAATTATTAATTTTGGATAATAATTGAATTTTAATTGATTTTAAATTAAAATTTTTGGTAATAATTGAATTTGAGTTGATTTTGAATTGAGGTTTTTTAAAATAATTGAATTTTGTTTGATTTTAAATTGAAAATTTAATTTCCCGTTGTTGTACTGTCCCAAGGCACTGACGGCGAATGCTATGTCCGGTCGTGTTGTTGTCGCTAGATAGGTGAGGGCTCCCACCAGTTCCCTGTACGGAAGTTTCAGATCTTCGGAAGAAGGATTCTCGTTTTTCTTCAATTTGGTTCCAGGATCCTCGGGGGTTGATACGGGCTTGCACTCGTCCATCTCGAATCTGTTTAGTAGTTCTTTCACGTACCCTTGTTGAGATAATGTGATTGATCCCTCGGTTTGAGAAAATTCGATTCCCAAACAGCATTTGGCGAAACCGAGATCTTTTAATTCAAATTCGGTTGACAGCAATCTTCTCAACTTGGTGATTTTGTCGTTTCTTCGTGATGCCAAGAGAAAATCGTCTACATATACGGCAATCAGGATTAAATCCTCCCCTGAACCGATTTTGAATACACACGGATCAGATGCTGTTGGAGTTGCTCCATATTTTCGAAGGATTTTGTCCAATTTGAGGTACCAGCTCCTGCCAGCTTGCCTCAGCCCGTAGATTGATTTCTTGAAAAGACACACTTTGTTTCCTTGGCGATGAGTTGAAAGCATATGACGAGCTTTGTCTTTGATCGTGCTATCACTCTCCGATTTAATGATATTTTCTAGAATTTCTTCCAGATTTTTCGGTGGTTCCATCAGGATCTCCTCCTCCAGTTCACCGTTGAGATACGCTGATGCCACGTCGAACTGACGCAATTTCATCCCGTGACGAGCTGCCAGAGATATTATCAGACGAATTGAGCTGAGTCTTGTTACCGGAGCGAACGTTTCAGTAAAATGTATGCCGGGTTGCTGATTAAACCCCTGAGCCACCAATCGTGCTTTTCGTTTCACAAGGTTACTGTCAGGATCAAATTTGTTGCGCAATACCATGCGAGATCCGATGACTTGACCTTGGTGAGGATGGTTGACAAGTTCCCAAGTGTTGTTCTTGATGATCGAGGTGATCTCTTCAACCATTGCCTGGTTCCACTCACTTGCGTCCGGTCCTTCCATTGCTTGTTTCATTGGAACTTCGGTTAGGAAGATACATTCCGCTCCGCTTTCCTCGTCTTGAGTTTCGTCGTCGTTTTTATTTTCATCGATTTTGTCACTGCTTCGTAGTCCAGTCCTCCGTTGAAAAGGTTCAGTTGGTTTTGATTTGCTCCCTTTTGGACGGCCTGGTGGTCTTATAACATCGATTTGTTCCTCTTGATCCGCAAGGGGAATGTCGTTCACAAAATTCTCGAATCCTCGGAATTCTTCTTGTTCATCAAGACTGGAATGAGTCTCGTTCGTGTCGAAATAGTCGGAAAGATCAGAGTTGTTTTCGTTCTCGAGCACTTCACTTTCAGGTAACACAGGATTTTCACTTCCTTCCGGTTTGGGGGTCCACTCGATGTCCACGAATTTTCGATCTTGATCCGAATTGTTGCTCATCAAATTTGGAAAATTAGTTTTCTCAGTCGTTGTTTTCTTTTCTTGTCCAAGTTTGTTATCTTCGTCGAATTTCACGTCTCGACTCAGTATGACTTTCTTCTTTTCCAGCGACCAAATCCGGAATCCCTTTGACTCATCGGAATAGCCGAGAAATTTTCCCTCACGACCGCGATGATCGAATTTTCCGTTTCCTGGATTCCTGTCGAGATAAAAGACGCGACTGCCGAAAGATCTCAGATTATTCCAATCCGGTAATTCGTTTTTCCAAAGTTCGTATGGTGTGAGACCGTCGAGCTTTTTCGTTGGCAACCGATTCCTGAGATAATTCGACGTATTCACGGCCTCGGCCCAAAAAGATTCTGGCAAATTTGATTCGATGAGGAGACACCGCGCCATGTCGAGAAGTGTTCGGTTATTTCTTTCGGAAGTACCGTTCTGTTCGAGGTTGTACGGTACCGATAATCGCCGAGTGATTCCTTTCTGCTTCAGATAAGAGTCGAACTCCGAACCGATGTATTCCCTGCCGTTATCTGACTGCAGGCACTTCACTTTTCGTCCTTGTTGTTTCTCGATCAAGTCAATAACTTCTTTCGTAGCACTTAAAACTTCCGCTTTCGATTTAATAAGTCGCACTTCACACCAATTGCTTTTGTCATCGATGAATTCCACGAAATATCGAGCACCACCCAGGGAATTGACCCTCATGGGTCCACACACGTCGGTATGTATAATGTCCAGGATTTCGGTCTTCCGATTTGACTTGTTTGGAAAGGAAGATCTGGACATTTTTCCCTGTAAACACACTTTGCAATTTAATTTTTGTGTCGAGTTTTCAATCCGAGACTAAATTCTTTTTCAAAGCGTCCAAAATGTTCTTAGTGTTCGCGTGACCGAGTCTCTTGTGTAATAAATCGAGATTAATTTGTTATTTCAAACCGAATGTCACAACACATGCATCTTCGTTCGATTCACGCACATAATATAGATCACCGATTCTTTTTGCACGTAACTCTATTTTCCCGTCCGCGTTTGTTACCACCGCACAATTTTTATCGAAAGTTACTTTGAGTCCAC